TCACCGCAAACGTGTTGTCATCTGCAAACTCGCAAATTTTACACCATCTATTTTCGGAAAATCACTAGTGCAGAACAAGTAAAGAAGAGGACCTAATATGCTACCTTGTGGCCCTCCTGCATTTATTGTTTTTAATTTTGCATGTCGATCTGATTGTTTGAGTCTAACTTTGACTGTCTGTCAGTTAGGCAGGAATGACAATACCTACAAACTGCTTTTGCAGCATTTAGTTTATTGATGAATCCTTCATGCCAGACCTTTTCGAAAGCTTGTGAGAATCAAGGAAGATAGCAGAACAAATTTGTTTTTCTTCAAAAGATTTTTCTATTATGTCCGATGTATGAATGATTAGAGATGGATTTTCTACTTGCGGAATGGTTACTTCAAGTAAGCTGCTAATTATGTTTTCATTTGGTTTGAAAAATTCAGCAAGGTCTGGCAAAAATTCGGCTTTTTCTCTGCTCTCTTTCCACCAGAGACCAGTCTTTCGACTTCTATTTACCATCTTCTTTTTTTAAAGGAGGAATTTGGACGATTGGTGCTTTAATTTTTTTGCCTTCATAGCGAGGCATAAGATCAAATAAATAGATAAACTCTGATTAAGTCGTCATGTAGTTGTTTTTTTGTTTTTTTTTTTAAGCTTTCATTTAACTTTTTGGACCATATAACAACATAAGAATATTTTTGTCTGCAGAGCCTCTTGATTGTTGCCATCTTTTCCTACCGTTTCTTTCTTTCCTTTTCTGATTTACCAGTTCTTTAATTTCCTTGAGGTAGCTGAAGCCTATTGTTTTATGCATGGTCTGTCTAGTATTACACTATACTGTAGTCTGAATGACTGGAAAAAATTTCCGTTGATAGGTATTTAGAAGAAAATGTTTAATTAACGAGAAAATACAACAAACAGGTTTTGTTTTAAAAACCTCTCTTATACGTATCGTTCTGTTTTAAATTTGAACTTTAAGGATAATTATATAACCCTAATTAAGAAAAGCTTTTTCTTTGTTGAAAGTAAAACTTTAAACGAAAAAAGTTTCGCCTGTAAAATATGTATATTATTCGTTCTTTGAAGACGGCGCCATGGGTATGCTAACACCGCTCGACTCCACTACACGCCGGGTCTGACTATATACGGTCAAAAAAGGGAATTAAAATTTGGGGAAGAATCCGTCAAAATAGAGTCAAATGTTGCTATGGAGACCTATTCTTGATGTTCCTCTCTCAAGGCCAACCTACAAAATCGATCCAGTTCATACGGCTCACCCTAGCCACCTCCGGCCGCCCCCCAGCCCCCCTTCGGCAGACATAACATTTCCCCAAAACTTTCTTTTTCACCCTCCTCATTGATAAGTACGCTCCGGATAAACTTCTTGGACTCCCTCCCCCAACGGTACGACTCCTCATTTAAATCCAATTTATTTCTCATTTTCAACGAGGCTGTTCGAACCGGAAATCGGTGAAACTCGATGCTCAAGATCCGGAAATTTATTTTGCGATATTCAAATCGACCCATTTCGCTTTTGAAATCTTGAAAATTGAATAAATACGAAGATAGGAAGATTTGCTGTGATACAACCCGTATTTAAACATTGGAAATAATTAGTATTTACTCAGCTATAACGATTTTTCTATGCCCACAAAAGTTTGGAGGTTTGATTGGGCGGTGTGCGTGTAGATAATTTGTCACAAGTTCGATCTTGTCTACTGTTTCTAGGGAAGCTTGTCGCTGTTTAGCTAGAATACAATGGCATCAATTTGTCTCTTGGAGAATTTATAGTTTCTCCATAATATAGACAATTAGTGACCTGTTGTTTCAAAATTTGTTGAAGTCGTGAGGAGCAGTCAAGAATGAAATAGTTTAGAAAAACTCCTTTTTCATTTTTTTGCCGACGTTTCGACTTTTATTCGAGTCTTCTTCAGGGCCTGGGTAAATTATTATTAACTACAGAACAGATACTTGCAAACTCAGCCGTAGCTACGCCAACATCATAAAGCAAATAAACTATTAAACCTTAATTTTATTTTTCCCTTTCCTTCGTTTATGGTCCTTAATAATTAACTTCCTTTCCAATATTGAATGCCGAATCATAAATCCAATCCAGAAAATCACCATTCTCGACTTCCTTTGAGTTAAATAAAACCGCCTATGATCAAAGAAATTTTCCCAGATTTACCTCGTCCCCCATCATGTCACAATCATATACACATTCCCTTCGCGAACCCTTTTGGCTTTTTTACTTTCACGTTTTGATTTGTAAAATTAGAGATTGTATTAAAAGCGTTCGAAAAACTGTAAAATTAAGGGCTGAATTAAAAGCAATAAAAAAGTTCGGGCCCTGACGCGTAACCCAAGCGCGACGGGATTTAATAAAACCGTCGTCGAGTGTTAAAATAGGAAACTTTTCCAATTTATATTGATCACGGTAAACACCAGCCGCTGATACAGTTTTGTTAATTATTCTGCAGATAAACAGAATTGACAAATAGCAATTTAGCATCGGCCGTCCGGGCCTCTTTGTTTTCAAAACGTTATACCTCTATCAAATCAGAAGGGGGCGATAGAGTTTTGGAGCCGGATTTAATTTGAAGTCAAAATTAAAGTCGAGTTGTAAAGTTTCGGTCGTTTATTACTCAAGTGTACAATATAAATTAGGCAGAAATGGAACTTTAGAATACGAAAGAGCAGGGTGGGATAATTAAAGCGATGTGAACATCGAGGGAATTGTGTAAATTATAATTTGTGTGAGGAAAAAGGTCGACATGGAGACCGATAAAGGTTTATTAGAAAAAGCTTTCTCGTTTCTAATTATACTAAAACGATTCTCGTAGTATATTTTTAACTATTGAAAATCCAAAGCTGTCCGATGTACACAATTTAATATCTTAAAGGGCGTGTTTCTAATTAATTATATTATTATACATATTTCTCATAGAAACACATTTATCAGTTTCACAATCATCCAATTTTTTGAGTAAGGAGAAAAACACTCATCACAAAGTCCCATTTCGATAAATCTCCCGTTACCCCAGTGCACTCAGTGCGGGCATTAATCACAGAAACCACAGAAACTTTATTCACGGATATAACGTCCGGACCGGCCAACTTAGGCATAAATTCTCGTAAATTTGCGTAAATGTGTTATGTGAGCTGCGACGAGCTGTTAACGAGGGATTACGATGAAAAACCCCGGTGCGTTTCATTTATTCAATGGGCTTTCTTATCGAGATTCAACAGGGATGATAGAAATTCTTCCTCATTCGTCAACATTTCTTATTTAGGCAGGACAGCCTTTGAATATGAAATTTTAAAAAATTATCGACTCTTTTCCCCTGTCGTTAAGTGAATTCCATTCTTTATCGTCTTTGTTTAACATTCTTATTGTAATTTTAACATAAAAGCCCCTTTGTCAAATATTTGATTGGAGAATGGGCCAAAATGCTTTTAGAAGGGTGTGACACGTCTGGATCAGTTTTCGTTTTTGTCGTTATAATTTTTTTTTTTAATATAAGTATTTTCCTAGGTTATATTCAGGGGATTTTTAGGCCACTAATTTTTTTCAGCGATCATCTATTCATCAATTCCAAGGGCGACGAACTTCCAAACCGACCGCATTAATCTAATCTAGACTTGGTTTTCAAAGAAAACAATGAAATAAAACAACTCCGGGTTCGATTCAAAACGAAACGATAGGCAATTACTCATTTTATTACTCAAAATTGCCAAAATGTTTAACTAACAATATTTTTTTCACAGCTTAAGTTATAATTGTAACTTAATTTCTCACTTGTGACTTTTAACATATTACATTAATAACTTTAATTATATGATTCCACTGTTCATTGTTTTATTCAGAATATGGCTTTTTTTAACACTCCACCCACCAAAGTGAATACACACCTACACATACACACAATAATTCATTTTTTGACGGCTAAATTTAAATGAAACGCAGTAATGCAGTAAATTATTTGTTTTTAAAAACAAGTCTTTCACATGATTAAAATCTAAAACTGAAACCTTTAAAAGACAAAACGATACAAATCACAGGCAAACAAAAATTATTCAAATTTGCTACCTTGTTCCTCATCATCGTCTACAAGAAATAGAAATTAGAAATTTTTGTTTGTTTTAATAATCACAAATAAAGGTTATTTATGAAAAAAATCTTAAATTATATAACAACAATAAAAATATAGTTTACTGGTTGTTTTAGATCATGCCAAATATTTCTCCCATAATGCCAGCTCCTGGTCAATAACCAGGACAACTGCAATATTGACTGTAGTTGTTTTGCTCTGTGTCATATACATAGGAATGTTATTATTGTTGTTAAGTAAAATTTCCTTTGTGTTTGAAAAGGTATCATCCATCTTCAATCAATCCATCCAAGTCCTCACATTGCCACAATAATTGCTTTAATATTTCTTCCATATCGGAAATTAATTGTGGAAGTTAATGGGGTTTTACCACCAGTATATTAACAAAAATTAAAAAAAAAATATATGTATAAACATTAATCACCAGTGTGTTGACAACCCACATTTATATCTTGATGAAAAATTATATTTCCTTCAAAAATTATATTTTAAGAATGCTTAATTTCCAATTTGATGGTTCTTTCTCATTTGATAGGTTAAAGCCTTAATGTCCTTGAGAGAAAAAAAAAGGATTGGTAAATAAAAGAAAAAGAACATTCGTTTGAACTTGGTGATAAGAGAGTTAAGCTGGTGCATTAATCGTTATTAACCATAAATATGACCATGTTAAAGTACTTTCCTTATATATCATTGAATTTTTAATTTTTTCAACATCATTATTGAGCATCATTATTCGAAGTTGTTATTAGATTCCTTCATTATTTTATAATCCTTTTTTTTATTTGATTCAATTTCTTTTTTAATCTTGTAGTATGTTTAAATTTTAGTTTCGTGATTCCACTATCATCATTTTCAAAAGATTTCTACATTATTATTTATTTATTGTATTTTATTTTTTTCAGGTTCTTCTCATGAGCATGTTGGTTCATGTGACCTTCTGCATCACAGAAAATCCTGTATCTATTAGGTCGAAAGACCTCCAACACCATCAATTAATTACATCATCTACACTGAGATGGCTGTCTGCTGAAAAAGGCAAGCACCCTGACAAAGCAGTAATAGGATCTATATTAATAGAGGCCGGTGGGTTTAAAAAGTCGATCTCCCAGTCTGAACCTATTTTCTATTAATGGCCAAGTTTAAATTTTAGATAATTCTTCAAAGCAACAGCCGAGTGACGAAATGGACAACAACAAACAACTGACAGTGCCTAGAAAAGTGTATATTTGTAGGGCGAGATATAACTCAATTCTGGTTCCTGGACAGCTTCGATTCAGCTCTACTAAGTGTGAAATATCCATGCATGGTCGTACATATTATTATGAAAGGTGAGCAATTCACAAACAAGCAAAAATAATAAAACTTGGTTAATTTTTTTTCTCTTCTGAATATCAATATTATTTCAGATACGAAGTGCTGGAAAATATTGAAAATGGGGCTAGACTCACTTGGGTCAGGTGGGACAAATACTCCGGTCTGCCTGTCGGTGCTGTATCCGCTGGTGAGACTTATATTGCAAGAAGGAAAGCGTCAAATGAATCTACACTGGGACTTGAACACTTTTTGGGAAAACTTGAAATGGAAGGGATCACGGGGAAAATAACTGTTCTCGACAATGTATAACCAATCGAGTGTTATCTATAATGAAATATGAGTATAGTTATAAATTAAATTTTAGGAAAGAGTGCCCCAAGAGTTCACAGATGGCGAGGTACTCATTGAAACAGAACCAGTTCGGTATGAACTGACCAATATAAAATTCAACTACCACAAGAAAATGGAAAAGAATGATGTGCAAACACTTGGATCAGCTGTGATGGTCAACGAAGAGGACTTCACGGCAAACAGCGACACAGTAATAACATACAACTCGACTTACTCGATATACTGGGGCCAAGGAAAAGGCATTTTAATAGGTCTACCAACAACTATAAGACAACAAGATGGAAGCGTACTTGAAGAAATCAAATGGGGAATCACAGAGAAAGAAGACCGAAAAGAACATATTTACAAGTACTTACAGCTACAGTAAAAATTATATACAGATTAATTATGTATTATATGTATTTCAGAGTGGAAATTAAACTTGATCCAGGGACAGGAACAAACGTTACACTTCTGGGAAATCTCACAGAAACTGAAATTCCATACACAGCAAGACTGGTTGCTGTCTATCCTGATGATGCTACCCGAGGGAGGACCATTCAAGGAATTCGACACGAAATTGCATTGAAAGATGTCAGAACAGTCTTCTCGCCCTTATACTTTACCGGTAATTAATAAATAAAAATATTAATGTCTTTTAATATCACTTTTTTTAAGTTTCTCATCAAATTGTGTAAAAAAAACTGAAATAATGAACATAATTAAGCACAAATTTGTTTTAGACAACAAGAGACAGATTGTTTAGAAACAATAGAATATTAAGGTGTATAACAAATAGAAAGAAAGTACAATCAAAAGTAGGGTTAAGAAAAAAAAATTTGAAATACACAGCATTTAAGAAACCACATCATAAGATTCTCCAGTTATGCACATAACTATAATTGACTAATTATTTTTTAAAAAATTGCAGGAAATAATTCATTTGTGCCAACAACGACTACAACGACAACTACAACTACAACCACAACCACGACAACAACTGAAAAGAGCAAGGATATACCAAAGAGGACAGAGAAGGAGAGTGAGGTGAAGAAAGAAGAAAATCAGACTACAGACCTGATGAATGATCAGGGTTCAAATGCCGGGTCGAAAAAGAAAGAAGTTCATTCCCACAGCTCGGACGGAGTTAATTTACAGTTTGACAAATATTTATTCTATATTGTACCATTTTTCCTAAGTCTTAGGATATGCTACTAAGAAATTTCAATATGTGTGGCTCTATAAATGTACATGACTGAGAAAAATGTTGTTTGTTTTTTTGCATCAGTTTTTATCTTTGTTGACATTAATCGCTTGTGTTCTGAAGAGAGATTGTATAAAAGAGTTTGAGAAAGAAATAGTTACAATTGATTTTTAATCTTAATTGTTGAAAATTTTTGTCAAAGGTAAATAATAAAACCTTGCTTCAAGCGTTTTTTCTCTGATAAATAACTATAAATATTGATCTGTTTGTTTTTCTTCATGCAGGAGCTTTCATTATGAAATTGGCTCAGTTGAAAGATCTTACATGAAGTTAAACTACAGTATTTTTTACAAGTCTGATTTTTAAAAATATTGCAATTCACATTTTCGAAAATGAAGCTTTCAATAATAATTCGTGAATAATTAGATGCTTTAAACAGAAAACATTGGAACAACGTCTAGCTTTATTTAGACCTTTAGGGGGGATTTTTTCCTTTAAAAATAATGTCAGTTGTAAAAATGTAAGTTGTTAATCGAATATATTTGATAGAATATATTAGAAAACTTCAAGATGAATGTAATAAACACATTCCTTTTATTAAATTATTCTTGTTAAAGGTAGATCTTTTTTCTGTTGTACAATTGATGTAAAATAATTTAAATATAAGGTGTAATATATTATCAAAAGGAATGAGTGAAAAAGAGAGAAAAAGAAGAAAAGCAAGAAAGGTAAAATTATTTTATGTTTATTACTTTTTGTTTTTTAATCATATATACATAATATAAATGTTTATTAAAAATTTATGTATATAATGAAGATTAATTAATTTTGAGGGAAAAATTTTAAATTGCTGTATTTTTATAAAAGTTTTTTGTATTTTCTTTTTTTTTATAGTTCAGGCAAGTCTGACAAATGAATAAAAAAAAAATCGCAATTGTATGTTATGTATGTATAGCACAATATTTATAGATTGCACGTTAGAGTGAGCTGAAAGTTATTTTTGTACAATTTATGTATTTAGCACTTCAAAAATCTGAAAAAATAAGTGTAAAATAGAACTAAAGCTTATTTTGTAATATTATATTTTTAACAGCAGGTATTTAATTTGTTATATTTATCTAATCATTTGTGAGAGTTGCAATAGTTCATCGTTTGTAAAGTTTTACTTTTTCTGTTCTGGGAAAAACCAAATGTAAGGAGTAATTTAATTAATAAGTCTGAAGATATTGAAATGATGTACTGAAGAGTAATCCGGAAAAAAATCGTAGTTCTAAATAATTATCAAAAGCTTTTTCAATGGACAATAAAATAAATCGTAAAGGAGAAGCGAAACTCTCACCAATATATGCACAATCGGAAATTACTGCAAAATAAAATATGTAAAAACAAATGTTCATTTTCATACCCAAACTATACCATTCTGAGTACTGCATACATATATGACCTTATCAATTTGATATCGAATGTCAAATAAGTCAAAAATATATGTATAAATTTTAACAAACACACCAACATTACAAATGATAGCAAATTTTATTCAAAATGTGTAGTTGCAGTAATTACTTTTTTGATAAATGTGATATGAATGATATTGAAATTTATTCTAGAATTTTTTTTCTAAAATGAGTCTAAAAGTCTTCCAAAAAAAATTATTATTTATAATTATTATAATTCTACTATTTTACTGTTTAAAAAAAAAAGTTTATTATTTTTGTTTATATATAGCACATCAGGTACATCCCAAGATTATTTATTTACTTAATATAGTATTTCTAGCACTATTTTGAAAGCTTGGATTTTACTGCTCTAAAGATAAAACAACTTAAAAGACATGCATTCACTTCAATTGTGAACTGGACTTATCTGTAATGGTGTTGTTCAACATGCGAGGACTTACCCATAGCTCCCAATTGCTGAGGTGTGAGTTTTACTTCTGCGTGTGAAAGGCCAGCAGCAGAGAGGCGGTCGGAAAGCGTTGACAGGACAGATGGCTGGCGATAAACAGTCCTTGTGGCCGCAGGGCTACCACTTCGGTGAGAGCCCACTACACTCCCATGATCTGGTGGAATAAGAAAAGACGAAAGAATAATTTGTTGGAATATCAAATACAAACGTCTAAACTAGTTTGTGCAAAAAAAAGTCATGTATAAAAATAAGACTTACCAACTTATATAAGGCAACCCAAAGTTCAGGGATTTAAAATGCCAAATTCTTAAGCGAATAAGTTACTTTTTGGTGTTTTGAAGTCCATGGGGTAGAATAATACCACTCCCTCTGCATTTTGTAACTAGACTTGGGACTAGCTTAGGTTGCATTACATGGTATTATTTCTCTAATAGTAAAAGTATATAATTATTTTATCCTAATGGCATTTTAACAAGAGAGAGAGAGAGAGAGAGAGAGAGAGAGAGAAAAGAAGATGATAGTTAAATTTGTTACCTCCATTTGGAGACAAGGTTGCTGGTGTTTTATTGCTCTGCTCAGTGGGTTTTTGCTTTAATCTTGAAACACTGAACGAACTGCTCTTCTTTCTCCTTTTCATATGTGAAGCAACAACTACAAGGAGTGCAAGTCCTGCTCCTGCCGAAATTATCAGCACCTGTCAAATATAACCAAAAATGAAGTGAAACTTTTAACTTAATACAATTCACATTATGTTTGATCATAGTGTTTGATTTTGGAGTTTAAATTAAATATAAAAAATAAATCAGGGAAACGTAAAAAAATATAAAATAGTCTGATCTTACATTCTTGCCTTACCACTGACGATTGTAAAAGGTTGAAATGTGTCTGATAGGTCAAACCAACAAGGATAAGACAGACCAAAATGTTTGATAATGACCAAATTACAGGTCCATCACCTTGCAGACCTCAGGATGAAATTTCACATCAAATAACCATCATTTTCATTCTGTGATATGCTGCTTAATCATCCCTGATCATTCTGGTCTATACACCATACAAAACAGTTAACTTTAACATGTGAACCTTACCAGTGATGATAGCAGATCAAAATGATGAAAATAACCAAATACACATATATCACCCGGAAGATCCCTAGATTTAAATTAAACAACTAATTATTATATCTTATCTGAGTTCTGTGAGATGAACCCAAATCCAGATTGTCCCAGATCATCTTGATCTATACACCATAGTTTAATTTTATCTTCTTACCTTACCACCGATGATGGCGCAAGGCTGAAGTGTGTCTGACAGACCAAACCAGTGAGGATAGGCAGACCAAAATGATCAGAAAATAAAATTATCTCTTCAATGCATAATATTATTTAAAAAATTTATTTTCATTTTTGATACAATGCTACAAGCTAATTTTTATAGATGAAATAAACAAGAAATACAGTTTAAAAATGCGTTCTTTTATATAATTATGTTTATGTGAGCTTTCCTTCTCAGACACAACACATAAAATTGCTAAAAAATGAATAGGGATATTGCCAATTTTGTAGTAATTACTTTCCCTACCATTTTTATTTTTAATTATAAATAGCATTAAAATGTATTGGAAATTGTTTTTTTACTGAAGGAAAATTTCATTAAGGGATTTTGAAAAATAAAAGGTTTTAATTCCATAATTTTGTTTAATGGACAATTTTTTTTTTTAAACAATTAATACAGTGTATAATGTTCTCTGTTAGCTAAATCCTCTTTTACAAGGGTTCACAACAGCAGAGGTCATATAAACCCTCAGGATGCTAGTGCTTTTGATAAAAAGCCCATTTGTATGTCGGGTTCGATTACAGGGCTGCTGTATTCGAACCCAGGACATTTACCTTTCAGTGATGAGCGCCGTATCAATGCCTAAACTGTTGCAGCCACTGATGTCCCTACTCAACGGTATTGAAGTCTGGAGATAATGGAGGAAGGGGAAGACAGGAAAATTCCATGTTTTCTGAACATTGATGAATCTCTATTTTGAGGGAGTATTCCTCGACAATTTCTTGGACATAACAGACTGCGGTGAGATTGCCTTCAACAATATAAAGTCCAGTTCATCATCCAGTAAAAATCCTAGCCCAGACCATTACACTGCCTCGTCCAAACTGCATTGAAGGGTGCATGAACTCTTGCATTATACACATCCCCAATCCTCGATAGACTCTCCAGTGCCTGCTATCACTACACAGACCGAAATGCAATTCATCACTGAACATAACAGCATTCCACTTGGTTTCCTCTTCTAAGCACTCACTGCACCATATTCGCCCGAGTTGCTGGTGACGAACTGTTGCTGCAAGTCATCTCAAAGGGGCGTACAATGTGAGGCCAACTTCCCACAAGCAATTCGAATCATCAAAACATCTTGTACTTAATTTAGGATCCAGCGGACACTACGGAAAGGGTTCCTCTTGCAGCAATGACAAAATTTCTGTCCCCCTTTTGTGTCGTAATGCTGAGATCCACATGCTGGTGACTTCGATGACTCATTTCTACATTAATATTGTGAACTTCTGGCGTGATTATTTCAATGGTTAAAGATAATACAACTGGATTAAAATGGAGAAAAGAGGAGAAAAGGTGTTTGTTTACAAAATGAGTAATCTTCAAATTTATATTCATAAGTAAATCCGTTGTTAAAAATGAGGATTAACATTTCTTTGTTTTTGGTTTGTATTTTCTATTTTATTTTATCCAACTAACAAGAATATATCGGTTCATTTAATCAAAATAAATAGAATAAGAATAAATTACAACATCCCTATTTATTTTTGAGCAGTTTATAAACCCTTACTGCGCACATACATTCATGAACACAACAAACACTACTTTTCTATATTTATCTCTCCTCTTCACAAGTTTACAAAGCAAACACTTTCACAGACACACATACACACTAACTCTGGATCACATATCATGCACCAACGACTTAAAAAAAACTTACAAACCAAACATTCGCAAAATACAAAAACACAATCTTTTTTTCCCGCACTCACACATTCATTTACAACAAATGAAAAACACATTTATGCACAAAACAAACAAGTACAACCGACACATTACCTATCGCTCACACATATTAACTCAAAGCATGCATACAAAGCAAACACCTTCACCCATACGTACTCATCATACAAATCGGGTATGAAGTCACGCTGGAAACCAGATATTCGTAGAAAGGCATTCTGCAAAGACTTGGATAACAACAGATGAATGTAGGGGATGAATACAGCTTACCTTCTGGGTTGTCGACAGGTAGAAATTGTCCCAAATCAGGTGGGATGGTGACCTGACGTGCCTTGACCACAACATTTTCGACCGTTCCGAGTCGACAAAACCCTCTCACCTTTACTTGGAATTTCGGCTTACACTTTCTCAATTTACGCTTTCCGCCCTCCGATTCCGCGCCCACCCCCGGACCAACTTATTTCTTCAGCCAAATATGTGTTTCTTTCTTTTTGGCCATTTCTAAATTTTTAAAACTTTGCCGAGAAAAACACATGAATGTAACAGTGGAATAAACATTAAACATACGAAGGTAACCTGACGTAAACCTACTGCGGCAAAATTCAACTGAAGCTGCCAGGAAACATTTGTACGTCATTGAATGTCATGGTCATTCTGACCATCCCTAACCATTCTATTAGACGAAATGGTGAATAATGGAGTGAGTGCGGTGTTCACTCCTTTTTTTTAAAAAAAGTACAAACATATTACGGTGTAGAGAATTAATTAGAGGAATTCTTTGAGATCCTCTAATGTTCCCGACCAAATGCATAAAATATCGTCTACATAGCGTTTCCAAAAATGAACAGATTTAATTAATTTGTTCTTTGATTTGAAAAGATTTTTTTCAAAATTATCCATGAATATTTCGGCACAAAGTGGGGCTAATGGAGACCCCATTGGTAACCCTTTAATTTCGTAAAATAATGGTAATAATAAATATTGTAAAAGTATTTACCATTATAATATTTACTTGTATTATAATTCCCGCTTTTCGCACGTTCAAATTGAGCCCCATTAAAAAAAAAAAACAGGTTTTCATTGGAACGTCGCGTTGGCGGGGATATCGGCGGGTTCACTTTTGCAATTCATGTTGAGAGACGTGGTTGTAGAAATCCTTCAAACTGATGATGAGCAAAGGGCTCGAAATCCGGACGTTGGAAAACAACTTAATATGAGTAAGAACTATCTTGTTAAAAAAAAAAGGATTTTAACTAATAAATTTCAAACAAAATAACAATGACGAGATTTAAAATTATATTTGTGGATAATAATAATAAAATATGTATTACAGAATTACAATACAAAACAACAAATAAACATATCTAGGTTCAGGACGCCCTTTTCCTTTACTTAACAATAGTCTATGATAATTTTAACAGTTTTGTTTATCAAATTATTCATTTTTCATCAGATAAAACTTCAATCTAGTTAGCACATACCTAAAAGACAAAACATAACAATAAACCATACAAAATAAATGAGTCAGGCCCAACAACAAATTACAAATACATATGTGCATGTTATTCATGATCAATATGAAGTAGGTATCTTATGGCAGTTTGTTTTCTAGGTACATAATTCTGTGTGTTGGTATGTTTTTCACATTATTGGTTTATAACATTTGGATTGCAAAGAACGAATTTGAGTTCTAAATAAGTGAATTTTATTAGCAAAAGTGTTAATTTGACAAGAAAAGTGTGAATTTATTTTGCAAAAGGTTGAATTTGATTTGTAAAAAGGTGAATTTGATTTTTTAAAAGAGTAAACATGAATTGCAGAAGAGTGAATTTAAATAGCAGGAAAATGAATTTGATTTGCCAAAGAGTTAATTTGAGTTCTGAAAAAGTCAATTTCATTTGCAAAAGATAGGATTTGATAGGTGAATTTAAGTTCTAAAAAACTTCTGCCTTTAGTTTCTGTGATGGTCCTCTGATCAACTTTTCCACATGCCTCTGTCCTGGGGTACATTCTCATTGAGCGGAGGACTTATTATTGATGCATTGTTTTTGGCAGTTTGGTAAGCCAACAGGTGTCACTGAATTTTCCTTCACCAATTTATCAGCCTCTTAATTGCCCTGTTGTTTGTTGATATTATTGTCATTATTGTTTTGTATATTTTGTTATGCTTTATTGCTGTTATTATTATTATTTTACTACGTTTATAAAACTTAATTTATTTTAATATATGTAAGGGGGCGTAAAGCCTATTGTACATTTAAATTAAATCTTCTTAACTAAGTTAGTTAGAACTTTTTTCTATGCCTTTTACGGTCTAATATCACTCTATTTTTTTTTTTTTTTTATTAAAACATAAAAACGATTAACAAAATTTCGCCTGGCTTATTGAACCAATCAATGACGTCATTGATGACCCCATAAGTATAACGTTTAATAAAAACAACGTGTAACCTCACGTAATCAACTGTCAACATTGACTTTTTCCGTTCTTGTCACTTGTTTGTAGTTGAGTTAGTCGCGCAGGGGAGAAAACGGCGATGCAGGAGATTTTCCAAAGGTCGATGGCATTCTCCTGACTGCAGAAAACGGGCCGGTGTCGTCTTCCTTGGTGTAGACCCAGAGTGGAAAAATGGAAGAAGAGGCTCTTGATAAAAATGCACACATCAACCATTTGCCCAACGAGATCCTCGAGTACATCATCAGCCTCCTCCTCCCGTACCAGGATCTCGAACAATGCCAGCTCGTCTGCAAGAGGTGGCAGATTGTTGTCAAAAGTAATTTTCAATATGTACCATTAACTATTGGAAAATTAACTAATCCTTTTATTTTTTTACCTATTTCAATGCCAGTTTCAAATTTTTCCTCCTGTATTTATACAAAAATATATCTTCAAGTGTTAATAACATTCGATTTGTTGTTATTTTTACTTTCTATCAAAAATACTGGGCATTTAGTTTTTGTAGCTGTACGCTTAGTTTCCATCAGTATCGTGGCCATACTACTTATCATGTTTATTCTTATTTATTAGTATTATAGATGCAATGACTTCCTGGTGAGATTTCTTTTTGACTTCTGTGGCGTGACTTCGCTTTTGACTTCATCCTGTAGTCTGTGTAGTTTAGTCATTTTCAATCATTTGGTTGGCCTTCCTGTTTTGGCCTGTTAGATGCATCTACAGGTCTACCAGGTGATACACTTGTATTTGGTCACTGGCGGCATTTTGTCTGTAGATCCTTCTTGTTAGAAGTATTTTAGTCTTTCACAATCATCGGTAAGTAGACAAGAATGCTTATTTAAACTGTTTTGAGAGGCATTTAGACCAGGATGATCCGGGACAATTATGGTGCAAGTTTATTTCACAGCACCCGGTTGTAAAGTTTCATCTACAGTTGTCAGGTGATATCCTTGTATTTGGTCATTTTGTCTGTAGATACTTGTCATTTTGGCCTGTTAGAGGTATTTCAGATTTTCATAATCATCGGTAGTAAGACAAGAATGTTGAATTAAATTGTTTTGTAAGGCATTTAGACCAGGATGATCAGGGACCTTCCCGCTGCAAGTTCAACTCACAGCACCTGGATGAAAGATATAGTAATTTGTTGTGAAATTTCATCTACAGGTATGCCAGGTAATATACTTGTATTTGGTTATTTTGTCTATGAATCCTTGTCATTTTGGCTTGTTAGAATATTTCAAGGTGGTCTGAGTTACAGTCCTTGACTTAATTCACTAATTTCGTGGTCCGCTTGACTTAATGTTGAGCTTTCAATGAAATTTGAGATCGCCTGTAAAAACTTTAATATGTCAATCTGTGGACATATTTATGGTCATTTTGCCATAATGATGACCTTAAAATAGTAGACTAAATTTGCTTTCTTCTTCAAGACCATACCTTGATCCAGAGTGTTCGTAAGTGAAAAAGTGGTCAATACTTCTGATACTGAAAGCCTTTTGTCAACATCACTTGTAAGGCTTGAGTGTAAAATTAAACTATTTTATATAATGTATAGACCAGGATGATCAAAGAGAATCGAGAAGCAGCTTTATCTCACTGCTCAGATGGTAGAGATTGAAATTTGGTGTGAAATTTTCATCTAGTGGTCTATGGGGTTATGTATCTTGTTATTTGGTCATTTTGGTTTCCCTATCCTTGTTGGCTTGGTCTGTCAGACACATTCCAGCCTTTTGCCATCATTAATGATAAGGCAAGAACATCAAATTAAACTATTTTGTATGGTATATAGATCAAGATGTTAGGGGACAATCAGGATAAGGATTCATCTGACAGAACTTTGATAAAATAATTAGCAATTCGTTTTGAAATTTCATCTAAGGTTGTGATGTACCTGTATTTTGTTATTTGTTATCATTTTGGTCAGTGTTTTTTCACTGGTTTAGTCTGTGAGACTCTTTTTAGCCTTATGCCATCATCAGTGGTAAGGGATGAATGCCTGTTAAACTATTTTGTATGGGTTGATGAGGATTGATTACGTTGAAGTAAATTCTTGTAGACCTCAGATGAAAAAGATGTCAAATTTCATCTACAGATCTATGGGATGAACCTATAGTTTGGCCTTGTCCGATCATTTTGGTCTTCCTCTACTTGCTGTTGTGGTCTGTCAGGCATGCTTCAGCTCATAACCATCATCAGTAGTAAGGCAAGAATACTAAATGAAACTATTTTGTATGGCATTTATACCAGGATGATCACTGGTAATTGAGCTAAAGATTTATTTCACAAACCTCAGATGAAAGACATGATAATATGTCGTTAAATTTCATCTAGAAAGACTCATTTCAGTAAAATTAAACCATTTTGTATCATGTATAGACCATGATACCACCAGATGACAATCAGGCAGCACATTTATGTCACAAAACTTGGATGAAAAAGATTGTAATTTGGGTGAAATTTCATCCAGTGGTCTGCGGAGGGGATGGACTTGTAGTTTGGTCATTTCCGATCACATTGCTCTGCCTGCCCTCGCTGGTTTTGTATGTGAGACATTTTTCACACTTTATTTTATTTTATTTTTTTCACTTTTCAACCCTAACCAAACTTTTACCATCATCAGTGGTAAGGCAAGAATTTAAAATCAAACCATTTTATACCGCGTATACACTAGGATGATCAAGAATGTTGATCAAACTGGACATTAACTAGTGTAAATTTCATCTATAGGTCTGTTGGGTGATAGCCCCCTGTAGTTTTGTCTTTTCCGATCATTTTAGTCTGTCAGGCATATTTGTTGCGCTTAACGATAATCATTAAGAATGTTAAATCAAACTATTTTGTGTTGCCTTTAGACCAGGATGATCAAAGATAGTAATTTGTTGTAAAATCTAGCTGTCTGTGGTGTGATAAATCTTCGTATTTTCCAATCATTTTGGTCTCCATGTCCTCACTGGTTTGGTTTTGGATGAAATAATAATTTGTTGTAAAATTTCATTTATTTTTCATTTTCATAGTATTTGGTCATTTTTGATCTTTCTGATTTTTGGTCTGTTAGACAATTTGGCTTTTCACTAAGTCCAGTGTGGTTTTGTGTAATATTTTGAATGAATAGGCAGAGCAAAATGATCATCGACAATAAATTTATAATTTTTAAATTGTTAAAGGACAGTTAAAAACAATGTTTTCTTTTTTAAACATAAACTTTATAGTTTGGCGATTGGGTGTTTTGGCCTTTTAGATTTGACTTTTTGCTATCTTCAATGATGTGTCTGAGACATCCCTAATACTTATCAGAGATGACTTTTTACAAACTGCAGTTTTATAAGTTTTTGTTCATTACTATAAAGATTCTACTTAATGTCTGAATCCACTTGAAAATTAAAAAATAAATAAATCATATTGGCTCTTTGCAAAGTTAGTGATACACCCAAGAATTAAATCTTTGTCTAAATACAGCATCCCTTACACTTTCAAAAAATTGTTTAATCAATAAAAATTATTAAATATTATTTTAAATATTACTTACCAAATATAATTTAAAAATGTACTTTTTTGTAGGCCTTTTGTTGAAGGTATTTTTAAATATTATGACAGTTTTTAATCATTAATTTTATTTAAAAACACTTTAAACAAAATGCCTACAAAAAAGTTTTTTTTCATCTATAAAAAGAAAGACAACAACAATAAAAGGGGTGTCAGTGGCCACAACAGTTAAGGCATTGACCCAGCGCTTATCACTGTAAGGTAAAGGTCCTGGGTTTGAATCCAGCGGCCCTGCATTTGAACCTGACATATTTACAAATTTTTTTTTTTCTTCCAAAAACACTGCTACCCCAGAAGTTGATATGACACGGCTGTTACACTACAAACACAAGCACATACATTATTTTCAATATTACATAAATTTGTGGCAGTGAGATTAGTTTTTATTACAACTTTCGCATGGGCCTTATAATGAAACAATGTATCATAAATAAAAATAGTTTATTATATCAACTTTCTTCATAAATTAATCCTTTTATGCAAGGTTTTGGTTGAAATGAAAAAGTTAGTACTACGAGCGGGATTTGAACCCACGACCTTTGGCTAAATATGCTGCTGCGTAATTACAGCACCATAGCACTAACTTTTTCATTTCAACCAAAACCTTACATAAAAGGATTAATTAATTGAAAGAAATAATTTGGTCAATGGACTACTAAGTATAATGGGGGTCTTAATAAAACTGAAATAAAATTTTCATTCATTCATTCTATCTCTTATCTTTATATTTTTTTAAAAATGTATATGTTAATATTTCATTTTAAATTGATTACATTATGGAAATTACAGGTGTCATAAAGCATAAAAAATTGGAGTTCTACCGGGCCATAAGCAATTTTTGTATTCAATGGGTGGATGAAGAGGAAAGTGTAAACCCTGTTATAACCAAACGCTACTTCCACTCTGCTTGCAGTCACGGTAATAAAAATATTTTTTAAAAATCGTATTTTCCTCAGCACTTATAGATTGGCTTACAGAAAATGCTATGTACGTGTTTGGTGGATGTGCCTGTGCAAGTACAACATTCAACGATCTCTGGAAGCTTGACCTATCAACAAGGAGTTGGAGCAGGCTGCTCACGATGGGCAGCTATCCATGTCCGAAGGCATGTGCCACCCTTGTTTATTATAACAATACACTGATATTGTACGGGGGTTGGACCTACCCTTCGCCATATCCCTTGCACCAGGTAAAACATGTTAATAACATCAGACTGTATTGTAAATATTTTTTTTTGTCACTCAGCCCTGGACTATCTTCAACGAGCTGCACGTGTATGATATAGTAGCAAATAGATGGAGTGCCATAACATCAACAGTCACCCCTCCTTCAATGGCAGGCCATACCGCCACTGTCCATGGCAACAACATGGTGGTATTTGGTGGTTTAGATGGACACAACAGTGTGTAAGTAAATTATAAAAAACAAATCAATTCTTTCTAAAGTTAAATTTTAATATCTTTGTTTTAATGGAACAAATTTGAAATTAAAAATATACAAATATATAAAAAAAAAAACTACCTTAAATTTGAAGCAACAAATTTATAAAAGGACTTCATTTTTCAATTAAATGGTTTTGTTGTGTTTTTACTAATATGAATGACTTTATTTCAGATCAAATGATGTTTGGTGTCTCAATTTAAAAACAATGTCATGGTGCAAAAAAGACACGTCAGACAAAAGACCCCATGCTCGGTATAAACATTCGCAAATTGCTATTGATGAAGACCATTTAATTATTTTAGGTATATATACTTATTAAAAGTAAAAAAAGTAAAAATACATGTTTATAATGTATATCATATAAACAGGAGGCTATATTGGTCCACCGAATATGATGTCAAACGATGTCTGGTTGTTGACGATGACTGGAAAGGTTTGGGTTTGGTCGTCCATAACTATAAATAATACCCAATGGGCTGCCTCCCATCTCTGGTGTCATCCAGCTTGCAAAGTATGCTAAAAAAAATAAATAAATAAAGGTAAAATTACTATGAATGTTTGTTTTGCAGGTAGACGATTTTGTCGTTGTACTGAGCAGAAATCCAGAGTCATCTCCAACCCCTTTAGCATACACAAGATGGGCCATTAACTCCCATACCAGGAATCACCAAAGGAGGCCTTTCGAAGAACAAAATTTGTAATAATAACAATACCTCCATCAATTTTCCATCAGTTTAACTTTTAAACATTTTTTTTTTTAAACTAGAAATAATGGGAGGAATGGTGATGAAGTATTAAGAGGGAATTCAAACAACTGTGCCAGGATAGACCGAGACGTCAATGTAAATGGCAGAAGAGGAAGTTTCATATCAAGGGTCTGGATGATCGATAGACCTGCGAACCCTTGGAATCCGCGCCGTGCCTCAGAGCCTTCTTCTGGTAGAATTTCAACTAATGCGATACATTTGAACAGCATTCGAGGGTATATGCTACCAAATCTGCGGAATCAGTGAGTTTGAATTCTGGTTATTTTTCAACTGTCGATATAAATTTCCTATTTCTTTGAGATTTTTATAAATTTGCTATAATAGTATGTAAAATGATAGTTCTTACGTCAAAATTTGTTTGTCTTTACATATTTTAATTCCGATGTATTTAAATCTGAATTTTTTTTCCTTCTAAGCTAGTTTTATGTGTGGTAAATTAAATTTAAATTTACTGTATATGCGTGTGAGATGAGAGAAATTAATTTTATATAGGTGAGATTACACAAACAAGTAAAAACAAAGCAAATAGCTGCAAAGTATAAATTCAAAGTATTAAACTGTTTAGTTGAATCATTTTCTAGATCATCATGTGAGATGTATTTTTGCATTTACAATGATCAGACAAACCCATCAAGAATAGGCACAAGAGGGACAATCAAACCATGCACTTTTTCTTACATAATAATATAATTTTTTTGCCCTATACGTACTAGTACTTTTACAAATGTGATCACAATACGTTTTTTCACACAGTCACAGCACTAACACTAAGGCCAGTGCTGCCCCCAGAGGACACATGCTGTGAGAAACCAGTCAATACTGGCACTCAGTGTGGACGATTAAGGGCAATGAGGTCTCAATGCTATTATTGATTAAGGCAGCTTGGCAGGTTCTCGGGATGGGAATGTCCCCGCCAAAGGGCTTTTGGAATTGGGAATGGATCAGTTGGTTTCTTAAGTAATGTTGAAGCAGTTTTGGACAGTGAGATTAGTGATATAGGAAATATCTTTGATGATTTGTCTGAGGATTTTTGATTGGAAGGATAGGGTACGTTGGATATTGGATGGCTCGGCAGAAAGCCACAGTTCCACTATGTACGTCAAAAGTGGCCAAAGTAAAGTCTTATATAAGTTTAGTGTAGACGGTCAAGACAGATTTTGCTTATAGAAGTATTCGTAGTTGACCAAGTCTTCTGTTAAGTTGTCTCTTAAGAATTGTATGGGAATTCTGCAGACTGTCTAGGTATAGTCCTAACTATAAAGGCTTGTCCTCCACTTTTGGCATCAGTCTTCAATAAGCTCAAGGTGTTCTTGGATGGTGGAGGTAGCTTGGATAGGATTCAAGTTAGATGACAAAATTAAATCGTCTGCATAGGTGGATGATGGTATTAGGATGTATAGGTAGATCAGCATATTTATACTTAGTTATACAGTTTCTTTATATACTTAGAGTGTATAGAATCCATTTGAAAAAAATAATACCTGCTTAATTATTCAGAAATCGTGAGATGCGATCTGGTGTGATGTAGGTTTCAGAAAAACATTTTCTTTATCATGCCAACGTTTCGATCTTTATTGAGATCATCTTCAGGGCTCAAAGTGTTTGTCTTCTATGTAAATGTGCCATTCTTGCGTGTCGTGTTGAGAGTCACAATTACACAGAAGACAAACACTTTTGAGTCCTGAAGATGATCTCAATAAAGATCGAAATATTGGCACGATAAAGAAAATGTTTTTCTGAAACCTACATCACTCCAGACCGCATCTCACGATTTCTGAATAATTATCGATTAATGCCATTAATCACCACACATAATACCTGCTATTCCAAAAATAAGAGTATTATCATCAATTATAGTCTTATCAACAAGTAAAATTAATTAAAGTTGTAGTTTGGTTGTTTTCGATCATTTCAGGCTGCCTATTATTGCTATTTGCATGTCATATCAAAAAGTCTGTTGATGAAGATGACAAGAAGCTGACAGATGTCTGATAGACTAAAAAAACCCTACAATTTTTAATTAATTTTATTTATTTTTAAAGCTCATCCACTCAGCAGATGCCTAACCATGAGGAAATATCATTATTTTCATTTGAGTTTATTTTATGTTTAGTAATTTTTTTTTCCAGAGAAAAGAGGTTAGATGTTTTACGAAAAATGGAGGAAAAGATACGGCAAATCAAAAAAGACAGTAAAAGGTCGAAACACCCCAAGATGGCCATGTTCGTCCTGAACATTTCCAAAATCCTCGAGGAGAAACCCGAGGCCGATTGGCTGCCGTTGAGGAGAGTCGCGGAGGGAAGCCCTGAGCCCACGATCTTCTACACGCTCGTCAAAGGAAATGGTGAGCTCATCATGTTTGGTGGAATCAAAAAGGACGCAAGTGCTGTCCAGTCGAGCCAGTCCCAGCAGAGCTCAGATGAAGCAGACATCGTGTCTAATTCTCTACATTTCATTACCGCACCTGTCACTACTGTGTAAAAAAAAAATCATGTTTATCTATGTACATTTTAATATTTATCTTTATTCTGTATAGCCAGTAATTATTATAATTTCTTTAAACTTGATTATTCTGTTTTCCTTCTGTTTGGCGCTACGTTCACAAAATGCTGTGCATTCAAGTTTTGCAACACCATAATAAAAATACAAAAATGCATGTACAAATTTTGATTTGAAAAAGAAAAATTGTGATTTAAGTTGAAGGAATGTTAGGTAAATATTAAGGCATGTAACATATCGATAAGTTAAGAATGGACAGCGTTATTACATTTTAGAAGTCTAACATTAATTCAGGGCAACATTATCATGTACATATTATAAATAAATGTTGTTTTTATCGTATAAAATTATTCAGTTTTCTGAAAAAGTTCAAAGCTGAAGAAAAAAATAATAAAATAAATATTTTATAAATTTCCATTTATTATTCCTTTCTTTTTTAAACTGTTTGATATCTTGGAGACAGTACATCAAAAACAAGGTTGTAAAGAAAAAATACAAGTATTTTCATTTTTAAAAGTCTGCTGTGTTAAAAAATAAATCAAGTTATGTCTTATTCAATTGTATAGACAACATCATTATCATTGATATGTCTTGAAAATATAAAAAATTTTACATGTATTTTTTTAGTTAAACAGTTACAAAGGTAGAATTTGAATAATATCTTACACAAAAAAAAGTAGTTGAACAGAGGATTTTATTTTTATCTTAATAAGCAAGTAATTAAACTAAATGTAAATTTAGACAATCATAAAGCTATGTAGACAAATTGATAAGATACAATTGATAGTATAAATTTATTGAGCATTCTGACCAAAAGTAATCATCCTCGGTGATTCTGTTGCGTCTTTGTTCATATTATTCTTTTTATGTAAGGCCTTGGTTGAGATGAATAGTTAGTGTCACAAGCGGGATTCGAACCCATGAACTTCAGCTCAATGCGCCGCTGCTCTAACCACTTGAGCTATCATGACTCTATTGAGCCGAAGGTCATGTTCGAATCCCGCTCGTGACACTAACTTTTTCATCTCGGCTAAAACCTTACATAAAAATAATAATTAATAGAAATAATTAATATGGTCAATTAGACCAATAAACATAAATGGATTTGTTCATAATTTTTGACATAATAAATAATAATAACTGTGTATTTAACATAACCATAAAGTAAACATATTCATAAGCAATTATACATATTGATACATAACGTTATGAGTAATAATAATCTTAAAACAAGCAATAAACAAAATTAATTAATTAAAATAAAAATATGAACATCAATACTTCTGGTAATCTGGACTATTGGAGGGGTTGCATTGCTTGATAATAATAATTCAGGAAAACGTATAGCTACAATAATAAAGTAAATGTAAAGTAATATGTGTAATACCAAATTAAAGAAAAAAAGATACAAATAAATAAGGTATTTAGATTTATATAGGCTCAAATATGCACATGTACATACCAACATATAAACATGTGCTGAGTTGTTTGCTTCTTTTAATCCACCAGCAATTCCAACTTTTGCTATTCAAGAAAATTGCTGGCAGACTCAAGAATCACCCACCCCCGGGTGTGGCCGTCCAGACCTCAGTCTTCTCTGTCCAGCCACGGAGGTTGTGCTCCAGGTGCTATTAACAGCAAGGTCAATTCAGCATGCATGTTTCCAAAACATAGTCACAATCATTCTTAACCTTCATTTCTATTTACATATCATTCATTCAATAGGGTGGTGGAATACTCAATATTCCTCCATCACCCTTTACATCAACTTAATTGAGGGTCAATGGCACTCAATATTCCATCATCGACCCTCTCATATCACACATTCATGCTAATAAATACCTTCACTCTAAGCTAGTATACACAACTATTATTTCTATATATGGAACAACCCCGTTTTCTCCAAGAATCAGAAAAGGGGACCCAAACACTCACTGGAGTGCTCAAGTACAATTCTTATATTTGATGGCATCCCTGCGCACTCTCTGTATGGAGCCAAGAAATTGCACCATTCAATGCATGCCAGATACACATGGGCTTTGGCACAAAGGTAAGTGTCCATGGCCTATTCTTAACCTGGTGTGGAAAATAAGATTCTTCTAATTATTAAAGTATGTGACGAGTAAGCTTCCTTCCAGATTTAGGTTTTTTTTAATTTTTGACATGTTTTTACCAATCTGTTTGTGTAACATTTTGGCCTAATTTCAAGGATATTTTTTGTTCTGTTGTTTCTAATTAAAGTTGTTGATTCATTTCAAATTTTTTTGTTGAGAGTGTGAGTACATTTTGAATGTGATTTAATTCAAGAGATTTGTCATTTCTATTCTGAACATTTAAATTTAAATCAATTTATATTCTACTGCTTTTTTGCTTAAAATCAAACCAATGACAATCCAATTATTAAAATACTTTTTGCATATTTTGAGTTATCAATTGGACAAGACAGCACTGACCTTTTTTGCACTCCCCTCGTATTAAAAATCATATTTTAATTTGCACAGATAGACTCATTACTATACAATGTTTGCAAATCCACAAAATTATATTGTAGGCATTAAAAATATTGTCTATAATTTATCTATTATAAAATAGACGGTTTCTTTCATATGGATTAAAGGTCTTTACAGCTAATGTGCTACACAGTTTTGCAACACTGAAACATATTGTCTACACAGATTCTTCTTTTCCAACTTTTAGAAACTAAAAACAAAAACAAAAAAATGGTAAACTGTATTATACATCTCCAGATAAAGGAATGGCTTATAAGACACTTTTCCTCTTGTGAAAATAAAGTCATGGTTTAGCAACCATGACAAAAAAAGAGATTACCACCATTAACGACATTTGCGCTGTGTACCTTCATAAGATTGGGAGGAAACCACATCCCAATCATGAGATGGAATAAAGGAGGACCTTAAACACATAATGCCTCACTGTGGCATAGGAACCCACACTATCAATGAGCACTTCATACAGAAGGATAAAAAGAAAATAAGTAAACAATGTTATTCACTCATTAGACACAAACAATACAAGAACCTCCTAACAAATTTCAGAAGAAAGGAAACAAGAGAATGCATCAAAGGAAGCAAGAAAAAACGCAAAATCCTGACAGGTTTCTTGACAGACATTGCAGACTGAGTGGGCATCTGATGAAGAATGGTATAACCCAACATGGCATGTGCAGATTCTGCAAAAACGCAGTACCACACCAACACACCTACTAACAAACTGTGGTGCCATACTTGCCCGCAGGAAGTATTGTGAAATGTACAATGTGTCTTTAGAAGAAATTCAACCACTGAAACCAGGCCTACTAGTTTCCTTGATGAAATAGGACTCACCAGTCATCAGCTATCACACCCTGATTAATACATTTGCTGACTCTGGGAACCCCAGTTTATTATTAACAACTTTTTGTGTGATGTTAAGGTATAGTTTGTGATGTTAAAAAGTAAATTTGTTACTCAATACTATTATGGCTATATAAAATCTTTTGATACCAAATTAAAAAAAGTTATCAATTATCAGAGATTCAAAGACATAGCTATTAGCTTATGGGCATTCGTTTAAATGTCTGATCACTATGTTAGTGTTAGCATAAAGAATATGCAATTGTATACAAATCCGGGCTTTAGTTATAACATTTTACGTAACTTTTATGGCTAGGGATCTGTTTGATCGAAACGCAGTTTGAATTTGAGCGGATCGTTTGTTGTATTGTGGTAACTGGCGTAACGACGATAATAATTTTTGTTACTTTTCATCAATTCGTTTCTGTCGAGCTCAATTAAAATCATCGCATTTAAACAAAAACGCTTACGGTTTGTAATTTAATTGAAATTGATTTAAAACTATTGTTGTTGAAATTTTCTTTTTGTTGGTAACAGGTCCTTGGGTAAAATCGTAGTTTCAAGGGCGGAGGTTGTAAGGCGCTGTCATCGGCGAAATTGTTGAGTTCTGTCGAGTTTCTAGGAGCCCTGGAAATTACCGATATTCACCACAACTGTTTTAGCGTTACCGTTTTAATTTTATTTTATTTCAAACACTACCAATTCGGATAATCAAGTGAGTACAGATTATTATTATTTTTTTTTTATTAAATAGAACATCCTCCCAGCCGATCTGGTACAACCTCGCCCCGTCTTCTTGTTATTGTTATTATTTAATTACGATTTTTTCATCAGAGACACTCTTTTGATCAGGTAATCGGCGAGACGGATGAACGTTCCCATTTAAGGCAACACTTTCTCAGACGATTTTTACAACAGAAACGGTCCGTTTTGCCTGTTGCCGTTTACGATTTTTTTCTGCCCTTTGACTGCGTTCTTCCCGCAAGGGAGGGATTAAAAAATGTAATTTATTTATGTAACGGGATGTTTCTCAACGCATAATTCTAACTTCCCTTCAAGTTTTCCGCTTTTCTAATTATTCGGTTGTACTACGATCTTTTTTCCGCTTTGCAAGAATGGAGAAAACAAAAAAAAAATACCTGTTTTCTTTCTTGTAGTTTCAAGGTTATAATACGTTTATTATTCAATATCGGGCATTTTTCAATTTTTTCCTATTTTTCTCTCTCATTTTTTCTTATCGCTTCGATACGTCCATCTTTTTAGCAAGCGTTGCGGAAATTTTCCCAACAGCCTTGGATTCTTTGGACGATTCCCATTGAAATTGGTGAATTCCTCTAATGGGTTCAAGTGAGTCATCAGAGTGTTTCTATCTACTCAAATGATTATGATCATAACTGGAAAAAAATACTTTAAACATTATCTACCATGCACAATGTCAAGACACTTTATTCTTCAATATTCTTTTATTTTCCGTTTATAATTACTCCAAAGGATAGATCAAATTTGTAAAAAGTAACTGCTGATAATTTATGCATTTTTCTACTTACAATACAAACAAAAAATTGTCTTAAATTGACTTTAAGTGGCTTACTTTATATTTTGTTAATTTGTTTTTTTAAACGTAGAAAATATAAAAGATAAAGGTGAATTTCAAAGTGGTGACATGTTCGGGTGAGTTTTGTTAGATAACTGGCAACGCGATCGTCCCTGATCATACTGGTCTTTCTACAACTGTTGGTTTTGCCTGTCAAACGTGTTGCAGCTTCTTGCAGAGCAAATGATAAGTGATAATCACACTACTTTCATTAAAATTATTTAAAAAAAATATATATAAAAATTTGCTGAGAATTCCTGCCTCTCCTACTTATACACCAGTACAAAATAGTCTTAATTTTTCATTATTAGGGGAGTAGAATTTTTTCCCTGTTGTGAATATCTATTTTTTAAGAATGAAGGGTCCAATTAGTTCTTTGAGATAATGGACATGTAAAACCCCAAGCGTGATTGACCCCGATTATCCGAATCTTCCTATTCTCAGCGCCTTGGCCTGTCAAACACGTTTCAGTGTTTTATCATTATTTATTTTGTAGTACCACCAGTATTTTATCATTGATCATTCTACAATATTTCAATCGGTTAATATAGAAAGTTGTACCAATGTGTACTTTTTTTACCTAATACAAAATTTATGCATTATAAAGCTGAACAAAATAAATAGTTTTAATTTATTTTTTATATTGTGAAATTTTTCTATATTTTAAGAATGAAATGGTCCAATTAGTTTTTTGAGGTAATGGACATGCAGTATGAACGTATTGGTTTTGCCTGACAGGCGCGTTTGAACATTTTGCTGTTATTTTGTATGTACAGGAAGAGCAAAATGATAAGTGACAATCAATCTACTTTCTTTCCATTACATAAAGTTTATTTTCAAAATATCATCTGCTGAGAATTCCTTTGCCTTAGAGAAAGCCTTCTCTTATTTATACAGCCATACAAAACAGTCTTAATTTTACATTAGAGAATTTTAAATGTTATCACTTTTTCACATTTGACTTACTAATTTTTTCTATTAAATATTTGCAATTAATTCTACATCATTTATTTTTATTCGTTAAATCATCATTTCACAGAGCAAATGGTCAGTGGCGATCATGCTACTTTCATACGTTCATAAATTTATTTAACACTAATCGTACCATGACCGGTTGAAAACTTTTGTTTAGAAAATTCTCCTAAATTTTCATTTGCTTTTCACATTTGACCATGATTTTTTCTATTAAATATATACAATTAATTTTACATAATAAATGATCAGTGACAATCATGCTACTTTGTATATCTTTCATCAAATTTATTTAACTTCTGGCTGCAGTTTAAAACAAAATATGCGCGAAAGAAAAGAAAAAGAAGGAAAGCACGAAGAGGGCTGGCGATGACCTCAGCTGTTTGTTGGCCCATAAACTTCCCACTTATATATATTTAACTTCATACCATGACAGGTTGTAAACTTTGAGTAGAAAATTCACATTAAATGCCATTGCTTTTCACATTTGACTTCATGATTTTTTCTATTAAATAGGCGCAATTAATTCTGCATCATTTATTTTTATTTGTTAAATCATCTTTTTGCAGAGGAAAGATCAATGACAATCACGCTACTTTCTATACATTCATCAAATTTATTTAACATTAAACGTACAGTTGCCGGTTGTAAACTTTTGATTAGAAATTTTTCATAAAATGGTATCACTTTTTCACATTTGACTTAATGAGTTTTATCTATTAATTACATGCAATTAATTCTACATAATTTACTTTTATTTATTAAATCATTTCACAGAGCAAATGATCAATGACAGTCATGCTACTTTGTATACCTTTCATAAAATTTATTTAATACTAAATGCACCATGACTGGTTGTAAAGTTTTGATTAGAAATTTCATATAAAATATCGCTTTTTCCATTTGACTTCTTAATTTTTTAATTAAATATATACAATTAATTGTACATCATTTATTTTTATTTGTTAAATCTGATAAACACGTGTAGCCTAGCATTATTTACCACGATAGGTCATTTCACCAAGATAAATATTTACTGAATAAGAGCATTGGAGACAAAATTCTAATGCTATTTCATATTCTATGTATTATATGAGTTTGCTGTCCACTTCTGCAATGACTGTTGCATAGTATGCGCAATTCAAAATATCTGTGAATTGAAATTTAATAAAGTGGGTACAATTTGCAATTGCAAGTATCGTTTTAGTGGAATGAAATGGTAAAAAACTAAATATTGTCGGTAGTTAGTTTATATTTTGCTTTTTAGGGCGTTATTTCATTACCATTACGCTAGTGTTATTGTTTACCCAGAAAAAAAGTCTCAAAACTATCAAGTGTCCAAATGCTTAGAAGAAATAAGAAATAAATAACATAAGCGAAGAGTTTTCAAGAACTGATGACATAACTGAAGTGGATATATTATTTGGAAAGAAAATATTGTGAATAAACGTGGTGTATGAAAAAGAATGAGATTGCTTTCAAGTTCTGAAGAAGAGAATAAAACAAAATAAATAGATCAGTAAAAATTATCAGTATATTTCAATTGATGGAACTGCATGGGAATGAAGAAGAAAAATGCAATGGGTACTACACCTGGAAGAGTGCACTCAAAATGTTAAGAGAGTTAAAAAAGTTAAAAGAGTGCAAAATATTATATTTTCAGAGAAGAGCCAGGTCCAACAGGATATGCAAAATGTAATATTATGAAAGGTAGGATGAAGATTGTATTTTCATTGATTATTGACCACCACATCATGAAACATATAAGAACAGCACTATAGAAGAAGCAAATGAAGTTTTAGAAACTGAACTCGAGCGAAATTAGATTAAAAAGCCAAGATCTAAATTAGCGAAATTAGATGCATTTGTTGCAATTTTATATGTGTGGTACATATGAAGCAAACAATTTGAAAGTTTCTTTTTTGTGGAGTAGAATATAGGGTCCTAAATTTTTCTCAGAAACCATTAGCAAAAATTGTTTTATAGAAATTCTCAGATTTATCTGCTTTGATAAACAAGAATTTTTTCCCTATTGAGAATATCTATTTTTTTAGGAATGAAATGGTCCACTTAGTTTTTTGAGATAATGGTCATGCAGCATGACCGTCCCTGATCATAAAAGTCTTTCCATTCTTGTTGGTTTTGCCTGTCAAACGTGTTTCATTATCTTGCAGAGCAAATGATCAGTGACAATCACACTACTTTCTATACCTTTCATCAAATTTATTAAAATAAAAAAAAAATACTGAGAATTTCTACCTTCTCCTATTTATACAGCGGTACAAAATAGTCTTAATTTTACATTACATTAGGGGAGTAGAATTTTTTCCCTGTTGTGAATATCTATTTTTTAAGAATGAAAGGGTCCAATTAGTTCTTTGAGATAATGGACATGTAAAACCCCAAGTGCGATTGGCCCCGATCATCCGAATCTTCCTATTCTTTTCGGTTTGACCTAATACAAAATAGATAGTTATAATTTAGTTTTTTTATTGTGAAAATCTATTTTTTAAGAATGAAATGTCCAATTTGTTTTTTGAGATAATGGACATGCAGTATGATTTGTATTCGTTTTGCCTAATAGACGTTTCAACATTTTGTCATTTCTTGTGTGTTATTTTGTATGTACAGGCAGATCAAAGTAATTAGTGATGATCAATCTATTTTCTTTCCATTACTTAAAGTTTATTTAAAAAAAAAAAAAATCATCTGCTGAGAATTCCTTTGCCTTAGAGAATGCCTTCTCCTATTTATACAGCTGTACAAAACAGTCGTTTTAAGAATGATATTTCTCGATGAGTTCTCTGAAATAATACATGCAGGTTTAGTCGTCCCCAATCATCCTAGTATTTTTCTGTTCTCCATGTTTTCTGGTAGAAATGTTGTGCCATTATGCATCTTTAGTTGTCAGTTCATAATTTATTTGGTTTTTACAGGCAGAGCAAAGTGATCAGCAATGATTAGTTTCATTACGTCCATGAATTACTTCACTATCTCAAAAGTTAAAGAACAAAATTAAGTTTTTTTAACTTAACACAATCTACTTTCTTTCACCAAATTTATGAGTAGTTTTTATTAAAAACGGAAATACTCTCTTATGCCTTATGCTTTTGTCTCCTTTTACAGAATAAGAAATAGTATAATTTTACATTTGAAAGCTTGTACATGTATACATTTTCAAATCGCATTTACAAATTATGAAGCAGTATGTCATGAACATAGTATTCTTGTGTAGTCTGTGATGATAAAACTGCAGCTTATCTGCCATATGTGTTTTTTTCCATTTTCTCTGGTTGGAATGTGTGTTATTATGCAGAGTGCACGGATAAATCTACAATATTTAAATATGACAAAGCTGAATTGATGGTGTTTTTTCTTTAATTACTATAATAATCAATAAATCATAATCAGTAAATTTATTGAAAAGAAAGAACTCTGTCGAAAATTAATGTTTTCTTTTGCTTTTAGTCCGTACAAACTATCCTAAAATTACATTAAATCTGCGGAGTATATCCCCCCCATTTGTTCTCCTCCACCAATTGTGAAAAATATGTTTCTATTTATTTAAAAGTGCATTCAAAGTAGCTATATCAAGAAATGTACTGTCAAATGATAAATTCTGGCAACTTGGTCAGCCTCATTGATTTTATATGTGCTTAGACATTTTATTTCCCATTTGGAAAATCGATCAGTGTGTTAATTTGTAGGTTGCTTTATTTTGTCCTTTGTCAAAATACATATTTAAAAAAAAATATTTTTTTTTTAAATAGCTCTTAGAAGATGTGAAGTATTTCAAGGATGAAAGGTTCCTGTGAGATGATGAACCGTCCCAGATCATCCAATCTGCTTATTTGTGCTGGTTTCAGTTCCATTCTGTCAGACATTTTCCAAGCCTTCGAACTAGTGGTTGGTACATGTGTTATTTTGCATGTACAGGCATACCCAAACAATCAGGGATGACTATATAGTAGACTATATTTCAAGAATTAAGGGACAAAATTGAAACAATGTACTTTTTTGTGTGTGTTGTTTTTTACCTAACACAAATACCATTTCTCATCAGCAAAATTAACGAGTAAATACCAAACTGAGAATTTTGCATTGCAGTGCATTATATAATTTTCTTTTATGCAAAAGTATGCTTAGTGAATTTAAAAACCCCTCTCAAAATGCTAAAAATCCTCAGTATTCCAAAGGTGTCAATATCTTGTAAACCCTATTGTGGCCCATATTGAAATAATAAACTTTTTTCACTCTTATACCAAAAGTGGACGCCTCTGAATAATGGACATTATTTCATTCCCCAAGAGTGTACGTTACATGGAAGTTTTACTGTATAAATTGTTCACATTACGTTAGGGGTGGTTGCAAATGTTTATTTAAAAATTGTTTGTTTCTGCATACAGATAAAAAATTTACCCTTTGTAAAAGTATCTGTCTATGAATAAAATGGATCATGGTATGGTCTTGATTATCCGCGAGTAAAAAAGTGGTCGATAATTTAACACTAAAAATACAAATATCTGTCCTGTAGTGAGTGTAAATGAAACCCCATTGGCTACCACTGACCTTGTGTGTTATCTTAGACTTTTCATGGATAAATGACTGACTTGGAAACTGAAAAGACAAGAACCCTGACATGATAAATGATTAATAATAATACTTGACTCACGATCAAAATTAGACATTGAAAACCAACTTTTAATTTATAAGACCATAAACCTCTGGGCGTTTATGGAACACAAACCATACGGTTGTGGAGCTCAACTAAGTATTCTAATTTCCAATGTGGTGTCAGGTTGTCATTTTAAAATTCTCCGTCAAATTCTAAATACCTCCTTTTTATGTTTCAAATCTCGTTATCCGTAAAAACCTACACACCCAGTTTGTATATGACCTCATCAAAACTTGCCAAAAAATTGTTTTATCTATCACTAAACATCCAAAATAATATACCAGTACGATAATTATCTTTTCCAACCCTACCAGAAAATCCTCGAAATTAATTGAAGCAAAAGTTGTTCCGAGACATTCTCAGTGATTAATGATGAGGTTTCAATGTGAATGCAACAAGTGGCTCAAACGACACAATCAGCATAAATCAAAAATATTTACCTAATAAAATATTTGTAGTTGTATTTGTTGTAAATGTTAAAAATATATAAAATAAAAAAGTATGCTAAAATAATACAACTGCTAAACCAATGATTTTTTTCTCTTCTGTTAATCATTTTTATTTTTTTAATATAAATAAGAAGCACTAATTTTTTTTCATCCTGATAAAAATAAAAATATTAACTTTTTGTAAAGAAATATGTTTTAATGATTTTTAAAGATGAATATCTTAATCTTGATTAATCTGAATACGCGGTTGAAATTTTAGATGTTCACTTCGATTTTCTTTATCTTAAATTGCAAATAGAATTTAAACCAATCATTTATAGCAAGGTAGAAATTATATTCTTCTTAACAAAGCCGGCTGATCAAGCTGCGGTTTTTGTTCTCTCCTTTTATATTCTATTTCACAGAGTTTAGCTCAAAGCAGTCAATGTATTTAAAATTAATGTTTTTATGTAAGGTCTTGGTTGAAATGAAAAAGTTAGTGTACACTAGCCGAAGGATGTGGGTTCGAATCCCGGTCATTACATAAATTAATCAATTAAAAGAGGTAATTTTGTCAATCAGACGATTAAATTTAATGGAATCATTTAAAATATTTAAACATAGATCAGGCTATTTTAAGGAGGTATGTCTTCAAACATCTTGATGGTGTAATCAATTTTTTTTTAATCACTGAATATATTGTCCTTAATTATGATTTTTTTTTTTGTAAACTACTCTTGACTCAAGAAAGAATGGATTAAATTGCACACACCCTACTTGTTATTTATTATTGTTATTTTAATACAATAAACTATACACAAGAAAAATATACGATTTACCGTGTTGTTCATTGAAACTATCAAAAACTCGGTTTTCCCCCATAACTGTATTGTTCTCAATTAAAATTCATTTTGTAAAAATGAACAAGACGCATCTTGTTTTCTTTTTTTGTAAACGTTGAAACAATGCCGTGTTTCAGTATTTTCTTATAAATTATCTACTTATTCTGTTTCAAAACGAGTGCCTATTATCTAACGAAGATTTCTAAAATGCCAAGATAATACTTTGTAATTGCAGATTGCTTATCTTATATAATTTATCAGGAGAATGGCTGCAAATAAGGGTGGTAATAGGGCAGAGGGGCGGGAAAACACTAAACTTAGTCAAGATATATTCAATTATTTGTTGAAATTTTTAGTGTTGTATGATTGAAAAATTAGTCTGTGGCATGTGGCTAGAAATTAACCTAGTTAAAAAAAATAATTACGCATGATATCAGTTTTGATATCTATCGGGTTTTAAAAAAAATCAATTCAATTTTATTATCATCGATTTGTATTCTAGAATGTAAACTGTTTATACTGCAAATACTAAACACAAGCCTTTGAAATTTTGTACAACTTATCTTATTATCAATCGTCATTTCAAATCTGTCGGGAATTCTGTTCGGAAGTCAGTCCTTTCTCGGAAGAGTACAAGGTGGGTGGCTTCAACTAATTCAGTTTGCAATTGTACCTCATTGACTGTAATTATTAACATCGTACGTGTAATTTGTTGCACTGAGTTTTACACAATTGACTTGCAGTTTTTCAAGAGTGGGCGTTTCTGTTACTGATTTTCTTGGTAACAAATTACTTAATTCAGATCGCAGTTAAAAGTAAAAATTATGTTTTTTTCCAAGGTAAAAAATATTCTATAAATGTGATTATATAAAAGAAAATATATATTGTTTAAATTAGTGCTTATGTGTTTACATTTATTACAAATTATGTAAGTTTTTGTTTTGTTTAATGTTTCAGCGTTCAAACATGGCGAGCAGGAGTGGACCTCAGCGTCCAAATGGAACTGCTCAAACAAAAATTTGTCAGTTCAAATTAGTTCTGTTAGGAGAATCAGCTGTGGGTAAATCCAGTTTAGTCCTTAGGTTTGTCAAAGGGCAATTCCATGAATTTCAAGAAAGCACAATCGGGGGTATGTTAACGCATAAAAATAATTAATAAAAAAATGGAAGTGTAATAATTTTTTTTTCAGCCGCTTTTCTAACGCAGACAGTCTGCCTTGATGATATGACTGTCAAGTTTGAAATATGGGACACGGCAGGGCAGGAAAGGTATCACAGCCTTGCACCTATGTACTACAGAGGTGCTCAGGCAGCAATAGTAGTTTATGATGTCACAAACCAGGTAATTTTTTTTAAATATCCTGTTTTGAAAAGTGATTTTAATGTTTTTATTTTAGGACACATTTGGCAGAGCGAAAACGTGGGTCAAGGAACTACAAAGACAAGCTTCACCAAACATAGTTATAGCATTAGCAGGGAATAAGTCTGACCTTGCAAACAAGCGCAGTGTCGAGTTGGAAGAGGCTCAGGCCTATGCAGAAGAGAACGGGCTGCTTTTTATGGAAACATCAGCAAAAACAGCAATGCACGTCAATGAAATTTTCTTAGCGATAGGTATAAGTCGAATTATATTACATTCAATTATTCCAGGGCTAAATTTCAAATTGAAAATTCGCATAGTTTTTAGTTCAGTTGAGTAAATAGAATGATAGTCCAAATAGTAAGAATGTGTAGTTTGATAGTCTAAATATTAATTGAACTTCGCTCACACCAAATGTATAAAGAAATTGGTTTAATTTTAATGTTTTACATTTAAGAAGAAATGATATTAAGTGAAAAAAACGATATTAAGTGAAACCCCTCTATAGCAACCTCTCTTAACAGACAAGTTTTGCATCCCTGGCAAAAAAGATTAATTTTTCTACATTTTAACCCTTTCATACTGGTCGCGGACACTGCCATCAGCCCCAGTTAGAATAGTTCACCCCTCTATATGGGGTAAAACATTTTAGGAAGGTAGGCTAGATATGCAATTCTTTCCTGAGAAATAATAACAGTTATGTTTAAATTTAATGTTTGATTCATCTATTAGGAAATTCATTTCTTTGCCCTTTTTTATTAAGTGCTACTTTTTTTTTCCATAAGTAACATTCGCCCTCACATCCTGTTCCTTGTTTGTCTGAACTTGTTATTGTAATATATTTTTTCAATAACATAGGTACATTTTCAAAGCTTCTCTTTCGTGGGGGTGATGAAGATGAAAATCTAGGAAGTAGGAGGTTTGTGTCTCCCAAGCACTACAGCCTTGTTTTTTTCTTAATTCAATTCAATTGGCTCAATCCTTCCCTCTCAGAATTATTAGGTCATTGATTGTTGTTGCTACCATTCCATTCATGAAGATGACATGAGTAGCTCTCCCCCTTCTCATTGGATAACCTACAATGGGGTCGTCATTGAAAAACCCATTTCATGTAGATGTTTAGATGCCAGTGACCAGTAGTCCTATCACTCCTCTGAATTTAGCTCTCTCTCTCTCTCTCTCTCTCTCTCTCTCTATAGTTTGCTGGTTTTGAGGGTTCTTTTTGCACCTCTAGAGTTTATCCACTTCTCATTTTGTTCTAGGAGGAATAAATTGTTCATGCATTTGACGGCTCTTTTCCCCCTTATTTTTTCTAGAAATTACTTTGCTAAAGCTTCTCTTTTACAAAGAAGCCCCTCTGCTCTAACATGGTTGACTCTGATTGATGGAAATTAGGATTGTCACCTTATTATTATTTACAGTTAATTAAGGTTTTAAGTTGAGATAAAAACTTAAAACCTTAATTAATTGTAATATATTAATTGGTCAAGCGGACCACGAAATCAGTGAACTTATTATTATTACTATTATATTGATTTAAAAAAATTAAACCCTTCCTGACCGGGAATCTCTTAATAATGGACAAAAAACTTATTTTTTGCTCGTTATAGAGAGGTGTCAACATGTTTTTCTTCGATGTGGTAATGATTTTGATTTCCATCTGAATCAATCTATTTAAATGCAAAACAATTTTTTAATTTTATGCCCAGCTTATTTGACTTATTTTTGTGTTATATATTTATTCATGTAAAAAGTAATACAAATTCAGTGATTATACTATAATTAATTAATTAGCGTAATATTTGTAATTTCAGCAAAGAAACTCCCGAAAAGTGACCAAAACGCTGGAAACGCAGCTTCTCAAGGACGTAGATTGGCAGAGACAGAGACGACAGCCAAAACCTCATCATCGTGTTGCAAGTGATTACTTACACTGAAAATAGTCAATATCACAAAGCTTCGGTAATAAATTAAAAAAAAAAAAATCCAAAACCAATGTTTAACGTTAATTACAAATATGCTGTCATCGTATTTTTCAGATGGACAATATTCTTGGATGGTAGTGTACAAAAAAGCCTTCATTTTTCGATCAGGGCTTCAGTTGCGATGAAACTAAAAAACAAAGAGGGTTGTGTTGGTGATTTGGGCACTATATTTAAACAGTACTATTCCACTTTTTCTTAAAACACATAAAAAGAAAATAATATAATAAACACAAGCAAAAAAAAAAGGGGGAAAGTAAATGAACAGAAAATAAATATATTTTTTTTATTTTACTAATCATATTATTTGGCAAAAATTTTTAATAAAAATCAATTCATTCCATTTTTGTACATGTAAAGTGTTGTAGGGTAAAAACTTGTGCGTTTTAAAAGAAAAAAAAAAGCAATCTCCAGTTCATTTGTGTTTCTCTACATGTAAATTAAGAGAAAACATAATAAAACCAAAATAATATAATTTGAAAAAGTAAATGATAGAAATAAATAATAACTTGGTAAAGTCAGAATGTTAAACATTAAAAAAAAAAAAATTCAATTTTTCTGTTGACTGTGTAGTAGTTGTTTAAATGAATTTAGCTTAAAATTGAATACTGCTGCAATTATGTTTAAAAAATCTTTTTGCAATGTTTAATCATTTTTCTTTTACAGAGTACTGTAAGAGTGTACTGATTTATAAATGAGTGGATTACATTTGTGTGTTACAAGTTTTACAATCTTGAATGAATGATTTAAAAAAAAATATTAAGCCAATTTATAAAGAAATGTATTTAATAATATAAGAAAAATAATTTCACTCAGGCAATTAATTTGGGCACTTTCACCATTATAGATAATCCAACGGCCGTGATCTGCCTGCAAAATTTAAACCCTGTGTTATGTTTATTGACAATTAATTTGTAAATGACCAAAATCAATCTGCAGTTAATTAAAGATTTAACTACAAGGTATTGCAAATATTTACAAAAAGATTATATATGTACAAGAACAAATAAGGAAAAATGATGCATAAAAAGTTATTTTATTTTAAAATTTTATATGTTGTATGTTATTTTGTGATTATTGGAATTCTTATTATTTAAATATATTTATATAAATATATATATACCTATATATATATATTAGGGGAGTTGATCCCTTAATTTCTATTGTATTATATTAATTAAGAACAACAAATCTACTGTTTCTGTATTTTCAGAAATATATTTAACATTAATAAAAAAATTGAAAAAAGTTGTACAGGAAAATTCATATGAAATATAAGCGTATAATAAGTTTAAAAAGTGGTGTTTTATGTCCGATGAAAATTTCTGGTTTTAACTCATTCCTGCCATAAAACCACCATCCAGCTTATAATACTTTTTTATCCATGTAATTTTGGTGTTAGATGAATTTGAGTTTCCTTTCGAACAGTTTTGTCTTGACCCTAACCATCCCTAAACAGTTTTGACACACTTGGCATTATTACTACTTCTATAAACACTACTGAAGTATGCGGCAAACTGATCAGAAATGATAGCAATGATGGCTAGACCAAAGCCTTTTGCAATTTAGAAACTAGTTTCTAGAAGAGATAAACACAACGTTATTTTCTTGAACTAATGATTACAGAATTTAATAGATCATCCAGGATTACTTTCAAAAATTAATAATACCCTGCTATAACTTAAAAAATCTAAATTCTTTCTTCATTCATTGATTATACTTATCATAATCCAATATACAGAATTAAAAGAATATCTAATAAACTGCCTGGTGACTGATGTTTTTCCTACTTTACATATTTCAAAACGTTTAATTTTATATTTTAATTTTTCTTTAGATTGTTTACAGTATTGTTCATCTCATTAAGTATTGTTAGCTTTAAATTTATATAGGCTCAAATCCACACAGACATACAAACGTACCTGTGTTGAGCCCATTCTCTTCTTATAGTCCACATGCAATTCCAGTTCTTTGTAATTAACAATAAATTACTGGCAGGCCTCGACTGTCACCGATCTTTTGGCAGTCCGAGGGCAATCTTATCCCTCCAGGTTGGACTTCAGGGGAGGGGCTGTAAACACAGGTCAATTCAGCACCCAGCGCATGAAGTTCCAAGCCCTTTCGTACTCATGTTCATTCTTAAATACGTTGACTCCTACTTACATACATTGAATTGGGTGGTGGAGTACTCGATATACCTCCATCACTCTTTAGTCATATAACTCACCACCTGCTTTTCCTCCTTTAAATCCCATCTGTATAATCACCTCTCTCTCCAGAGACTTTATGTTAATATTTGATATTTTTGTTTAATATTCTGGTTATTTTTTCTTATGGCTTGCCTTACCTGTATATATTATTCCAAGAGTTTTATTTCATAGAAGGAACTTTATTTATTTCATGTATATTATTCTTAGGGGGCACCAGTCCCAGAATAAAGTTATTTTTCTTCTTAACTTGAGGGTCGATGGGTATGCAATATTGGCCATCGACCCTCTCACACCTCACATTCAGCTAATAAGTAAATTCACTCTAATAAATACATTCACACAAGCTAGATATACACAACTGTTATTACTACATACAATAGAACATGAACAACCCCATTTCCTCCAAGAATTGGAAGAGGGAACCTAAATACACACTGCCGGGCACAATTCTCATATCGGATGGCATTCCTTTTCCTACAGGAAAAGGCTCTCTGTATGGAGTCAAGGAATTGCTTCAATAAGGTGGTACACATTGAGCAACTCTGCATGCGGGCTTTGGCCCCCGTAAGTAGGTGCCGGTGTGTCAGCCTCGCATGACCTATTCCCACCCCTTCTTCTACGATTCAGAAACTCCGAGGGCCACATTGACAGTGCTCTTGATACGAGAGCTTTTCTGTCAATCTGGCCTAACGATAGCTTGAATGGTTAGAGCAGCAGCATATTGAGCCGAAGGTCGTGTGTTCCAGTCCTTCTCATGACACTAATCTTTTAATCTCAACCATACTTTATATACAATTATAAATCACTGAATAACTGATCTGGTTCAACAATAGAACTAATTAAAACATAATATAATTTTAAAAAAAAATAAATAAATGTCTAGTGCCAACCCCTCGAGTGACATCACTGATTGAAACCTGTCCAGCAACTGCAACTCGTCAGCGTTCTAAAACCTTTAGTTTTTATAATTTTTTTTTGTTTCCACACAAAACTTTGTAGTCTGTTAATCCGTTTTTCATTTGTATTTACATTTTAAAGCGAGATACAAGTTCCCACAATCATCGGCTTGTTGGAAATTTAAGTCTGAAAAAGAGTTTGAAGTGATGGTGTAGGTCTTCGCGAGGGTTCTACCAAAAGGGGGACAGTTTATCCTTTTAGTAGGAAATCTTCCACTAGTTTTTAATTGGTAAATTGAGTTTACCCACGCCTTGGCCTTCGTGTTTACCCTGAGATAACGTAAGATATTTTTCATCTCGATTTATTGTTTTAGATTAAAAGGACGTGTTTGAGAATAGGACTTATTTATGGCTGAAAGAGTGGTCGAATCCGACAATGCACAAACGCAGACACTAACCGTCGATCAAGTCGACGGGAACGGAAGTGAAGTAAGTAGATTTAAAATATATTTGGTTTCTTAATTAAATTTGTAGACTGGACAAGCACAATGGTTCTCTACCGGCAAACGAAAGCCGTTCAATATTTGAAGCGTCGTCTCTATTCGACAAACTCTCCTTTGGACCACATCAAAGTGTTGGATTTGTCGAGAATTGTAGCTGGGCCGTTTTGCACGATGCTGCTCGGTGATTTGGGCGCCGAGGTTTTCAAAGTCGAAGTGCCTGGTGTCGGAGATGAAACGAGGCTTTGGCCGCCACACGTCAATTACAATAAAGATGAAATGACGTGCTATTTCGGTGCCTTGAACAGGAACAAAAAAAGCATCTGCGTTAATTTTAAATCGAAGAAAGGCGTTGAGATTATACACAAGCTCGCAGAAAAATGTGATGTTCTCGTTGAAAACTTTGTCCCTGGGAAATTAGATTCAATCGGACTCGGTTATGAAGCGATAAATAAGACCGCTCCTCACATTGTTTACTGTTCGATAACTGGATTCGGCCCAAGAGGGCCTTATAAAGAAAGAATGGGTTATGACATAGTAGCAGCATCGGTTGGAGGGTTGTTCCACATTACAGGGCCGAAAGGTGGTGATCCTTGTAAAACTGGCGTCGCTATTACAGACTTATCGACAGGGCTTTATGCCCATGGTGCCATCCTAGCAGCACTTTTACAACGTGCGAAAACAGGAAAGGGACAAAAAGTCGATTGCAACCTTCTATCAACGCAAGTCGCTTGCCTGATCAATATCGGTAGCAATTATTTAAACGCAGGAAAAGAAGCGGTCAGATGGGGGACAGAGCATGAGAGCATAGTTGTATTTCAGAGCTTTAAGACTTGTGACGGATATATCACTATAACCACCGGTAACGATTCACAGTTTAAAACCTTATGCGAGAGATTCAGTATTGATCTGCATAAAGATGAAAAATTTAAAACGAATGCCCAGCGTGTAAAGAATCGAGATGAATTGTCAGCCATCCTAGATCCAATTTTCTTAAAACATACCAATGAGGAAGTTCTTAAATTACTCGACGGTGCGCCGTTGCCGTTTGGACCGGTGAACACAATGAAACAAGTAAGATAATTCCATATGAAAATTTATTGGAGCCAATTACTAAACGCTGTGATTTAACCAGGTGTTCGAAGATCCTCATATAAAGGAGATTGGCTTGGTCACCGAAAAAGTACTGGCCAACGGGACAAAATTCCGCATGGTTGGGCCTCCCGTCGAATTCAGCGACTCTTGCCTATCGGTCCGTTATCCACCTCCTGACAAAGGGCAACACACAAGAGAAATATTAACTGAAGAGCTAAAAATGTCCAATTCGTACATCGATAATCTTTATAATGAAAATGTCATACAATAATTTATTCTTACAAGGAATAAAAATTATTATTATTAATCTGTTGTATTGTCATAGTTAAAAGTTATAATTAAATATTTTTTGACTAGTTTTTGTTTTGTTTTAATCTCAAATTAATCAAATTTCCTGAAACTATTTTTTTTAAATATACTTTTGTAATACGTTGAAGACAGACTTATTTCTTACCAACTTAAAAATATATAATTTAAAAAAGTTCTTTTAAATGCGAATTCAGAGTCTGTTCGTACCTACCACAAAAATATAGTCATCATTCTGCTTAAAATGGTTTTTAAGCACATAATGAATGATAGACATATCATAGATATAAAGATTGCCATGTAAAATATAATAAACCTGTAGCATGATTTATCTCAAATCATTCTGTTCTGCATATTCTTACTAGTTTTGCATGTAAGATGAAATTTGTTGACCAGGCTGAAGAAAGAACAGGAGGAGCTGACAAAATTACCTCCTACCTGACTGGATCAATCTGAACAAAAATATCGAAATAATCAGAAACAGATTAATATTCTATAAATTCTATGTATTTTGACTTATGCTATTAGTAGAATTGTTTAATTGTTGTCAGTATAAATTATTTTCTCAGATCATACTGTTAAAAATTGTGTAAAAATTGCATTAGTACTATTATACTAATTTGTACTAAAAGAGTAATATAATTTTGGATAATTTGTGCTGAATAAAATAAAAAATAACCACATTTTAGCAGTTTATGTCTCAATATTTAACATTTCCAAATATTGTTTGTAATTATTTAATTAGACTTTTTAAGTTGTGTTTCTTTGTCTTGTTAGGATGTCAGGACAATCAAAGTTACGCTGAAAAAGCCGAAGACTGACAAACAGGTCAAGTGGACATCAGAGACAGTCGATAATGAACACCTCAACCGGAAAAAGTCAAAATGTATTAAAGTTTTTAAACGTTTGTCTTCCAGTTCTAACATCGGTTATTTCTTAGGCTGCTGCATATATGAAAAGCCGAGGGTGTTTGGAGAGAGTTCCTCCGAGGACGAGGGCGAATGCGAAAACTGCTTTGGCCACGTCGAGATGAAAAAAAAGAATAAAAAACCTCCTTCGCCCGAACCACCTGAAACACCTTCACCAACTTAATAACCCAACTAATAGCCTTCAGATTCGTTTCTTGCATAACTGCACCCGTAAACATTAAATTCTAACATAAAAAATTCAAATAAATGTCTTTAAAAACTGCCTTTGCATTATTAGAAATGTATTTCCCCCTTTTTTGTATGCAAAAAATATGAACAAAGGAGGTTTTATTTAATTTTTTAAGCCCCCCCATTATAAAATTATAGCTTACAATAATAACATTGATAAATATAATGAACTTTGTCAGATAACTATGTGTAATGTGTTCAAATTGATGAATTTTACTACAAAAAAAAAATAAAAAAAATATTGTTTCTCTTTTTACCAATGTAAATAATTTATCGGGATATTATTCCCCAGTGCTTAGTTTTCTCCATAAATAAGTGGCTATTGTGATTATTTATTAATTATATTATAAAAATAAGGTTAAAAAAATAAAGAAAAAATGTGAGAAGTTTTATTGTTAAATGCTCCAATCAACTCATAACTTCAATCATTGGCAGAGGATTTGTTGTGTTTATTTTCAAGGCATTTAAGCTTTTGTTATGTCATGATGCAGCATAGGATGTTTATTAAAAACTTTGTAATTGTTAAGATTGCAAAAACTTTTGCCTTATTTCCTAAAGTGTATTAAGTATAGTTAATTATCCATCCACTGTTTGATTTAAGTAACTTTACATTTGTTGATTTTTGTTTAAATGTAATTTTGTTTATTTTTAGTAGTATAGCTTCAAATTTTCGCCCCTTTTTAAGACAAAATTTGTAAACTCAAATTAATTATTTAATTTAAAATCAGCTTATCTTTTGTATATTTTTTTCTTTCTTTTAAATACAAATTATGATAAAAGGTTTTTCGAAAAAAACTGTCTGAACATATCACAGTACATACATCAGAGATTGTCTCATGTCAAATATATTTTAACTTAATTTAAAATCTGCATACCACCATACTATTTTAAAAATTAAAAAGAGAAAAAACTGTTTACAAATTTAATGTATTTAATATTCCTTCCACAGTTTACAACAAATAAAAATAGTTTATTATATAAAATTTAAAAAATACAATATAATCAATGTGACATGTTGACAATTAATAACACCTTTAACATGGAATGATTAAGAATAAGTAATCACATAATCAAAAAAGTTTTTTGTTTTAATAAATTGACAGGCTATTGTCAAATATTCTTCAAGCTGTGTACAAAATAATTGTAATAATTTTTTAATCGCTTCAAAACAATTTTCAGGCACTGCGTAATTTTTTTATTTAGTGAGATGCCAAAAATTGACAAACTAATTTTGTGATATTCTATAAAAATTAGTGTAAACAGCTGAAGTACAAGTTCGTTTGAAAAAATGTTTTAAAAGCGATGATATGTTCAATTTATTTTTATGTACATCAGATCAAGAAGTATAGTAATACTTTTTTTTTAATGAACACCATAAAAATTAACAATTTTTTAAATTAATTAATTTTAACAATTGTGCAGCAATGAAACATTGTTATAATTGGGATAGCTAATAATTCAATTCTATGGGAAAACATGTAAATATACTTGCAACACCCCACATGTTAAAAACATGAAACATCACATATAAAAACAAGGAACTTATGTACTTCATAGCATTTGGTTTTTGCAAATTCTATTATTTTTTCTTTTCTGTCCTCAGGATTAGTAAAGCAACATAAGTCTGATAAAATTTTGGTTTTGCTTGCATAAAAAGAATGGTACAAGGACCCTAAAGTTACGACAACCCAAAAAAGGTCATTTTACCATGTAAATTTCACTTTAAAAACATCCTCACAGTTTGTGAGAACCATTGTTTTCAACTATTAAAAACATCCTGTTACAAATAATTTAAAAAGAATGATTGAAGCATTGATATAAACATAATAGTAAATGTGTGGTGATTAGTGACCATTAATCGATAATTATTCAGAAATCGTGAGATGCGGTCTGGTGTGATGTAGGTTTCAGAAAAACATTTTCTTTATCGTGCCAATGTTTCGATCTTTATTGAGATCATCTTCAGGGCCTGGGATTTACAAACATTGTTTACATTTAATAAATACATGTAGGATGAGAAAAGTGAATTTATACAATGCAAAATATATATTTTTTTTAAATTCAATCAAAGTATTTCTACTCGCTCAAAGTGTTTGTCTTCTGTGTAATTGTGCCATTCTTGCATGTCGTGTTGTATATAAAACAGCAATATCACACTGGCACTCTCAACATGACACGCAAGAATGGCAGGTTGTATTTGTTAAATGTAAACAATGTTTGTAAATCCCAGGCCCTGAAGATGACCTCAATAAAGACGATAAAGAAAATGTTTTTCTGAAACCTACATCACACCAGACCGCATCTCACGATTTCTGAATAATAATAGTAAATTATTCACCGACATAATAACATAACATGTCAAATCATAAAAGCAATTACAAAATTTATTTCAATAAACTTTTATACTAAATAAATAAAGGTATCATCATAAAATCTGGAATGTGACCATTTATTTTCATTATACAGTGAAACTTCACTTAATGGTATCTCTAAAAAGCGGACACTTTACTTTAACGGACAAATTCTGACTTCTGGTGACTTCACAGTAACACTCGCCCGGCCATCGAGAGTTGAAAAACCCAGTGATTTTTCTTTTCTTTTCTTGTGCCGTCTATTTTTTATTTATTTTTATCTACCCTCCAATGCATTCTTCTATTAGGTCTGACCTTTTAACATAATTTTCTTTAAAAATAAAAAGATACTTGGGTTTATTTAGATCCACAATTGCAGCCCAATTTTTTTTTTCTAAATACAATTGTTAATACTACTCAGGTGGAACAAGGGTTTGTCCTACTACTTGCACCCTTCAAGTTCCTTCAAAGCTCTCACATTTTAGTTTGTACAGTTTCTGTATGAAAGGGATCTAAATGGATGCTAACTCTGTTTTTACTTGTGCGGATGATATAGTTTCAGAGGCAGGAAGAAGAACAAAATGTTCTTCCTGATGGTCGATGTCTTTGATCTGGCAACAATATATACCAGATGTAATAAATGCGAACAAATTGTATGTCAACCAAAAAACAAGAAAGTATAACGTAATATTTAGGTAATAATGTAAAATAAATTTCATAAAATAATTAAATTTCATCATACCTACACAAGAAATTTTTTATAAAATGTAAAATTATATATGTACAATTTTAGCATACAAATGAAAATTTCTGTTTATAATTCGCTTATGTACATACTAAATAATAAACGTTATAAAAAAACCTGTACTGTAGTTTTTCAGTTCAAAAAAATTGGGTCTAAAAAGACCCACTATGGCTGACCATGTTATTTCTTACCAATAGCGATGCGAGTGTTAAAATAAAAAATGAAGTGAAACCTGCCATTAATGAACGCAGACTGCTTTTTTGACATATGTATATCTGACTCTAAAACTCTCCCAAAAGTGGGATGAAATTTTTGTGAGAATACCAGTTCCCCAATGTGTTTTGCATGTATCGTCCTTCGACTCTAATTCTTTGATTTTGCCACTTTGCAAATGTACTTCATCAGCTTGACTTTGAATTTCGACAAGATAACATTTTGGCTGATGGCCACAATGCATTGGTTTACTCCTGCTATCATTTAAATCGTCACTTTCATCCCTGGATCAGAGAGAAGTAACGATCATTTTGCGACTAAAAATGAAATTACTAAACAATGTTTCACGTTTAATACAGTTTATTTGTTGTGACATTTATGAGTTAATTCATCTACCCACAATATTAAATATGCCTCCCCGCGTGTATTTGACATTTAAAGAAAAAATTAATATGTAAAATTCAAGAAAAATTAAATGTGTGACTGCGAAGAGGATGGTAAGAATAACCACAGCATCTGTGTTGCGAACCTTGATAAGATTGGCAGGAAAACATCCCAATCGTGAGGTGTGATGAGTAAAGGAATCACTTAAACATGTAATGCTTCACTTTTGCAAATGTATGTCAGCCAGGAAATTTTTCTCCGAGAATTTGCAGAAGGAAGGGATAGATGTACATCCAGTGGAATGGGGAATTAATTTATTGTTTATAGCCTGTCTTGTAATACTAAACATTTTTTTCAATTTTCTCCAGAAAGCTGACATAATATACACACCCTCTCTAAGCCACATAATATTTCATTCCCCAAGAGTGTCCATTAATGGAAGTTTCACTACATACACTTCCTATTAAAATGAACAAAATGCTTAATAATTCTCAAAAAGCAAATGCTTTGAAGTTTAAATATATAAATCAAATCGTTCAGTAATTATAAACATGTATAATATTTATTGCATTGATATATATATATTCTTAAATTAAGTATCAACTAAAATTATAAATGAATAAAAGTATTCTAATTATCACATTTCATTTCTAAAACTTACATTCATTACAAAAAAATATCCCGTGGTGTTGACTCATATCACTTTTAAGGATTTTTTTTTAAAATTTTATATTCACTAATAAAACACTAAACCATATAAAATTTGCAGTATTTACTTTTCATATCAAATATAATGTACACATACAACTACAACCAATAGATTTCAACCAATACTTTTTTTTAGTAACTCATAAAAATAGTAAAAGATGTGTATCTTTAAATGTCCTTAAATTTACATTCTTTGGAATAATCTATATGCTCGTGTAGATAAGATTTGCAGAATTAAAATTTTAAAATAATTTAATTTCCAGCAAGGTTTTCTCAAAAGCTTCATTCACTCTAAACAAAGCTTGTGAGGAATGTAATACAGCAGCTTATTAAATAAGTCAGGAATTGTAGGGAATAAAACAGGGATCAGTCTTGATCGTTAAAAATACTCTCGAATTCAATAGTTGTCTCCAAACTGTCAAACTTTCAATGTATCATTTGATTTCTTTGTTGAAAAATCATAGAGTTTGAGATAAGACTCGTACATGAGCCTGGCTTGATTGAGTACCTTGGTGACGTCGTGCTTCCTTACCATCCGGTCGAAGTGCATGGCCATCTCATTGTAGTCCATGCCCTGGTGCATGATCGGCTCCCTGTGCTGTGTCAGAACGGTGATGCAGAGGAACATTAAAAATGGGTTTCCATCGCCGAACTCCCTGGGAGAAGGTAGCGGACCGCAAAGCTGCCTCGGTTCTGCTTTCTCATTCTGGCTAGTTTCTAATTTTCCATTTGATGTCGGTATCTCTTCTAATGTTACCCTTCGTCTTTCCAAGAGGCTAGACTTCGCTTCGTTCCCACCTTTTATTAAATCAAATTTATTATTGATTTAATAGTTTTTAGTATTAATTACAATTATATTTACAGTTTGTAGGTGATTTTGGTTTTGCTTCACTCTGCGTCACACTAACTTCAATTTCATCGGGTGACATTTCATTCCTTAAAGGATTTTCCCAAACAAAAACATCCTCGGTCTTTGAATCATTGCCAAATACGTGTCTATCAAGGTTTTCCAGGTCTAATCTCAATTCCCTTTAAGCAAGATAGTAAAAAAATAAATAAAATTTGCTTAGTTAGATTTATTTTTGGATTTTTAAATCACCAATTGTAAATTTGTTTTTTGTTTAAAACACTACATTATCTTAGTTATACATTTGAAATCATACACCATTCAGACCCAATGTACTATCAACAACTTCTTCAGTTCTTTCTTTATTGTCTAGGTAATCCTGAATCCTAGGAGAAGAATTGAAATACACAGGACAATAACATGTGGAACACAACACCAATTCTGTCAGTTAATAATTCGTCTTAATTATTTATTTATTAAATTATAAATGATAAGTAGACTTGTCCCACAATATTAACAAACGAGGTTTAAAAGGAGACACCAGTTAATACGAAGAAAGTTTTGTTTATACAAAACAAAAATATAAAATGGATAATGCTTGATGAGGCAATTTCAGACTATTTATGAACAATGGCTCACTTCCTTAAGGAAAAACATTCATTACAAAAAAGCTGATAGTGCCGCCACCCGAACATCAGAGAGCAGCCCCGAGCTTTGCGGCGGGGACATCAGCTCTTGGGTGCGATTCTTATATGCCAGTACAGCAGAATATATAAGCAACATTAAACACCTGGGAATATGCTTTGGCAAAACCTTAAGGAGGACGTACATGGGAATGGTACTCAAGCTGGGTAAATGGATAATTTTGCCCTAGGTCCTTACGGCCATACTCGTCAGGATGATCTCACTGTGTTAACTAAGTCATCTGCTCCATCATACCTTTACCAAGCTAGGTTCTTGGAACTTAGATCGAGGTATGCTGGTTTTTGGTTTGTCTTCACAAGCAGCTCTAGGACGGGTGAGGATGTGCTGTGCGCCATATAAGGGAAAGTGTATGTCCACTTCATACTATATCTGGGCTCCCCAAAAATTGTGTTTGAGCATGACAGTGAGTATTTGGGTCCCCTGTTCTAATAATTAGAGTAAACACTGATTTTCTATATATATTTATATATGTATTTTATAGATATCTCGACTTGTGTTTGTTTGTGTATAGTGAGACTGAATACATTTATTATGAACGTGTGAGAGGGCAGATGGAGGAAAATGAGTACTACATCAACCCTCAATTAGGTTATTTGTAAAATATGTGTAAAGATTGTGTTGAGAGTGAATGCATTTATTAGCGTGAATGTGTGATGTGAGAGGGTCGATGGTGGAATATTGAGTACCACACTGACCCTCAAAGGTTAGTTATATAATATGTCTAAAGGATGATTAGCCCCTGGAGGCTGAATTTTCTTAAAAAAAAAAAAAAAAAACTCACTAAGGAATTGAGCAGCTGGACTGAATTAAGCATCAAGCACTGCGATCTTGTTGCCTTTCGTAACCACTTTTTTGTTTTTTAATCTTATCCTAACATCCAAATTCTAATGCTGTACATGTCTGTTGTCTATTGCATTCATATTTAATAAATTTAATAATATTTGAAGATCCTCGCGAACCAACCAACAAGATTTCACAATAGTTTATTTGTTATTTAATATAGAAACTTTTTTCGTCACATCCTCGTTTAAAAAAAAAAAAACAACTATATTTATACTTCTGTAAGATTTCAGGTCTGCAGATTATTTATTATGTATATTTTTCACCTCCTTATTTTCCTAAAAAGGATTTTCTTTTTTAATTCGGTTAGTCCAAGAGTCACGTGGTTTTTATACAGGTTAATTTATTTCACATTTTTTCATCTACATTTCTGGCTACATCATCAGGAAATCCTAACAAGAAGTACAGTAAATTAGCAAACATTATAATATTAGTAATTAATACCATTTACATTTTTATTTTTATTTTATAGTTAAAACATCAACATTACTTACCTAGCAGTCTCGCCTGTCATCCCATTGCGTATTTTCTGTAAGGAAGTTATTATTATATAGCATAATATTAATGTTGATGTTTTAACCATAAAATAAAAATAAAAATGTAAATTATATTAATTACTAATACTGTAATGTATAATATGTGTAATTCTTGTTAGGGTTTCCTGATGATGGAAGAAAAAGAAAAAATGGCCCAAAATGTAGATGAAAAATGTGAAATGAATTAACCTGCATAAAAACCATGTGTCTCTTGGACTAACCCTATTTTAAAGAAAATCCTTCAAAGGAAAATAAAAAAGTTAAAGAACAATATACATAAAAATACTATAGCATATTAAATATGAACAAATTATATCACCTTGTTAAAGAGATTGTCATAGGGTAATATTCGGTAGAATCATCAGGCGAGACCTTTTCTTTTGGTTTATCCTTGGTTTTTTCCAAGGAGAAAAATTCATTAAGATTCCTAACGATCCTCGGTGCCTTGGGACTAACTTCCTGAAGCTTTCTGATCGATGTATCATCGAGACTTGTATACGGTCTTGTCTTCACCAAAGGCTTTCTTGGTGTCTCTTCTAAACTTATGTGGTTAACTCCTCTTCTTAGTGCACATATCTAAAAATAAGTTTTGCATAAAAAAAATCCAATGGGGTAATTTGTATTAAGGGCATGCCATACTTTGGTATAAGCATTTTCTTTCGGCCGAGGGCTCGGTACAGGTGGACTTTTCATGAACTCCTGCTCGTAAAGCTGCAGCTCTTCCTCAGGATTTGCTGGAGGCAAAGAGCTCCACATAACCTCAAGCATTCTCAATGCATCATCAAAAGCGAATTCTCGTTTCATTTCGAGTAAAAGCCAACGATAACAAAACAACAAATCATCCGCCTGAAAAGTAGTGAAATATACATGCTGCTTATAATTTTTTTTTTTTTTTTTTTTTTTTTTTTAATACCTGATAAGATTTTAAGTATTGGTAGAAAACTGGGTCATAGTGTTGCAAGCCATCAGCAAGGTGTTGAAACCTTTTGGTCATTGTAATGCCATCAAGCAAGAAATTTGGTGCCAATCTTTTCATCAAAGCGCAGAAACAAATATAAGCATGTGCTTCATCATTCATCGTGACGAGTAACGGCGATGCCAGGTCACTCATACCCTGGCAATAACTGACAGATGGATGATTCAACGCATATCTTAATAAAATATTAGAATTATTAATAGAAAGAATTATTATACAAATAACGAATTTAGTAAGATAAAAAAATAAAAACATACGTGGTTAATATATTAAAAAGAGATGCAATATTTTTATTATCATCACTTCCAGCATAAAAAACATGATGCCTGTCTGTCCTTAGCACATCTTTTTTAACCATTCCTGTCACATAGGCTAAATCACCGACCATCTAAAATGTATTTTTGGGTGATGGCCAAAGCATATAATTTTTATATTAGTAAAATTTTGACATATACCTTGCCATTTTTCACCATTTCTCTCCACCTATCTCTTAATACAGTATATTCATTAGATTTTCTTTTCATATAGTCCATCCTCTGTTTTCCTGACATTCCTTTGGGATAAACGTTTAAAATGTGCTTCCAGACAACTTTTCTAAAAAAGAAAAACAACCATAGAACCTAAATAAAATTTCCAATTTAGAGATGAGTCGACAACCTTAGACTAGGATCAATTCCACCATAGTAAATAACAGATCTCAGTTGTGCAATATCAATAACTTCGCCGATGGGATCTAGAAACTGACGAAATTCAGCGTCCATGAGCGGTGGTCGGGGAGGAAGATTGCTTACAGGCGCTGACTGCACTTCTTCAGTGAAGTTAAGCGCCCTTTGTACAAGATTAAAAGTTTTTTCAACCTAGGGAAATAATTTTGGTAAATAAATTACAAAAACTGCCGCTTTCATTCCCTTTTTTTTCACCTTCAAGAAAATATTTACCCGATTCATAATGAAACCAGGTAGACCGTGGGATGGCTTCGCCTCTATGAGCTGAACGGGGTTCTCTTCGATTTCGCACGTTTCTTCAAAAGGCCGTGCCTCGATCCTTAAGTTTAAATGAGGCTCGGAAGCACTGGAGAAAAAAAAAATAATAAGACCATTTGTACATTAAACTTAAAAGAAATAAATAAAAAGTTTTTGCAGGCAAAAACTGTTTTGTCTAAGTTTTATTATAAATCCAAAAATAATGTTCATAAAATTTATATTTTATACACTTTATATATATTTTAAAATTAGGTCCTAAACAAGCCCTTTAATAATTTTTAACTGCTAATACTAATCAGGACAGATATTGGGTTGTCCGGAAAATAATGCAGGATTTTGGTATTAAACAAAAAAAAAGAAACTAGTTACTTTAAAGCAATGTTCTTTAATCAAAATAATTTCCCNCATACAAATGAGTAATCCTGTAAACGTAAACAGAATATTTTATATAGATTTTTTTTAATGAAAACTTAAAATCCTGCATTATTTTCCGGACAACCCAATACTAATGGTAGGTCTCGACATAAATCCAGATTTTAGTGCAAAAAAATCATATTCCGGATATTATTTAAGGTATTATTTCTCTAAGGGGAGTATCAACTAAGAATAGGCCATACAAGGTTGATATGGTTTGTGGCTGAATATATCACAATACTTTTGTGAATGGTATTTAATGATTAATGATTTACATAAGCTCAAATCTGCACACGCATGTACCTAGAGTTGAGCCTCTTCAGTCCATTGGCAATCCAGCTTTTGTAAATTACAATGAATTACCAGTGAGTCTCGAGAATCATTCAACCTGGTGTTGGCAGTTTGGGGTCAGACCACAGTCTTATCCATTGAGCCGCTCCAGGTTCCTAACATCAGATGGGTCATTTTAGCCCCCAACATAATCAGTTCCTAAATCCATTCAAACACATTTACTCTTAAATACATTGTTACTTATATTCATACCATTCACTCTGGGTGGAGAAGTACTTGACATTCCTCGATCACCCTTTACACTTTAACTATCCTAATTGAGGGATGGGGTACTCAATATTCCACCAAGCCTCTTAAACTACACATTCACGCTGATAAATACATTCACTCTCAACACACCCTAGGTACACAAAACTATCAATACTATATACAATAAAACAACCGTTTCCTCCAAAAATTGGAACTGGGGACCCAGATACTTGATTCTCATGCTGGGGCATTCCTACGTTCTCTCTATATAGAGCCAAAAAGTTACACCCTTAAATTATGTAGGATGCATCGAACAACCTTTCTTTGCATGTTGGAACATAATCATGCTTTGGCCCAAAAGTGTTCATGTATCAACCTTGCATGGCCTATCCTTAATCGGGTGAAGATAGCCTTCTTCTCTTAAGAGTCAGATCCAACAGTTCTCTTGATACATTAATACAGCCCAACAATGCTGCCTTTCTTTAAAAAATGTGTTTTATTTTTAGCATAAGGATGCCAGATAGTTAAGTCAAGAGGTTCGGACATCCCTTAGCTGCCTCATCTAGCTTTTCATTACCCTCCAAGCCTATACGTCCGTAACCATCATTGTTTTGCCAAAATACTCCAGTTCATGGTATCTCTCTTTGTCACAATGAGAGTGTTAACAGAGGACCTGACACAGACAGCAGTAATGACACTGAGGTACCTCAAGTGCAGTCAAGGTAAGTAATTAAAGTGAAAAATTGTATTTTGTAACTCAAAAGCCTAATTTGAAGTTTAAGTTATAAGTTTATGAGAAAAAAGAACATGTGATTTTCATAGTTCGCCATGAGAATTCTAGTTTCAATTTAAGTACAATTATAGTAGCTTTGCCATTTCCAATCCTTGTCTCAATCTTGGCTGTTTTCATTCATTTGTCAAAAACAAAATAACACACAAAACCACCAATGAAGACAAGTCAGACCTGAACATTTGGAAACGACCAAACTACAGATTTGTCATAATATGCTACAATTAAAAAGACTCACCTTAAAAAGGCAGCATCCAAATCCCAGTCGGAGAGAAGAGGTAGATATGTTTCTTGACCATAATCGTCAAATACTTTATAGCAAACTGAAAAATCGCTGTGAACAGAAAAATTGTGAACGTATTGTCAGAAGGTGTGTAATGTTTGATCGTTCATGTCTGCCTGTGCTAGCTAGTTTTGGTCAGTCAAATTGCAAAAATATTGACAAAATAACAGACCAAATACTGATGCATTGTCAAAATGTTTCAGACAAAATTGGAGAACAGGCTTCAGAAGTAAAACATAAAAATGAAAAAGAAAAATATTTAAGCGAATACCCTTTAATGTCAAAAGCCTTGACGAGCAAGCTGAGGAGTACCTCGTAAGAAGTGATCTGCGGGTCAATGCTGAACTTCTTGTACTCTGGGGTGAGGACACCCTCACATTTCTACAACATGAAATAACGGAATGAACGGTTCTGGTTTTAGCGGAGGGACGCTAAAAAGATTTTACCATAACTTTCACCCTTATCGCCTCACGTTTATAGCCGAAAATCTGCGCCATGGTCTCAATTCCTCCCGTCTTGAGTTCTCTACATCCGGAGAAGTTTTTGGACTGAGTTCTGGCGATCTGATGTCGAAACGTTTCCAGACATGAGAAGCCGTCCCTCGTCAATTCGCATAATTTTTTTTTATTTTTTGCTTTCTCTCAAGGGAAAACTCGGATATTTCCAATCGTAGAGCCCATTTCATCGTGAACGCAACCGATTGCGTTCAGGTATTTTCACGAATTTGAAGGCCCGTTTTGTTTCGTCCGACTCGAAAAAACGGGGGATAAAATTCCGATGACAAAGAAGGGCATGGAAACGTCAAAAGTATCAAGATATAAAACACGTACACATCCCTTCTATTTTATCTAAACCCAATGTCGATTTCTTGCCCCTCGATAGTCGATATGATGCAAAGTCGAAACGCGTCTCTTTTTTTTTTTATTAACGTAAAAAAAGTACAGAAAATATATGAAAAATGTTTATATTACAATACACAAAGTTTATAAAAAGTGCCAATAGGTGTAACATCAAAAATTTAAACAATAAACTGCAAGTGTTTGAAAGTTCTTAAGCATTTACTTTTTTAAACAATTTTCAATTCATTTAGTTATTATATTATATTTATTTATTTAATTGTTATTACATCTGTAAATCGATATATACAAATATATTAGAGAGATACACGTGTCTCCCTCGGACAAACGGACAAAATTTTAGGTCAAAAATACTCTTAAATTTCATGACATATATGAAATCACATATAGAGTTTAAAATATATAAAAGTTTCTACTGAACAATATAATTATTTGGATGAAGAACATATTTTTTTAATGATTTTACATTATTCAATATCTTGTTGCCCTTCTATTACATATTTGATGAATGAAAATTTAGTTATTATATTATATTTACTTATTTAATTGTTATTACATCTGTAAATTGTTATATACAAATATATTTATACATGTGTCTCCCTCAGACAAAATTTTAGGTCAAAAATACTCTTAAATTTCATGACATATATGAAATCACATATAGAGTTTAAAATATATAAAAGTTTCTACTGAACGATATAATTATTTGGATGATTGTATATTATTCAATATTTTGTTGCCCTTCTATTACATATTTGATTAATGAAAAAAAGAACTTCATTTACAAAAAGAAAATGCATTTATTTACTTTTGGAAGTATAACCGAAATTATAATAAAAACTGTTCTTATACAGCATTGATGGTAATGGTAATGAGGACACTAGGGAGTGGGGTTTGTGCTCCCCAGGCACTGCAGCCTTCTGGCTTTTGTACCTTCCTAGCTCCTTAGTTCAATGCATTTGACTCAATCTTTCTTCTTAGATGTACCAGGTCATTAACTGTCACCAATACAATTTCATTCTCTAGATTTTTTCTGTATGTTAGGTTAAATCTCCATTGAGGGGTTGCTTCGCATTTGAAAATGATATGGGTGGCTGTTTCCTCTTCCTCATTGCATAATCTGCACATGGGATCATCATTGTACATGCCCATGCTGTGTAGATGTTTTCTCGGATGCCAGTGACCGGTTAATAGTCCTATCATTCCTCTGAGTCTGGCCCTATACAATTGCAGCAGTGTGTTTGCCAGTCTTGGTTGTTTCATCATAATATATAAGTGAGAAGTTTATGGGCCGACAAACAGCTGAGGTCATCGCCAGCTCTCTGTGTGTTTTCCATCTTTTTCTTTTCTTTCGCGCATATTTTGTATATATAAACTGCAGCCATTTGAGCGTCTCGATCTGGTTACAGACTCTCTGAGTTTCATCATAAGTTTATTGGTTTAGCACCACTAGTCCATCCACTTCTCCTTTTGTTTTGTTTGAATCCATTCAGCAATGTTCTATATATATATATTTTTTTTTAATCCCAAGTATAGGTGAGGTATAGGTTATGTATGATCTTGAAAATCCTCCTCTGGCCAGTGTATTTTTTTTTTCATTACCCAAAATTCCTCTGTGCCCTGGTACATGAGATATCATCAGGTTGTTGTGTTTCCCCAGGTTTTGTATATTTTGGATGCGTTCACTGTCTAATTTTGATGTGATTTTTTTACATGCTAATGCTTTAATGGCTGCTTGGCTATCAGATCTTATGAGGATTTTTTTGCCAGTGTAATCTGTTGTAAGATTTTCTAGGGCATGTATTTCTGCTTGAAAGACCGAAGTGCACTCCCGGTCCCGCTGAGTTTGATTGCTCATATCTTGGGCTTGTACAAAAAATACCCGAGCAGTTTGTTTTTGGGCCATCTGTATACTATATCATTGTATCTGATGCTCTCCTGAGTTCTTCCTCTCCTTGGTGGCCGGCTGAGAATTACTTCAATAGAAGATATGTACATACAAAGATAATAAACCCAGTTGCGTGTAACTATTGTTTAATATCAGACTCTCAAAGTGCCTTGAAAAACTAGATTTTAAGGCCAACATTAATTTCAATTATTTCAATTTCATTAATTTGGAAGACCAAATCTGATGGTCATTATCCTGGTTACTTTCTTTTATACTTTTTTTTAGATCAATAATCTCAACAACACGACACTTGTGTATTCCAGATGACTACACACAAGGAATTGATATAATATTTTAACTGCCAAGACATTTTTAAAATTTCTAGAAAACCTAGTAATAAAACCAAGATTGCTAGAGCTCTACCTCAAATTTGTTTGATATGGTCACTGAAATCACCCTTTCTGTTTAAAACGACGCCAAGGTCGGTCATCGATAGTGTCAACCTCTTCCAATCTCTGCCATCAACAAAATAATGAAAACAATCTAAGTCATGGAGTAGGATATTTTCAGTAAATTTAATTACCTTGCATTTGTTACTATTCAAATGAAGACGATTCTGCTCACACCAATTAATGAAGCAGTCCAGTTCCCCCTGTGACTGGAGAAACACAATTGTGAGCAAAAGACACAGAGTTAAAAATTTTCAAATCATTTGCCAATAAAGAAAATGTAAAATTCTTGAATATTCTACAGACATCATTGAAATAAATAAGAAATAATATGGGCCCAGAGTGAGAGCCCTGAGGTCCACCAGAAAATGTTGAAATCTTATCCGATACTGTGTTATTCATGAGAACAGAGAAAGAGTGATCCAATATTTTTTTCATCCCTTTCGTCTCTATTGCCTATCCTATCCCTATGTAGGAAAAAATAAAGTAATGTGGAAATAAAATTTTTATTGAAGAATTGAGCCGGTATTGATCTAAAGCCATGAGTTTGATGCATTTTTATACTGGATTGAGTAGCTTTTGGTCAAAACAGCTTTGCTAATTGTGGTAATGCATTGGGAACTTATGAAAACTTAAAAAAAGTGCAAAAAATGTGTATTTGACTCAATTTATTGGCCCGTTTAAAAATTTCATGAAAACAAAACAGAGCTGAAATAGGTTTCTAATTGAAAAAACCCTTGAATAATGAAAACTACAAAAGTTAATATATACGCCAGAGAAAAGTTTTGAAATATCATTGGTCGTCAGTTTTATTTTAAAGATTTCTGCGTATATCCAAGACTTAAGTCTGAACCGTACAAAAAGAATAAAAATTCAAATTCAAATGGCAAATGAGAGGGAAAGAAAAGAGGACTGACTCTCTTATCTTTTGTTTTCATGTATAACAGCATTTGCAGGTTGCAAACAAAAAGATACAAGATAAATAATGTTGAGGCAATTTCAGCGGAAAATCGTCGCCGAAATTTTCCCGTCTGTTCGTTAAATATCTCCTCTGGAAGAAAAGAAAATATGAAGAACGAAAGCATGAACTACCGTCACTTCCACGAGAAGTTCATGGAAAATCACAACGGCACCACTATCTGGGAGAACGCGCTCGTTATTTGCCCAACGCCGTTGGTACTTTTTTATCTATGCCTTTTCAAAATTTACATCTATACCAACTATAGACAGCAGAGGTGCGAACGGTTCTACACATTCCTGCTGGATTTCTTAGCCGTTATAGTTCCTCTTTCCATGGCCTGCACCATCCTGAGTTCCTACCTGGTCAACATCATGGCTGTGTTCTTCCTCAGCAGTGTCCTGACACTGGGGCTCCTTCTGAGAGGAAAGAGAAAGATGATAATGAAGATCCTCAACACGCCGATCCAACAGGAAAAGAAACCCTCTTTGACGTTTTACAGATCGGTCGTGTCTGTATATTCCGTCATATGCATATTGGCTGTCGATTTTAAAATATTCCCGAGAAGATTTGCGAAAACAGAAAGCTTCGGATATGGCCTGATGGACACAGGCGTTGGATTTTACATCTTGTCCAATGGGATAGTCGTCAATACTAAAAGTGTGAAGAACTACAAGAAGTTCATATTAAAAGTGCTCGTAGGCTCGGTCCCAGCTTTTGTTCTAGGATTGCTCAGATACATATCGGTGGAAGCATTGAATTATCAAAAACATACGTCTGAGTACGGCCTACATTGGAATTTCTTTTTCACATTAGGCGTGGTCAAAATTGTCGGGTCGATTATAGTAGTGACATGGCCTAAAAGAATCGGACTCATTTCAATATTGATAGGAGTGCTTCATCAGTCGGCGTTGCTCGGAGGGATCCAGGATTGGATATTAAGCGATGCTCCGAGGGATGACTTTTTATCGGCCAACCGTGAAGGGATTCTTTCACTTCCAGGATATATTTCGCTATTTTTATCAAGCGTGTCGATGGGAGTGGCTCTTCGGTCGAAAGTAAACACAATCTATGAAACCCTTTATCACGGCTTCAGATTATCTATCGCGACAATTGTTTTTACTGTTCTGACACTCACAAGTGAAAATTGGTTCGGAGTATCACGTAGGCTCGCCAACATACCTTACATACTGTGGCTGACTTCTTTCACTTTGTTTATCTTCTGCATATCCCTCATCGCGGAGTTTTTCATTAGGGTTATATGTTTTTTGAAAAAAGTACCTGTCAAGGCTATTTTAATACCAGTGATTCTTGAAGCGATCAATTTCAACGGTCTTTTCTTTTTTCTCTGCGCAAACTTAAATACAGGTCTAGTCAATTTAATGGTAAAAACTCTGCTAGTCCATCCTGTGAACAGTTTTTTGATTATAATAGCCTATATGCTCGTAAATTGTGGCTTGACAACATTCCTTTATTACAAAAATTTTAAATTCAAACTTTCATATTAATACCAATGTTTTTGAGACTTTATAACTGAAATTGTGATTATAAAATTTTTATACTAATATATATACATATTGTTATTTTGAATATTCATGCTGAAAATATAGTTATTTATTATAAAAGAAACTAGTTTTTTCTTGCATTTTTAGCATTCCCTTTTTTTAGTAAGTGCACATAATTATATTACATCAACATGTAACATATGAAGAAAAAAAATTAAAATAATTATTTCACTTCACTTCACTTCTTGCACACTACCGTTAATTCCAACTTTAGACTATGGGAATCACCCTCCCCGGTGTTGGCTGTCCGTAGGTATTATCCATCCAGTTGGGCTCTCTAGGGACTATCAACAGCTAGGTCATTCCAGCCTGACACAGACTGCTCTAAATTATTAACACTCTCACACTCTTAAATACATTCTCCTCTTTCACTCAGTTCATTTCTTATTCACTCAGTTATGATGGTGGAGCTATTCCTCCATCACCTTTTTATACCTAATTCCACTAATGTAAAAGAGGGTATGAAATATTGCACCACTTAAATTCACACCAATAAATACATTCACTCTCAACATACATTATGGGACACAAAACAACACTGTTTCCTCTAAAAATCGGAACAGGGGATCCAAATACTTGGTGGTATTTCACTTGAACTTGGCCGTGCATATGCATCAGTGTAGGAACATCGTGCACAAATTCACTAGTTTCGTGGTCCGCTTGACCAATTGATATCATACAATTAATTAAGGTTTTTAGTTGAGATAAAAAGTCAATGGCACGAGCGGGATTCGAACCCACGATTTTCGGCTTGATACGCCTCTGCTCTACCACTTGAGCTACCGTGACCTCGATCCACTCGGACACCAAGTCATTTGTCGCCGAGAATCAAATTGATTACACGACATTTGAAAAGTGACAAAAAGGAGGGAAAATTCAAAAGGTGGGGTTGAGATGGGAAGTTGGTGTCCGAGTGGATCGAGGTCACGGTAGCTCAAGTGGTAGAGCAGAGGCATATCAAGCCGAAGATCGTGGGTTCGAATCCCGCTCGTGCCATTGACTTTTTTATCTCAACTAAAAACCTTAATTAATCGTGCACAAAGTTGTTCATCCAGATAAGGTGCTTTTGGAATATTTTTAATTGCTAGGACTATTATGCCACTTTTTTTCTAGCCTAAGTAAGCAAATATTTGAAAAAGAACAAAAACTTTATTAACAACAAAATAAATTAATTTATAAAAAAAAGGACAAGTACAAAGGATAAGTAAACGTTTTAGTCTTAAAGTGTGAGAGTATCCAAAATATAAATTATCTTGAATTTTAGAGTTCATCGTGGTCTTCCAATGTAGTTATAAACTTGGGGTCGATTAAGTCAATCTGACTTATGAATTGCTTGTATTTCTCATGTTTCAAAACGTGTCTTTCAGCTTTACCGACAATCTTCATAAACTCAGCCACATTGAATTGGTAGTTTGTAAATTTTGCGTGAGCCTTTCCGTCTGGGTGTTTACCCTTGTAAGAAAAAAAAAAAAAATAAGAATCATTTAAATAATATTTTTTGGGGGGTAAATTACTGACTTTACCTCATCTTGCTGATACATTTTGGTGTTGTCCTTCCAGGTGAAGTACTTCACACCTCTGAGCCTGGCAAGATCGAAGTAACAGTTCACATCTTCACAGTTGTACCTGCATTTAATATTAACTGTAATAAATCAAGTTAGTTTCTAAAAGTATTGATAATATGTACACTTCAAATACTGCGGCCCAATCAGGTAGAAATAATAGATGGGTTAAACCGGCACCGTGTATGCCTATGAATATATCTGAATTTGATGTAATTTCTAGTTGTTCTTTAAAAGGCATTCTTTGATTGTAAACAACCTGAAATTATTAAAATAGTTTCAACTGTGAGATATGGTCTTAAAGTCTGCAAAGGTGGTAAACCTCTAGTTTGATCCGTTTATGAAAATTCTGGTCTGCCTTTTCAGCATTTTGCCACTTTAGGAGTGGTGTGTGGTTAAAAATGTATCTGACAGACAAAACCAGGATTCAAGCAGAAACCATTTGAATATTTTACCTTCTTAACATTATATTGAGTATTATTTTTTAAAGCTTCAATAAGTTGATCCTCGTTCAGTATATTCCTATGTGATGTGTCCCTAGACAAGAACGTTATCCTCAAACGTTTGTCTTTTGGAGTATGCTTTGGGATCCTGAGTCTGTGAAGTATATGCTCAGAAAACGCTTGAAAAAGTCCGCTCTTCTCACATCCCCATACCTTTCAAAGTTGATCATTCGAGTAAATAAATGAGGACGAATAAGAATTTTATTTTAACTTTAGAATATCCTTACGATTGGTGTGTTGTAATAAAGGCCGAATATCATTCGAGGAAGGAGAGGAAACATGATGTTTTTAAAACAAACCGACCGACCTTTAAATGTGTCCAAATTCCAGATGGGGTGATCCGTGAACGCTTCGAATGTCACCCCAAAACTAGAGAAATATCTGCAAAAGTATCATTTGAGAAATAATAATTTATAATTTTTAAAACCAATTCCCATACCTGTAACTTTCCCAGATAAGTATGTGCACATCAGTAGAGAATTTCGGTTGGTTAGTACTGTTCAAATGCTGGGAAGCATAAAGATTAAGGAAATCACAAAAGTGGTGGTACATATTTACTGCTGCAAGAAAATTTAAATTTAAACAAATTTCATTTTAACACAACCTTTCCACAATAATCAAATTAAGATACAAACTTGCGTCTATTTTCATAATTATCACAGGCTTTTCAATGTAAGTATCACAGAGTTCAGAATCGACGATATCATCGATTTCGGTGAAATACCTCATCTCTGGCCCCCAGGATTGCAAAGGGCTGATGTGATCACTTTCTTCGTTCAATCTGTCAGTATGGAGTCTAAACAAGGCAAAATTTTTTAAATAATAAATCAAAAATAAACACCGTTGAATTTTTTATTACTTGCAGTGACCGCCGATTTCTCCTTGTTTAAGTACGTCCATTTTATATCGCAAGGGTTCCTTCCTTTCATTCAACGCGGTGAAATTAATCATGATATTCCTCCCTCGGCAAAACTGAAGGTGTTTCGTACACTCCAAAGCTGAGTCTTGCTACAATAAATAAAAAAAAGGTAAAAAATTGAACGCTTTATATTGTATTTTCGTAAAAACAAAATACCAAAAACGTCGGTTCGCAGATTACAGTGAGTTCATTGGCTTTTTCCTTGATGTAACCAAAATCCCCCTGGTTGTAGAAAGTTTTCATTTGTTCCTCTTTCGATCTCACCCAACCCTTGTGAGCCCCTGGGCATTCGTGTTTTGAAAACACTTCATGATTCTGACATTTATACTCATACCCCCAGCATTTCATTTCATTCTCAGCATGATCCTGTAATACAAATTTATTAACTATCATTAATTATAATTATTAACTTAATGTTTAAAACCAAGACTAAAAAAAAAAATTCAATACCAATACATTTTTAACAGACATCCAACTCAGATCTTTTTTTTTAAATTGTAATGAACAAGAATCCCCTCAATTCTTGCTTTTCTGTGCTGGCTTCCCATGTTAGTTGTGTGCTGGTACTTGTTATAATTTAAAAACTGTTTTGCTTAAGAATTTAACATTTCAAATCCCCAAACTTTGGGTTGGCTTGTAATAGTTGTCACATTTAATTTGTTTGATATCATAAACTAGCTTAGATATTCTCAAGTGATGCTACAACAGATTTTTTCTGTTTGCCCTAGGTAATGGGTTCTCACAAAATGGCTGTCCTGCAACCACAAAGACTGTTCACCGTAAACCATCTGTCCTAGAATTGATATAAGGTGTTAAAGATGTCCATATGTCTTGCCAACACTTTTTGACCACCTCTCTTTATAAAAATGAAGCTGCAAGTGGCTACTCAAGATGGTGAGAAGCAAAAACTGACTGACATGCCAAAACATGAGAAGACAGATAAATCAAAATGAACATAAAATACCAGATGAAGGTGCAGGTGGCAACTGAAGATAGCGAGAAGCAGAAATGTGTCTAAAAACAAAACATGAGAGGACAGATAATCCAAAATGATCATAAAACACCAAATGAAGCTGCAAGTGGTGACTGATGATGGCAAGAAGCGGAAATATGTCTGACATGCCAAAACATGAGAGGACAGAAAAATCAAAACGATCAGAAAATACCGGATGAAGGTGCAGGTGGCAACTGAAGATAGCGAGAAGCAGAAATGTGTCTAAAAACAAAACATAAGAGGACAGAGAAATCAAAATGATCATAAAACACCAAATGAAGCTGTAGGTGGTGACTGATGATGGCAAAAAGCGGAAATATGTCTGACATGCCAAAATATGAGAGGACAGATAAACCAAAATGGTCAGAAAACACCAGAAGAAAGTGCAGGTGGCGAGAAGCAGACATGTGTCTAAAAAACAAAACATGACAGGACATATAGACCAAAACGATCAGAAAATAGCAACTAAAGCTGCAGGTGGCGTCTGATGATGGCGAGAAGCGGAAATGCTTTTCAACTTTGCGTTTAAATTTAAATCCCCGCTTGTTAAAAACGAGTTATTTATTTTAAAACGCTGACACTTTTAAATTTCGTCGTATTTACCTTCCACGGGCACGACTCGTCTTCCAGGCATTTCTCTGCGAGTCCCCTGTCGTTGAAGAGATAATATGGAATGTGCTTGTCCGGCAAATCGACATCGTATGGCCCTCCTCTCGCGAATGAATTCAGGAATGACACCAACAGAAGGATCTTGTACATTTATCCAAAGCCACGGTTCTCAGCTTGTAAGTTGTACGAAGCACGGTTTGCCACTAACGTGGGCCGGATTCTGTAACATGTAACAACCTTGCCGATCCTCCTACACAACAAGACAACAAAGCCTTGTCCAACGAAACCTCCGGCAAGACCGCCAAACCAAAAATGGATGATGATGGTAATTTACCGATACATCGTACAATTAACATATACCAAAGCAAACACAAAAACATTTGTCACTGTTGACTCCTCTTTGAAGAATAAAGCACAAAACGTGCTAATTTTGTTGTCTTATTTTAATATTTAGACAAAAAAATGATCATTTCCTACCTTTCATCATTTTGATTTCTCCTCTTGCGTCCTAGTGTAGTAGTGTGATGAAACTGCAGCTCCGTTCAGACCAAAGTAGACAGATTGATCGGAAACAAGCAAACTAAAAATGTTATAGTCTTTTAAATTCATTAATAAACTAAGTAAAATAACAGTCAAACCCACCACTGAAGTTGGTGAGAAAACAGAATCTGACCAAAACAGCGAGGATAGGTAGACCAAAATGTCCAGTTTTGTACTAACATGCCACAATTCCTGATCATTCACTAGTAAGTCATTGTGATCCAGTTCACACACTAATCCAAAACTGTTTGGTTGGAATGAACCCATAATCTAAATGTAAACCAAAATGGCCTATTTACTTTAATTTATTGTAATCCATTAAGATAGTCCAAAGATTAAAAAAAAAAAAATGTAATAATCATGACATTTCCTCTTTAGGTCTGCAGGGCGATCGACCTGCTGTTTAGTTATTATCAAAGACAGATCAAAATGATCGTTATTACCAAACTACACATTAGCAATAAAAAAAAAATTATCAAATTCTTTTAGCAGTCTTGGGGATGTGGAAGAAAAAAAAATACTAAACTCAAATTTATATTTACTAAACGCCTCGTAAGTTACAAACAGGGTGATTTGTATTTTTTAAATCCACTATACAATAAAGTCAAATAGATAAAATTACTCAAAAATACTGGTGTAAAATCAGCAATATTTAAACAAATGTTTTGACTGATTTGATCATCTCTCACCTGAGATCTAGAAAGGAAAATTAAAGCTAAATAGCAATACACACTCACATCAACTAAAAGTCTAAGGAGAGAAAAATCTAAAATAATAGCATGTGCCCTAAAGAACACTTAAATTCTTTTAGTAAATTTTTTTTAATCAATTGAATATTTTCAACACAAAATAAGTTTTTAAAAAAATATAAATAAATACTAAAATAATATATCTTAATGACTTTGAGTTAAGTTTAATATATGCTAAATAAAAATAACTAACTCTTATTTAGTTAACTTGCACTGACTTGTTTTATCTATCGAAAAGACAAAGTTGAAAGAACTTGTCCACAAGAAAAAATAAACACAATAAATTTTTCTGAAAGGTTAATTTTTTACACATTAGTTCAACAATAAAAATATATACGTGTATATATCTACATTAGAAGAGTTACATCTAAAAAGTTTGCGATAAAAGTTTTTTTTAAAAAGGATTATTTTAAACTATGAAAATTCTTATTAACATTTATATTCATATATCCATTAGTAAGTGTCATCATCCTCGTCCATTGTGAAATCACTGCCGATCCCAGAATCCAATAAGTAGATCGGGCTAAAAATGTAACGTTTTTATAAATTGTAAATATACCAATAACGCTGTAACCATGTGCAAGCCTCTTGTCAACATACTTGATAGCCCTGCATGAGAAAAACACAATCCTCTTCATCTTCTTATTGTAGAAAAAATAGTTGAACGACCAAAGGCAGCCGTCTTCGCTGAATGGGTCTGACGTCAAATCTGGATTATAGCTAAACCGATTCAGATGTTTTAGAGGAATAATTTTTAAAGTTAAAACCTCTCCATAACGGATCATACCTGTAAATGTCACAATCAGACATTGAGATCTCGTCTTGAATTGCGGCCCAAACGTTGGTACGCAAAGATCTGTACTGCTCTCCAACTGTTGCGCTTAAATTGCTATCCACAGTATTCATAACCCACTGTAAGAGAATAATTTTAAGGTTGGGATCATTTAATTCTACTTAAATAAAAAAAAAACTACATGTTAGAAATCCCACACACGATAAAAATTATTTACAAAAAATTTCAATTATGAAAAAAAGACCATAAAAAGGTTAATAATTGTTTTATTGGACAATAAACTAAACCTACAATTGATTTAAAAAATAAATAAAAATCGTATAGCTTCGATAAACGACATTTACAAAACTCACTTGAAGACTAGGTTCCTTGCTGAACTCATGACTTTTCGCTGTTGAGAAATCATAATCAGGCTGGAATGCTGCATTGAGAGTTGCAATCAAATAAAAAAGCGTCTTCCTGCTGATCGTATCGCACAAAGGACCATCTTCATCACCAGATATACTACGGCTAAAATTTACAGAAACATTTTTTATTTATTTATAAACAGAAGATTGATAAACAAATACCCACCTGTAGTAACTCTGCCCTGGTGAGATCCCTAGGCCGGTTTGGGGCGGAGATAAAGCTTGGAGATCATTAGGATTTACCCCCTGTTCAGAGTTGAACCTCTTGTAAAACTGTTTGTCATTTCCGGCCATTTTGCACGAATAACTTTCAATCCTGTAAAAGTAAAGACGGTTAATAATGTAAGAAAATGAACGTACTATTCCGTACGTACATTATTTTTATTGATATTAATCATTTTATCTTTAAGTACTTATTATGAAGAATTAATGAATGTTAAATGGCAATTTGTTAAACTTAAACAATAATTTAGTAGAAAAACAAAACTAATCTTTTTATAAAGATTGAACAACATACTTCACCATTTATCATTTCCAAACAAAAACTAATTCATTTTCTTATAATTGGTGAACTAGTCGATGGTTAACTATTTGACTCAAGAAAGGTCATTTTTTTAACTAATTATTTTCACTCATATGTTTGGCAAAGTACATGGGTTACATGTTTGAAAATTGAAACAAATTACATATCTGTGGTTTCAGTACAAAGTGGGTTAAATCGTGAGATTTCATCCTGTGTCTTGCTGGTTTGCACCCTTACGGATCTTCTCGTTCTGCATGCTCGGGTTGGTCAGATGTGTTTCGGCATTTCACCATCTTCAGTGGTGTCTTGTGTGTTATTTTGACTGTCTGGTCTTTTTACTGATTCACTGAAGATGGCGAAATGCCGAAACCTGCTTGACAGATCAACCCAGCAAGGATCAAATTAAAACTGGGTTGTCAGTCAAGTCACAAATTAAGAAAATTGAGTGAAGTACAAGGAAATTTTTTTTGTCACTCAATTTTGTGGAAAAATATTTGAACCTTAAACGTGATTCCCTGAAAGTTATGATTTTAAACTTAACCCACTTTTCGCAGCAGCCACATTAAAGAAAAGACAATTATTTTGTAATACAAGTTAATAATTTAAAAATGTTAATTATTAGTTAAGAGAATTAAAGTTCTTTTTATTTGGATGAAAATAAATGTATAAAAAGAATTAAAAATAATTGAATTATTATCTTGTAATAGTTGAATAATAATAGTTGAATTTATCAAGTAGGAAGCCCAGTTTTAATACTTTTTAATCCCAGTTTTAAAAAGAAGAGAAAAATGGTTGTTTATGAGAGAAAAAATAATTAATCAACTTGAACATAGATTAAATTAAATTTTTTAAAAATCTTTTTGAGGGCAATGTTTTACAATTAAAGCAAAATTAATTATTCCTTTTGATACATAGATAATACAATTAATCTTTCTCAAGAAGATATTTCATAATAATACAATACAGAGCTGTTGTACATATTATGTAATTGCATATATAATAGTATGTATTACATAATTAATTATGCCATTGTTTTGCCTTACAATTGAATAATTTAAAATATTCGTAATTAGTGCACAACAGCAGGATCATAAACCCTTGGGGTGTTGGTGAAAAAAGGCCCATTTGTAAGTATGTCGGGTTAATGCAGGGCCGCTGGATTCGAACCCAGGACCTTTGAATTACAGTGATGAACACCTTAACTGTTTCGGCTGAGGCCCATCAATTAATCAAAGCATTTATCAAAAATAATAAATAACGACTCAAATATTTTAAGTTAAAGGTGGTTTTTTCCTTTAAGTTCTTACTATTACAATTAAATAATTAACTAAATGACAAAGTCGGTACTATCTAATTTTTTTTTAAGTCCATGTGTATAAAAAAAGATGATAATTTGGTTTGTGAAGAAAAAAAAGTACAGGAATTTTGTGTAATTGTACTTAGCAGTTAAATTGGGGGGAAAAAACAATGGAACAAACTAATGGAAAAAAAATGACTCAATTGATATAATGGGCGATAGAGACAAGTACTTCGCCACTCTACTTGAATGAACATTATGTAAATCAGAATGCATATACATTTTATTTTTTAAATAATTTTAACTTAATTTGGTGGTAAAAGTATTTCAAATCTAGAATGTTGGTTATTTATTTTTTTACCTATACCCACCATTTAGTTTTATGCCATATATTTCAATTGCTAATTCACTGAAAAAAATAATTCCTGTATGTCTTTAGGACTAGCAAGACTGTGTAAATGAACAAGTAGAGAAAACTTTTAAACTCAATTTTACACATCTCGACAAGTTATATCTCCATTTCGGTTATTCTACACATATCTCTGTAAACTTAAATATCATATCATCACATTGAAATTTAAGTATGTTTACACACTGAATGACAGATATTTTTATAACCCACCTAGCAAATCATGAATAACTGAACAGGTGGTAATAATAACAATAATCAGAAAATGTCCAAAATTTCTGTTAAAAAGTAGATGAATATAAAATATACATAAAGCAATAAGCACAAAAAAGTTAAGATATAATTAAATAAATTAAAAGAATGTTTTGACTCAAGGAAAGAAAACAACATTGAACAACTTTTGAACAAGATGCTTCAAAAGTGTCCAAAATTGATTACCTGATTTCAATTATATTGTTTAACATAATAGAATTAATTATTAATTAAATAAGCGATTTGGCTTTGTATGGGACAATACTGTTATTCTAAACTAAATTTATCATAGTTATATGGATAAATAGTAGGGAAGCAACAAGCTAAGAACATTAATGTTGGGGTTTTTATATTGAGCTTGTATTGATAATAATAATTACATAATTTTTATTTTTAATGTGGGGGCGTTATTGTTATTTTGGACCAAATTTATCAATGTCAAACAGATACAAATGAAGGATGTATGAAGCTAAGCGCATTAATGGTGGGATGTAAACTTCAAAAATATTGTGATATGATGATATGAAATGATTTTTTGTGTGAGTGGGAAGGGCAATATTGTTATTTTAGAACAAACATATTAATTAAATCAATGATTTTTTTAAAATGTGTGTATGTGTGAGGGGGTAATATTTTAAAAGCAACTTTTGAATACAGGGATTCTATTTTAAAAGTGACCAAATTAATGAATAGATTTCCAGAAATTATGTTGTTTACCATAGTAGTGTCAATTATTAATTGAATAAGCGATTTTTGTGTGTATAGGACAATACTGTTCTATTCATTATTATGTTCTAAACCAAACTTATCATTGTCATATGGATAAATAAGACGGAAGTGTCAATCTTTGAACATAATAATGAATATAGTTAATTATTATTTTATGTGTGTGTGTGTGGGGGGGGTGATATATTGCTATTTTGGACCAAACTTATCATTATCAAATGGGTATAAATATATAGGAGGGAAACATAAAGCTAAGAACATTAATCGTGCGGTTTTTAACGTTGAACATAATTAATGTTTTTATGTAAGGTTTTGGTTAATTAACAAAGTTAGTGTCATGAGCGGGATTCGAACCCACGACTTTTGGCTTGTTCAAATCCCACTCGTGACACTTTTTCATTTTAATCAAAACCTTACATAAAAAAGATTAGTTAATTGAAAGAAGTAATTTGGTCAATAGACCACTAAATATAATAGATTTGAACATAATAATGAATAGTGTTAATTATTAATTTAATTAATGATTTTTTTATGTGTATGTGTGTGGGAGAATATATTGTTATTTTAGACTAAACTTATCATTATCAAATGGGTAAAGGGATAAAGCTAAAAGAATTAATGGTGGGGTTTTAACTATGAGGATAATAGGGTTAATTATTAATTAAATAAATGATTTATTTAATGTGTAAGTGGAGGGGGGCGATATACAGTTATTTTAGTCCAACCTTACTGTCAAACATATAAAAATAACAGAAGTGGCAAGCTAAGAACAATAACGGGGGGGAGTATTAACTTTGAAAATAATAGTGTCAACTATTAATTAAATAAACGATTTTGTTGTATGAGTGGGGAAGGCAATATTGTTATTTTAGACCTAATTATCATTGTCAAACAGATAAATAGGAGGGAAGTGACAAGCTAGGAACATTAATGCTGTGGTTTTCATTTTGAACATAAATAGCTTGCCCTTGAAATGGTAATTGTAGTTTGTTTAAATTTGAACATTTTTATCGGTTTACAAGGTGAGAGATATTTACCTGCCAACAATTTTGCTGTCGCCCGAATCGAAACTGAGAGCACTGTTAAGAGCTTCGAACCTCGAACTTTCCAACAACTTCATTTTTATTTATGAATTAATAGAATATACTAAAGTAAAATTTAAAAACGAAAAAATAATTATATATGTGTTTTTTTATAACAAAAACAATACACTTTGTTTTCAATAAGAGATAACAATGGTTTTTTTTGTTTAAAACAAATCTTTCGGTTATGTACTCTTGTTGTTTTTGTTTAACTTTTGTCTTCTTGTCTTTTAAATAACAATTTGTGTTTCTTTTGTAAATATATATTTTGTTTTTTTCAATAAAAAATCGAACTTGGTATAAAATCGGACGGTCCGTCTGCACAAAAGTTCCTGAACATTATCTTTGGATGTAGAAATATGCCTTTTCGTCTCGAATGTAGTAGTGTTACGCCTGGGCTGGTATGACAAATTTTCTCCTGGAACGAGAAGAACTTGGAGCACATCACAGCACTGGTGTCGACGTAGGACGTGAAAACCAAACGAAAATAAAAAATCAACTTTGTAGGACGAGACTTAAAACAGGTCAATTTAAAGATTGAGAAGGATTTGGGAAAATAATAGTTAAAAAGGGTGTTAAACCACGGCACTGGTACTTAAAGCCGAACGCAGTGTTAAAATCCTCTTGTTTACAAACAAATCCGACTTCTCTTTTTGTCTAGCTCGCTCGATTTTCTTCCACTGTAAAGCACTTCTAGAAAAATGAGTCAATTTTCCGTCTTCCGCACTGTGTTCTTCTCAAGAATGTTTTTCGGACAGTTTCATAATTACTGAGGGCCACTGGACACTGGTAGAAAGAAAGGGCGACTGTTTTGAAATAACGTCAGATCACTGTGTACGATTTTTGACAGATCATTCGTTTGGGATGTATAATGGCCGCCTTCGGCAGTGCGGCCAACGTGATATTCAAACTTAAAAAACAAACTATTCGATTTTACCGTTTGTTTATCAAAAAACAAACTTATCAAAACCAAAATATCATCTTTTAATTACCAACTTAACGTTTATCATGTCGAAAAACATTGAATCATGTCAAAAGTAGGCGCAATCAACTAAGTCGACATTCGACGTTTGGTTGGTAGTGTTTTGTATCACCCAGGTGCGAAGCTAGCCTCGCTCCAGGGTCCCCAGCGCCGGTTGTTTGAGAGAGGCTAGTCTTTTTTGTTAAGCCTGTGTCTAGCCAATGGAAAATAAACAATCTGGCGTCCTATTGTTACGGACAAAGGGCTTACAGTACAGTACTCGAATTCGAACACATACCAACAAAAAAACCTCTAATAAACATTATTGATTTTTAATAAAACAACAATTTGTCGGTTAATATATTTGTTCGTGGAAGATTAAAGATTGATAAATTAATTGTTATTTATTAGGTCTGTTGTCAGTATAAATTCATTGAAACAAAAAAAACCTCTTATCAACATTAGTAATTTTTCATAAAACAACAATTTGTTGGGTAAATATTTTGTTCATGGCAGATTTAAAAAAAATGTTATTAATAATGAACGACTTTTGATTTATTTTCAGTATAAATAAATTAATTGAAACAAAAACACTCCGTAATAAACATAATTAACTTTTAATAAAACAACAACTTGCTAGCTAAATATTTTGTTCATGCCAGATTAAAAAAAAATAAAAATAAAATAAAATAAATAAATTTAAAAAAATTGTTATTAATAATGAACGACTTTTGGTTTATTGTCAGTATAAATAAATTAATTGAAACAAAAACACTCCGTAATAAATTTAATTAATTTTTAATAAAAGAACAACTGGTCAACTAAATATTTTGTTCCTGGCAGATTTAAAAAAAAGTTTATTAATAATAACTTTTGGTTTATTGTCAGTATAAATAAATTCATTTAAACAAAACACCCTCGAATAAACAGTATTAATTTTTAATAAAACAACAATTTGTCAACTATATACGTTGTTCAATGGAGATTAAAGAACGGAAAATTAATTGTTATTAGTAATTAACAACTAGAAGTCCGATGCCAGTATAAAAAAATTCATTTAAACAAAAAAACCCTCCAATAAAATTATTACTTTCGTTTTATAAAACAACAATTTGCCAGCAAAATATTTTGTTCATGGTAGATTAAAGAACGAAAAATGTTTTGGATTTCTTTTCAGGAACTAGACAGACATCAAACTCATTTTCCTTTTATTTATATCGATTTCGGGGGCATTAATAAAAAGAAAATTAGTTTGGTGGTTGTCTAGTTCCTGAAAAGAAACCCGAGAAATATCAAACGTCAACAACCAAAAGAAGAGTGAAAAATTATTTGTTCTACTGACTTTGGGTCAGTTGCCAGTATAAATAAATTCATTTAAACAAAAAACACATTCTAACAAACATTATTAATTTTTAATAAAACAAAATTTTGTCGGTTAATATATTTGTTTGTGGCAGATTAAAGAACGAAAAATTATTTGTTATTAGTAACTAACAACGTGGTGTTGCCTGTATAAAATAATTCATTTAGCGAAAAATTAATTATTATTAAGAATTAACTACTTGGGGTCCGATCTCTATATAAATAAATTCATTTAAACGAAAAAGACCCTCTAAAAAATATTATTAATTTTTAATAAAACAACAACTTGGCAGCTAAATATTTTGTTCATGGCAGATTAAAAAAAAAATGTTATTAATAATGAACGACTTTTGTTTTATTGTCAGTGTAAATAAATTCATTGAAACAAAACCCTCTTATGAACATTATTATTTTTTAATAAAACAACAATTTGTCAACTAAATATTTTGTTCATGGTAGATTAAAACAACAAAAACATAATTGTTATTAACAATGAACGACTTTTGGTTTATTGTCACTATAAATAAATTCATTTAAGCAAAAACCCTCCAATAAAATTATTAATTTTTTGTATTAAACAACAAATTGTCAGCTAAATAATTTGTTCATGGTGGATTAAAGGGCGAAAAATTTTTTTGGGTTTCTTTTCAGGTCAGGAACTAGACAGCCATCAAACTCATTTTCTTTTTATTGATAACGATTTCGGGTGCATCAATAAAATGAAAATGAATTTGATGGTTGTCTAGTTCCCGAAAAGAAACCCAAGAAATATAAAAAGTCAACATCCGAAAAATAAGAGTGAAAAATTAATTGTTATTAATAATTAACACTTGGGGTCCAATCCTGTATAAAATAAATTCATTAAACGCAAAACCCTCAAATAAAATTATTAATGTTTAATAAAACCACACTTTGCCAGCTAACTATTCTGTTCAGAACAGATTAAAGTACGAAAATGATTTATATTTATTTTTAATCATTGAAAATATATCGCCGATAGATTTTTTTTTAAATAAACATTTTAGGTACATGTTTGATATCTGCAATTTGAATGAGTAAAACAAATTTCATTACAATCCATTATATTAATATCAATTATTATTAATATTTAATAACTCTTTAAATAAATTATTCAAAAAAATAAATCAACATTAATCTTTCATTAAAAAATATATTACCGATCATTTTGGTCTGTCATATTGGTATATATCGTAAAAATTCACTAGCTATATATCTAAATTTTTTTTTCAATTTTTTTATAAAAATTTTTTAAAGCAATATTTGAGTTAAATCATTAATTTTGTCTGTACTATGAATGAGCAATACGCGGTTAAACAGTTCATTAGACTAATGCTAATTTTTATTAATAATTAACAGACTGACATCTGAAGTCAAAGACGAAAGGCGTGTTAAAATGTATAAATGAATTGAAAAACAAAAATAAAATAAAAATAAAATAACCAAAGTTGTTGTTTTAAAATATTTTGTTCGTGCCCAGAATAATGGTCGAAATGTATGAGATTTTTGGTTAAATGAAAAATACAACATTAGTAGTTTAAAAAGACACGATTTTGGCAGAGTCAATAAATTTATATACCTTTTTTAATTAATAATTAACAACGTGTTTGATGGTTACTGATAATGGGCGGCCTGAAATACTGGAAATTCATTGAAACAAACAAACCCTCAGGTAAAAAATCACTAACATTTGGATTTTTTTCTTGGCTGAAGGATTCCAATTCATTTCAGGTTCCCAACAACCCAGTTTCGCAATTTTATTGGAATGGAAATCGCGTCCTTTCTTTTTCCCAGGGTCTGCAATCCTGTTATACACTCCACACATTGTATTTGTTCAAAATAACATGAAACAATTTTGTTAACTAAATGAATATTTTGTTAAATAAGACCTGGAACAACAATGAATTTATTGTTTTTTAATTGCAAGTTGAATTTTTTCGGCAGTTTAAGTTTTAAACAACTGTAATAAATTTGATTTAATTTTTATTTTACTTACACGAAGAGTTAGTTTGGAAGGAGATTGCATTTTACTATCAAATTTTGAATTTCTATTTCATTAAGTAGCCAGATCAATTTCGTAATTTTGTTGGGAAACAGCTCGCTTTTGTACCCGTACCTGTCTGGTACTTGCCTGTCTTTCCAACACGTCCAATGTCAAATGCAGCAGCTTATATAAAAATATTATTTTATTTTGCACTGTGGTATTCCTGTTGAAGCTAATTCGACTTAAAAAAAATCTTAACAAAACGTTGAATGCACAATCAAAATTTCTGATCAGAAACATCATTGTGAAGTGGAAATAATAATTTCATAGGGATTTTTTTATGTTAAATAATTCCATAAAAGGAAAACTTTTTAGTCTAGTTCTTCATTAAGAATCCAATCTGCAAGCTTTTCGAAAAGGTATTACTAGAAAGAAAAAAAAACCATCGAAGAAAACAGTAAAATCATCCCTGACAACCAATTTGGATTCCGAATAAGACATTCAACAATAGAACAAATTCACCGATTCACCGTACTAGAAATATCACTCGAAGAAAAACAAATTTGTTTTGCCATCTTCCTTAATATCTCACAGGCTTTTGTCAAGGTCTGGCACGAAAGGCTCATCAGTAAACTAAAAGGGATGTTACCCAAGCAATGTGTACATATTATCAATTACTACCTAACTGACAGACATTTTCGAGTCAAACAAGAAGACCAATATTCATAAGTAAAAATAAAAAATGAAGGAGTGCCGCAGGGTAGCATATTAGGCCCAATGTGCTATTCTTTTGTATACCAGTGAATTTCCGAAAATGGATGAAGAAACACGCGATGATATCAGTAGGACCGAGCATCAACCATTCATCCAAAACCCTTCAAAAGGCGTGTAAGAAATGAATGGACAAAAAAAACGGATAATGCGTTTCAATCAGCATAAATCTGTACGTATAAGTTTTACAAACAAAAAATTATACCATGTTCCGTCCCTTAACATCGATTGAGCTATTATACCATACAGCGATACGGCTAAATATCTGGGAGTGACCCTAGATGCCAAGCTTAGATGGAAAGAGCACGTGAAAAAAGATTGGTTTATGGTATAGAGGTAAGTACTATACAACACCATTAGCTCAAAGATGGTGCTGCATTGCAAAACCAATCTAAACAAATTAGGCATGCAGAACAAAGAAGGCCTCTGCTGGGTCCCAGGACATGTGGGAATAGAAGGCAACGAGAAAGCGGATACCATTGTAAGAAGAATGGTAAAGAACCTATACCGCTAATAGGACCCGAGTCCTCCTGTGGCATAGGAATCCACACTATCAATGCGCATCTCAGATAGAAGGATAAAACGAAAAAGAAGGAACAATGGAACTCACTCATTGGACACAAATAATCAAAGAACCTCCTAACAAATTTTGGAAGGAAAGAGGAAACAGAATGCATTAAATGAAGCAGGAAAAATTGCGAATCCTAACAGAATTCTTAACAGGACATTGCAAACTAAGAAGATTGGCATACAAACTATACTTCCCCGCAGGAGAAAGTGTTTTGGGACGTACAACGAAACCGGGCCTACCAATCAAGTTCTTTGATTAACTAGGACTTTTTGGTTCGCTTAAAGCATAGAACCATAACTCATGGGGATACCATAACTCTTAAAGGGCGCAGTTTAATACACACCCCGAATTATACATTTATCTATGGGGTTGTACCAAAACTGCAAAATACCAAAATTATACGAACACTCCAAAATAAAATCTTACGTAATATGATAAGTGCACCTTAGTAGATAAGGAATAAGGACTTCCATAGGGACCTTAAGATCCCTGAGGTCACGGCGGTAATATGAAAATTTGTCTCTAAACACCAGTCTGGCCTCAGAAAGCACGAGAAGCGACAAACTCCTATACAACCGAAACGTAAAAGGTTGAGAAGAACAAAACCGCCATATGAACTAATGCAATTATTAATTTTGTGAATAGTGAAGTGTAAATCTTATTGTACCAATGGATTTATAAGAATATGTAAATATATCATTGTAAAATTAATGGTTGGTCTAGTAAGACCAGTTGTAATAAATAAAATAAAAAAAAGAATCCAACGTTTGTATGTGATGATATATATTGTATATGGTTAATCAATATTTGCTCTCTTTTGAAGAAATCTCCCTGTTGCTACTTCTAGTAAAACCTTCAAATGAGATTCGTGTTAATTTTGGCAACCAGTAAAGTTATTATTAAAGTTCTACACACTGAAATCAGTGGTGATTCATATAGATTGCAAATAAAAAAGTGAGAGATTTTCTCGTCCGTTTCAGTGGGTGGCATCAGGAATGCTGTATTTCGCGATGAGAATGTTCTCGACGTTGGATGTAAGTGAATTATCGGATTTACCAGGGGGTTGAAATTTAGTATAAAGATCATATTTAGAAATTAAAAAAACTATTAACTTGGCAGAATGCCTCGCCGAGTCCCTGAAAGAGGGGACGTTGCCGGCCAGTGGACGGCTAGGTGTTCCACTCTTAGCAGAATTTCGCGCCAGAGGAACATTCAAATTCGACATTAAAAACCGTGCCGGTGCTGCAAAGAGCCAACTTGATTAGAGGAAAGGCGGAAAAAGCGAGAAATCTCATAGGAAGAATTAATAGTAACAAATGTGGCTAAAAATAGGAATAAGGTCAAAGAGTCGAGAGCCGAGGTGTGCAGTGCGGGAGTGTTCTTTGACAAGCTTGTTTTTCAAAATACGCTTTTAAATATTGACTATTTTTCTAAATTGAAGAGATATCCGAATTTAAAATTGGTCAACAAATGGAGAAGCAGGCGGAAAGTCGTCCCAAATTTCTCATAGGGGAAAGAGTTCTTTGGTTAGGGAGTGGAAGCGGATTACCCAAAAGCGGGCAGGTCAAATGGATCGGGAGGCTTTTGGAAATTGGACCAAATTTGGCTGTCGGTCTTGAACTGGTACGGTAAGCTACGATCTACAAATAAATAAATGTTCTATTGTATTAAAAATTCGAATGAAAAGATGACGTGTCCAATAACAAAGTGACGTTTATACTTACTGCAGTGTACTAACACGTTGCGACATGTACAACCCAATAGAAACCACAACGTTTAAATTAAAATACGCTACAATAAAATTCACCTATACGTAAATTATAATTGGTTCATAACAAAAAATTAAATTTCACTGAAATTCTTTTAATCGTAAAATAACCGTCGATAAATTTTAATGGAATAGCCAATGTTTTTATTTAAAATTGACTAAGGGCAACAATGGCGGACGACCTTTCATGATGACATTACTAGAAATGAAGAAACGCATTATTAGGCCAATTGTAAAATAAAAAAAAATTACAAAAAACTGTCTTTAAATTTGGCAAGAATAAACATTATTGATGCCTCAGTCATAAGAAACAACTTGTTCTCTATTTAGGCACTAAAAATCCTTCGTTTGGCCTATCAACTCGATGGTAGTTCTTTGGCTTCTACATCATTTCTATAGAACTTGAGGATCACAATATCAGAAGTGGAGTAAACATATACAGGGCATCGAGAAAAACAAAGGAAGCTATCTTGCATATCAAGTTAAATGCACATTTTCATCACCTTCTCCTGAAATACTTAAACATATTTATGTTATGTATGTTCGACACATAAAACTTGTGCAAAAAAATGTTTTACCAAAACGTCCAAAAAATTAAAATCATACAGCAACTATTACTAAACTTAACAACTCTTGAAGATCGCAGAGAACCTATAAAATTCTTACAAATAAATATGACCATTCGCCTAAAATTTTCTCACTACATACATCCTCAAACACTCATGGCACTATGGTGTATGAAGTTTCAAAAACAGGGCAGCCAGGAATTAGTTGGATCGTCATTCTCCTCAAGCCTGTTGTAGAAAATAATCTGCCTTCAAATTTCATCCACTCAAGATCACCCATGTCATTTAAATTGAATCTTGTCAGTCATCTTCAATAATTCAAATTCAAAATTTTTTTCATTCGTATAATATATTTTAATTGTTTTATTATGAAATTTGGTTACTACATGTAAATAATTAATATTATATTAATTGTAAATTGTTATTTATTTACAAGGTTATTATTATTAATTTTTAAGGGCGTTTTAACGGCTAAGCTCATTTTACGCCCTAACATCCACACCTTCTATCTTAAGTTAGCTGTATCCCCTCTGAGTGCTATTAAGCTCTAACTCCAAACATTCACTCATAAACTAATCTATTTTATTGCAATCAAAGCTTTAATTTAACCTTTTAAAATTCTTAATTTGGAAGGACAAATGGATGCAAAAATCCCATTTTAAATTACATATACAAGGATATTATTTGTAAATTTTATAGACTCGTAATTCTATTGTTTATTTCATAATATGTTGAGTGTTTATTTTTGCTGTTTATTCACGCAACAATAAAAAAAAAAAAATAAATAAATAAATAAAATAAAATAAAATAATTTGTAACAATTGTCTACAATGGGAAAAAAACAACAATCATATTTGCCAAAATGGGAAAGTTTATGGATTACTATTTATAAAAATACTGACTTTTTAAAAATAAGTAGTTATTAGAGTTTGCTTTGTAAAATGCAGAATCTATACCATATCCTATCTATAAAATATCCACACAGTCTTATAGATTCAAAGTATTTGTTGACATAACTCTGACAGATGGCTACCAGTACTCAGGAGTTGCACAGGGTCAACAAAACAAAGATCCATGAAAAAAAAGCACACAAATAAAGATGTCTTTGTTTCAAAACATACAAACAAATTATAACCTAAACAAACTCATAAAAATCTAACAATACAGTGTTCAACTCATTAATGTCGTTATTTGTCTGAAATATGATATAAAAAAGAGAGAAAGCAAGATATAACAGCTTTTGTAATTTGTCTGGGGTCAGATCTGGGTCTGTACGTCCAGCTGCTGAGGTTGAGCTCCATGAGCTATCGATAGCTAAGTCATTTCAGTCACCGCCGAAATCAGTTCCTAAATCTAAACTCATTCCCACTTTCATTCACTCTTAAATACATTCTTTCAATAAGCAACCTATCTCTATGATGAGTGAGGGTGGGTGACCTGCTGCAAAAGATGTAAAAACCAGAGAATGCTGGAAAGAGGTGTTATTTAAGTTAAAATCAGGAAAAAATATATTTTCCAAATTTTGCCCTGACGGCGCAGAATTGAATATTTTATTATTTATGAAATGACAATTGATTTCAGTGAATTTAAGCTTAAATTAAATTTAATAATTCCAATTTTTTAAAGTTTAATTGTGGAAAACCAGATCTAAGAAGATAATTTTGTAAATTATCATGGATTTGATGGGTAGGAGGTAAATTATCTTTTCCATACTACATCTATTGTGGAAAAGATAATTTACTTCCTACATCAACTGGACACTACAATTTAGTCTGTGATTGTAACTGTTTTGCAATGAAATATCATTATCTTGTAATCTTTTATTTGACAAATCAATGATTTATTGGTATTATGGTTGTAAATTATGTGAATATGTTTGCAGGATGAACCATTGCCTTATGGAGGAATTGATGGGACATGGGGTTCTCGACAACTTTTTAGATGCGAATCAAAGCATGGTCTGATTGTTCCTTCATCCAGCGTAATCCCTCAACCCCAACACAGAGGTAAAATAAACAAAACACTATTTAACAACAGAATATATTAAGGCTATAAAACTCTGATGTAATGTACATACGCACAGTTAATTAAAACTCAATCGATGTCGTGACGTATAGGGCCTGTGTAATTGTTGTGAGGGATGGATTCAAGCTTCTTGATATAATCTTCAGGCAATCCTGTTTCTTTAGCACCAGATATGATTGTGTCTAAATAAATCTTTGAAGGTGGCCGTTCGGCAATGTTTGCATTCGGAGGTAGCTGACACAGCATGTATGTCCTGCAGTTCTGTGTTTTCCCTGCTGAATCTACGACATCGACCTGTAACGTCCTGTATATATTGTTGCCGACACCTTCCTGTCTGTCCAAGTCGGCTTCATTGCACTTGTCAATTTCCCAAATCGCTCCCCATACGGAGCTCAGTTTTTCAGGGACGATCGTGGCCGCATTCCCGCCCCATCTTTTGGAGAAATAATTAAAGTCCAATCTATAATCGTTCAACATTCCTGAGGATACTCGCTTAGCCGTTGGGTTATTGATGTGGATCCTTTTCTCAGAAAGGTTACTTCCATAGGCGAAATATTTGAAAGTGCTCCCTAGACCACATACTGGTTTGCTCACGTTCATGCTACTGGATACTTGAAACTAAAAGAAACAGAACAAACGTTTATGCACTAAATTGAGACTAATATTATTTTCATTATAAATCAATAATTTTCTTTCGTTTTTCTAAGAGCTATTGACTTTCTATTTTGATGAATAGTATATTCTGAGGATAATGACAAGACCCTAATTAAGTCAATATTTAACCATCAAACTATTTAATCATTTTTTTATCGGTAAAAGATCCTCTAGAATAATTCTTTATAGCTATCAAAAGTTGAATTGATTTGCGCTTAAAATCAATCAAGTTGGAATAAATAGAGATTCTATTGAGAGATATTTTTTAATTTTAAGGAACATAGTCAATAGTTACCTTGAAGAGGTGGTAATATTTGTAATGTAAAAGGAAAATAATTAATACAAAATGAATTGGGAAATAATCCAATTTTCATGTTTAGGAAGATAACCATTGATTCAGGTATGAAAGGTTACTCTAGGTTACTTTCATGAGGCCACCTCAATTGATCCTTGACCTTCAATGATGAAGAGATAGTCTGACACATTTCAAAATTAATTATTTACATTATCAATTTATTAATTAATCAGTTATTATTATTATTATTATTAATTTTTAAGGGCGTTTTAACGGCTAAGGTCATTTCACGCCCTAACATCCAAACCTTCTATCTTAGGTTAGCTATATCTCTTCTGAGTGCTATAAAGCTCTGACTCCAAACATTCACTCGTAATCTTATTTATCCTATTGCCATCCAAGCTTTAATTTTTCTTTTTAAAATTCTTAATTCGGAAGGCCAAATGCATACAAAATTCCCATTTTAAATTGCATAAAATTTAATAAATTTATAAAATTTATTTCTGTTTCTTTTTTTAATTAGAATTGTGAATTTTGTTCCATAATTTAAAAATTCCCCGTAGGCTTGTANCCATATCGAAACTTTGCTCCTAAGTACATGCTGAATATTCTTAAAAGAATGTCTCTATTCGCCCCCCAATTGTAATTAGCAAGGAATCTCATCAGGCCTAGTATTTTCCTTCCTGAATTAGACAATTGGGCTATTTGAGGTTTCCATCGAAGGGCTTTGTCGAAAGAAACTCCCAAATATTTGACAACGTCGACTTCCTTTATTTCAACGCCAGAAAGGAAAAGCCGAGGTGTTTCATGATGTTTTCTCAGTCTACAAAAGTGTACAAATACCGTTTTGGACAAAGAGAATTTGAAACCTACATCATCTGCTTTTCGTGACAATGTGTCAATGGCGTTTTGTAAAGTCCTTTCTACGTTTTGGAGATTTTTCCCAGACAAGTAAAAGCAAAGATCATCGACATATAAAGGCCTGACTATACGATCATCTATATTATCAGCAAGACCGTTTACCGCAATGGCAAATAAAGTGACACTCAGAATAATTAATCAGTTAAATCTTGACTAGTGTAAGTCGGTTATAATATATAAAATTTTGTGATTAGAATTTCATAAATTACCGATATTATTACTGTCATTACTACTCAACCAATTTTTGTGTATTGTTAGTTGAGGAAGGAAGAAAAAAGGTCATTTTTTTTAATATAAATTTCATTATATTGTATATGAATTAGAAAATATGCCATTGTATCTTCACGCACGCTACCAAACAAATTAGTGCACATAATAATGTGTATATACACCTGAAGTTGGTCCAAAGAGAGCCAAAATGTCGGGAAATATAATGGTGCACATATAGAAAAACATAGAATCTAACACAGCCGACAAGTACATAGATTCAAAATACGTTTTATCTTAATTTATCATTATTGAGCGGGTAAATAATATTTTCGTAGGAAAACTTACCTGTAAAATCTTATAACGAAAATGTTGGGTTGGGTGTGTCATTGTACTTGTACAATATAATTGAAGTTTTATCTTTCTCTCACTCTCTATCTCTCTCTCTCATTCACACACACACACACACGCGCGCACGCACACACACACGCGCACGCACACACACACGCGCACGCACATACACACACGCACGCGCGCGCACACACACACACACACACACACGCGCACGCACACGCACGCACGCACGCACGCACGCACGCACGCAAACACACAATCTATTCCATTATTTCTTTCTAACCTTTCCTTACCCTCCTTCCTTTCTCTCCTTCTCTCTCTCTATCTGTCTGTCACTCTCTATCTCTACTCTCTTTATCCTCTCTGCCCCCTCATTCTCTCTCTCCATTATGCTCGTGCTCTGTCCTATCTATCTCTAATCTCTTTCTTCCCCCCATCTCACGCAATGTACCTATTATTTTCTCTTTCTATCTCTACTCTCTTTCTCTTCCCGCCTCTCCAACTCTCTCTCTCTTTCCCTCTCTTCGTCACATAGTGCAAAAGATGTACATTTAAATTTTTTGATACTTTTTCCCACTCTGTTCAATCGTTTGTACTATTTCCTTTACCAAATTGAAACAATTTGTACACACAGACAGACTCCTGTTGTACGATCCGTATTCGTTCGGGTTTTTGAATGCACTATATTTCGTGAATTTTTTGACAAATTTCAAAGTGGCAAAAGAAGCCAACAGATATCAAAGTGCAGAGGACTCTAGAGCTCTACAATACGGTTTGAGATCCACGTTGGAAAAATCATTCGTTAAATTTAAAAATGAACTAGGTTTATCAGAGTCTTGTGTGAATCGTCATTTTCACAAGTTAGGGGACGTGAAAACGGGGCTATTGACGGCCGTACCGTTCGGAAGTCAGTTTGGGGGAAAATGACCTTGTTTTTAGTTTTCTTGAATTTTGAAGTAATTATCCAGTGATTACTGTTTGATTTTCTATTAGGAAAAACATGCCCAAGATTATTGAACATTGGTTTCGTATTACCTAGACAGCCACAAACTTTTCTCAATATAATGTAAAAACATTCCGATAAGGATAGACCCATTTATCTAACGCACCAACCTTTTAATCCTGAGCTTGCTCCATCAGACTACAATCTCTTTGCATTAATGGCTAAACTGGACCTGATTAAAAATTTTATAATAAAACATTATTTAAAATAAATGCCAAATGGACACAATAAATGTTTGCAAACTGTTGCTAACAATTCGGCCTGCAGACATCGAGTATAAGTTTAGGTTATCGAGATTTACACAAATATTTATCAGATAATTAAAAATGAAATATTTAGCCGTCTAAATTCAGTGGAAATGTGATATACCAAATATATACTTACAAGTATCATAAGAACAAAGATTTTGAGTTTAAGATAAGCCATCTCTATTACAAATCTCACTGCTAACTGCCTTTATCTGTTATCAAGCGTTTTCGCTATTCTCATGGTAGGAGGGGGGGTTCCTTTTCAAAAGAAAAACCCCCCCCCCAATACGCTATATATTTTAATACATTTGTTTGTTTCATTTGTTCTATTCATATTATTTAAAATTTCTTTTTTAATTTTTGCTTTTGATAGGTTTCTTTAAAAAAAATTGTGTAATAAAAATGGTTGTACAGATTAATCAATTTTTTTTAAATCCGCCCTTTTAAGTATCAACTTATAAAATACATTTTCAAACTGTAAAACAATACAGAACGTCTGTAAAAACCGTTGTTTTGAACCGGCAATTGAATCTCACTCCAAATAATCATGCAACTACATTCGTGAACTCATTATAATGATAATTTTCAAAGATTATTTTTAGTTGATTTGTGTTAAAGGATGTTGGGGGCGCTCAGTGAGAGAATAATCTAAATTTAGAACTCAGTTTTAGATGAGGCCTTCTGTAGACAACACTCCAAGACACCATCTGAACTCAATCAAAATAAATACATAGTCACATTACCGTTACGTTTCCCACAGTTTTAAAGATAAGTTTTTGTTTTGTCTTTCCCCAGCGCCTTTCTACACCGAGACCAAGTCCGAAACGAGAAAAAGCTCGCTGCAGGTGTCGACTTTAAATAGATCTAAGGTAATGGATTTTAATTTTTCCGCTTTAATTTTATAAGTACGCTCGATTAAAAATACAATATAAACATTGTTTGTTACTGAGATATAATTTAGATTTGATAATTAAATACAATAATAAAAAAAAATCTTGGTTTGCAATGTGGAAGTCTAGGAAATTTAATCTGTTACGACTTACCATAAAACTGTAAAATTATATCTATAAATCAGGTAGAAAAAATCAATCCTTGGCCTTATCTATTTTGCAATCTTAAATTTAAACAATATACTCTTTATTTCAGAGCTTGTTATGTTTCATATTAAAAACGATAAATGTCATCTAACATTAATGGTCAAAAAAATTAAATTAGTTCAAATAAAAAGAAAAACACTGATTTATTATAATGTTAAATTAATTAATGCTTTGGTAATACTAATAATTATAGCTTTTAATGCAATAAATTAGTGACTATAAATTTTTACAACATAAAATTCATTAATAATTGTTATCGTTCTTGTGCATATAATTATATAGAACTATAATATTTGCTCATTTTCACTGGTCTGAAAATATGACTTTACATTGGAATAATTGTTTAAAATGATAGATGAAAAAGGTGGTGCAACAGCAAGTCAACAAACTGGTATATTTGCAAATTTCAGTGTATTTGTATAGATAATAGTGTACAAATTACTCCAAGTGATAATTTAAAAAAAAATGTGTAAACTGTTCAATTACAAAAGAAAGTCTAATAGCTCTTTTGATACTGAAAATGTGGATGATTATTGATTTCTATAAGCTCAAATCTTCAAACACATGTACATGCGTGAATAGTGTTGAGCCTATCACTTCTTTACTCCACCGGCAATTCCACCTTTTTTGATTTTTCGATATTCTTCCATCATCCTTTACCCCAATTAATTTAACTAACCTAATTGAGGTTCGATGGAGTATTCAATATTCCGCTATTGGCCTTCAGCCTCTGCACATTCACGCTAATAAATACATTCATTGTCAACACATGTTAGGGACAAAAACTATACTGGGAGTACATTACACAGTAAAACTTCTTATATCGGGTGGCATTCCTACGCGCTCTCTATACGGAGCCAAGGAATTGTAACCCTCAATTAAGTAGACATATCTGAGATGTTTTAGGCGGTATTTATATTATTTTAAAATCATTTTTCCAAATTTGTGTAATCTGCAACGATAATTCCATTGACAAGACTTTTAGTTTTAGCATAACTGATATGAACTTATTTTTACAAATATTTCAATGCAAGGGCTCTCAGACCGTGAAATATTTATGAGGAGGGAAAAGCCTTTTTTCATTTGTCATAACTCCGTTTCCTTTCGAACAAACAAACATTCCCCGGGTGCTGTAAACATTTATACTGTCATATCAGGTTTAAACCGTTCTCACAAAAGATGAATCGCTCCTTTCACAAACCCGTTCTGACCGAAGATGTTTACACAGTATAGAAACAGTTTAATGTTGCCTTAAAAAATAAACCCGCTGGAACAATTGTAGCATAAATTTTCGCAGTCGGAATTTGAGAATGATTTCGTCTGTCGATTTATACGTTTGACTGAGGCCTTGGAACCACTCAGTCGCTCAAACCTACTGAATTAAACAGACCAAATTGAGATTTGTGAAGAGAAACCCCCAATCTGACTTCAATATAGATGCAGATTCTCAAAAGCCTTTTGGCTTAAACAGCCTTTACTGACTGCACATGGCGGTTGATTTACTCTGCTGTTACTTTCTTTCAACTCGCCATTTCCATTCAAGTCAGTCTGAAAAGCTTTCAAACATCCAATAAATCAAATGAACCTAGGGCCAACCTTACAGTTTTTTAATTGACACTATGGGAAAGGTTTCAATAATAATTGACATCTAAATTAATCGACAAGGAATGTGCTGCAAGAGTCGAGAGAAAATTGACGAAAAATTTTACTTAATTTTTAATTTGAACAAGTTGGAAGTGAAAACGGATCAATTTTTAAATTGACATTCGACACGACTTATAATCAAATTGATCCTGTTGTGTCTGGAGTTGTCGACGTCGGGCACGTTTCTCCATACGACCCACGGCGAGAATCATAGATGATCACATTTGATCGGCGGCGTCCAGCGTTTTTCCAACCTTCCAATCATATACTCATTGCTTTCAATAAATTTAATTTTAAATTCCACACATATCCAGCCTGATTAATTCTTTTCTTTCAATTTAATTACTACAGTTAATAGTTGCACAGTTCTATCGTAACAAAAAATATAACAACATTTAAGCATATATCTATAAATTTGTTAATCAATATAACTATGAAAGTGGTCTAACTTTATTACTAGATTTTTTGAATGGCACAACGTAATAATTTATTAAAAAAAGGTTTACCCTAGCTTTTAAAATTCAAACTGATAATTGAAAACAGTGAGAATGTGTTTAAAATAACCGTTGGATATTAAATCATTCCAGTTTGTCTTTAATTCTACGTTAATAATTCTTTAAAAAAAAAGATAGCTGGACGGAAATTGCAATCGTGGCATCCGTTGGCGGGGAATTCCATTACCACATGGGAGTTAGGGGATCTTCTGACTTCATGTATCTAAATATAATCCCGCTGAGCTTCAACCCTTGCTTATTGCCTTAAAAATAATGTTAATGAAGTTGACCTTTTCTGTAATAGCGATTATTGTTTCATAGATCTTCGAATTATCATATTACAAGCAGATTTCATGTTCTTCCATATCTGGAATATCAATGTTTTTACTATGGCAGGAAATAATACAATAATTTTGCCACATGTATGTCTTTTCTTTTTTAACTTTCTATGTACCTATTTTATTTTTTTTTCAAAATGATATTATATTTTGTAAAAATTAACTTTTTGCCTTTGAAGTAAGTTTTTGTTATTGCGTTTGTTACATAACTTTTCACTCTGAAGAGTTTGCATGGTTATGAAAAATGACAAATTATATAGAGTTTAAAATAAATTTTCATTCGCATTTCTTGTCTTTGAACTTCTTAACTCACCTAGTTTAAGTTCAGTAAGGTCACAAAGGGTTGTGAGAACGGCTCAACGGCCACGGAAACATTAAAAAACAAAAATATAATATTGGAAACCGGCTCTCCCTGGAACGTGTCCTTTTATATTACCTGTCTTTTAGGTGTCCTTGACCAAAAAATTAACAAACTTTACAAGCCACTCGTTGACAACGCCATATGAAACCCGAAATGTGCTATTACGTTTTCTTCTTCCACAGGGGGAATAATAATTCAGCCACCGTCATGAGTCACCTTGTATCTTGAAAAATAAATAGATCATACGATTGTGTGTGATAGAATAGAATAAGTGCTCCCTCCCTAATCCAAACATCTGTACGTCGAACGTTCTTATAATTCTAAGGTGAAAAAAGATCCAAGAAGTGGAAAAAACACAAATAGAACATTAGTTGGGGGAAGGTAGGAAGGCAGGGAGGGAGAGAGAGAGAGAGAGAGAGAGAGAGAGAGAGAGAGAGAGAGAGNGAGTAAAAGAGAAAACAAAGAGATTTAGGGAAAGGAGAGAGTGAGTGAGAGATAGATAGATAGATAGAGCGATTGGGAATGAGTGAGAGGGAGAGAAAAAGAGGGGAGAGAGATAGAGGCAGAGATACCGAAAAAGTGATGAGAGAGAGAGAGAGAGAGGGAGGGGAGAGAGAAAAAGAGAGAGAGGAGAGAGTGGGATAGAGAGAGAGAGATAGAGAGGGGGAGGGGAGAGAGATAGAGGCAGAGATACCCAAAAAGTGATGAGAGAGAGATAGAGAGAGGGAGGGGAGAGAGAAAAAAGAGAGAGAGAGTGAGAGAGAGCGAGAGAGGGGAGGAGAGAAAGAAATAAAGTGGGAGGGAGAGAGGGAGAGTGAGAGAGAAAAAGAGATTGAGGGAAAGGAGAGAGTGAGTGAGAGAGAGATATAGATAGATAGATAGAGAGAGATTGAGGGAGTGAGAGAGTGACAGAAAGAGAAGAATTATTAACCCTTGTCAATCAAAACGGGTCAACCAAGCATCGGTGAGCATAAGATCGGTGAAGTCAGTATACATGAAAAAAAGTGTCATTGCTGGCATCTTTTTTTCAGCGGAGAAACAATTGTGAATGCTTCCCGTCCACGTTGATCGTAAATAGAAAATTATTGTGTGCCAAATTCCATTCAACCTTCGAATAAAGCCTTTGGCAGCTGTTTAAAGAATTGCAACAACTCAGAAAAACTAGTTGTATATAGCAATTCATAAATATATTTATGAAATTTATGTATTACTATATAGTACTTTTTTGGACATATTCAAACTAAATTTGGAACAAAGATAATTTATAGGTAATTAAGTGAAAAACTGTATTTTCGTAAGTTATTGTATCGTTAACGATTCAGTTTATTAGTAAAATATATGGCATACTTGAGGATGTTAAAAGTGCTAATTTTTCTCACACAAATTTTCTTTTTTTAATTTAATGACTATAACGAAATCTGACTACGAAAACTGTATACCTGACAGATGCTTGTTTTCAGATTGCAAGGACATTATTTGCGTCGGAGAGATATTTAAGCGAGGGTTCATCACCAATCGTTACACGGAAGACAAGGGAGTCGAGTAAGTTCACAAGAGGCTTTGAGACGTTACCAAGGCCTAGTGGTGGTGTAGGAGGCAGCAAACTGAATCTGCACACCAAGGCATTAGAGAAGGATCGAGATGGGAAGATATTTGGGAGAACGATGAACAGGGAATTTAGGAGGTCGGACGATCATCTTGAAAGGACAAGTTCGATAAATTCATCTAAGAGTGCCAGTTCACGGAGAGATAGGTCAAGCGGGATTTTTTCCATTTTCAAGTGGTTCAAGAAAGACAAATCCCTCGATTCCGACGACTTCGACTCACCTCCTCTTCCGGGTTCGCCGATCCTCGCGAGAAAAAACGGTTCGATTTGCGGAAGTATTGATACGCTTTTTAGCACGGCGACAGTTACCAGTTTTGCCTTCGTACCGCCTTCTTATTACAAGCCTTTCGGAGCCGCTAACCAACCGGAAATCAGAATCGCCCTCGGGCCGGATACGAACACGTACAAGAATAGAATAAAGGAAAGAGATGAGTTAAGGCGCTTCGATAATAAAATATCTCTCAGGGAGAAATACAAACTCTATGCAAGTGGTACTCTGCCTAGGAGTGTGGATAGGATAAACGAGATTAGGGACGGACCCCCTTCAGATTCGGAAAGCAAAAGCTCTTCTATTAGGAAGAAAAAACGGAAAGCGCCGCCCCCGCCTTTGACCCAAAGCGAAAACAGTCTTCCTGACGCCCAAAACAAAGAGAACAACCCTTTGAGACATCATAGGAGAGCACTAAGCGAGCCCGAGGCGGCCAAATACATCAAAGCTTGTCATGTGAAAGGGAAAAGGAAAGCACCACCGCCTCCCGCAGGTAGAGAGGAAAGGACTTTGAGCTTGACTAGGAAAAAACGTCCTGCACCGCCGCCTCCGAACGTGAATCCTAAAAAAGAAAAAGAAGATATTTCAAAAATCATACAGAAAACGCCTTTCGATATAAACAATTCTAATCAGGAACAGGAAGACAGTGCTAGTAACACTAACAAGACCGAAACCTGCGAAGTGATATCCACCGACACGTTGAGATTGGAAAGAGGCGTCCTGAAACAGAACAAAGTAGACAGACCGATGTCGGAACCGAAATTTAGTCCTTCCTCTCCGGTCTCCCCGAGGCCTTGGTACAAAAGAAACACTCCTCACAAACAGGAGTCGGTCATATGGAGGCTGGACAAGAAAAAGCCTGCAAAGAAAGATGCCCACGATAGTAAATTCCTAGAAAGCGGTTTCCCCAGAAAATTTACTTCTGGAGAGAACAAGTTCATCAATATATTCAGTAAAATCGATAAGCCGGAAGAGAAAAGAAAATCCCAGATTTCAATACTTACAAATATCAGTGAACTAGACAGAGAAGCTGCAGAAATAGTTAAAAACAACAAAGCCAGGGAACAAACCTTCCTAGCCGAACTCAATAAAACTTTTTACCCAGATAGAAGCGAGATCGAGAGAGTAAGTTTAAACGAGAATCTGACACATCCTACAAATAAGACACCTATTCATCGGGTAGTTCTGGATGAAGCGGAAGTTAGAATCGTGGACACGGCTAGTTCTATTCCGGAACCCGAAAATAAAATAGCTAAAGTAACTATCGAGGAATTGGACGAATACGACGCGGAAAGGAATTCAAAAGCGCAAACGATGTACGAAGTAAACAGGATGTACCGTCATCAATCTCCTCCCATATCCATGATCCCCGAAGTGTCCGAGAGTTCCGCTAAGTCATCCAGTCCTTCGTCTTCTATCGCAAGCAGCAGCACTTACGAATCCACGACGTCGAAGCCCGAGCTGAAAGTTTTCGGGGGGCAGCTCGTCTGGATCTGCCCTCGCTGCACTTTAGAAAATTGCAGGTGGAAAATAACGTGCGGGGCATGCGACCTGTGGAGGCCGAGTCCCTGTGATTTCAAAGAAAAGTCGAAACCTTCGGAGTCGCAGCCTCCCGTTATGAACCCCAAAGAGAATAAAAAAAGTTCAGGTTTGAAAGGTCCATCTACTTCGAGAGACTTAAGCAACGAAATCATCGATCAAACTACCAAATTAGTCGAGAATATTTCAAAAGGAATAAATATTGCAATGATGATGGATAAAAAAAGGGACGAGAAGACGAACGTCGTTCTGGATCCTGATGGGGCAACCAGTACAAACCAAATCGACAAACAAGCAGAAGAGGTTCGCCTCGCAAGGTTGGCCTTTTTCGATAAATATTCCACACCTAACAACCTCCAAACCAGGATACCGATATTGGAGGAAACCAACAAATTTTCCGAATCGAGCGACAATAAAAGAAATATTACTGTTAATATAAACGTTGAAAAAGAACCAAGGAAACATGACGTCGCACAAAACATTGAGGAATGTAGACAGATTTTAAACAGTATAAGCGAGAACCAGGGTAAAAAGGACATTATAAGGCCAAGTTCACCAAACCTAAGAAGTGTCCCGAAAATTTCTAACAAAACGTTAAACGAACCGTCAACTTCCAATATAAAAAATGAAGTTCTTGTAAAATCAGACGCAACCTTAAAAATGAGTTTAGTTGAAGGGGATAAAAACAAAAACACAAGTGACATTACCGCAATTCAGAGTGCGTCGAAAGATTTAACGGCCAATGTTCGAGCTTTGTCAAATTTTGCAAACTTTAAAAACATTAATACGACGAAAATTACAAACAATTCTGCTGGTGAACGGAGAGAAGTATTTCCGGAAACATCTAAGTTAGGCGTTACTCCTGGAGCAGTTGAGGCAACAGTGAAATCTGAAGATAACAAAGTTACTAATGATTTCAATGCCGTTCCCAGTTGTTCAAAAGACAACTTAATGAACTGTGAAGAGTATTCGAAAATTACAAGTTGCATAAACTCCGTCCCGGGAACATCAAGAAACAATTTAACGTTGTTTGAAGAAAACGTCAAAAGTAAAAATGAAAATATTTCTGTCGCTACGACGGAGAACAGGTTTGTTGATGAACCTACTAAAAATACAAATCGTAATAACGAATCTCGCAGTTTGAATGCGGTCGATGTTCCAAGCTCTTCGAAAGAAAATCCTTCCTCGACAAAAACGACAAACATTAAAGTTACTCAGACGCCTGAGACACCAAGAATAGTGTCCAAAGACATTGAAGAGAGCAGGAGGATGCTGAAGGAAATGTTAAAGGAGATGAAGCACTCGCTTCCAAAAAGACCGGAGATTAAGAAAGAATCGTCGAAGAAGGAAGAAAAACATTTACACCGTGACAACAGTGACGTTGCAGAAGCATACTTAATAGAGAGTGAAACAATAGTAGAAGAAATAAAATTGAAAAAGCCGTCAGAAAAAGTGTCTTCGTCTGCCCAGACTAGTGCCATGGTCCGACAGATCGTGCCAAAAGTCAAACCTTCATCGGGCTCTCAAATAATCGTACCAATGACAATAGAAGAGTACCAAATCAAAGATGGCGTTTTGTATACCTCCGTGACCAAAAAACAGGCGAAGAAAATTGGTACAGGAACGTTCGAATTATTACGACCGAGGGATTTCGCCAATATAGAGGCGGTCAAGGCTCACAACGCCATGCCACCACTTTATGTCAATGTCGACGATGACCCGGGCGGTCAAGAACAGGCTGAAAACAAAAATCAAGAAGTCGAAAAATTATCAGAGCAGCTAACTAGGCCACAAGGACTCGCAAATTTCAGAGGTAATTTGATTATATTAATTTTGGCATAAACGATAACGTTTCTTTTTCCAGCTGGACTCGGAAATGAAGCGAGCAACATGAACACGATGGCAGTTAACAGGCTGTTAAAAAGACTGGAAGGAGCCATAGCGAATGGCCAACTGGAACTTGCTGCCATTCTCGCCAAAGAACTGGCCCAAATGAAAGTCAGTTGCTCCGTTACAAGACAGAAACCAGAGCTGCCCGTTAAACTCATACCGTTGGTTCAAAACCTTGTTTTTAATTAATTTAAGTTAATTATAGATAATAGTTTTGTATTGTCTTTTTGTTTTTTAATTTTAAAGGGTTGAATTATATATAGAGGATAAACACAACCATAGAGGTCCTTTTCCATTAAAAATATCTCCCAAGATGACATTAGCTGAGCTGAAGAAGCAGGTCGAAGTCGAGTACGATCTGCCGAGCAACGTGCAGCGATGGATTTTAGGGAAAAATCTCGCCAGCGACAATTCTGCGACTCTCGAATCTATGGGTGTCGACAAGCCACAAGTACCGCTATTTTTGTATCTCGTAGTCCCAGGTGAGTCGATGTTACGTTGTTAAAATAAAATATAACCGGTCCGCAAATTTTAAGATGCGAACGTGCAGACGACGAACGATGCTAGCGGCGTAGAGGGTAGTGCTGAAATTTCGTACGCAGAAGATCGTGAGAAGAAATCTGAGGGAGGCAAAATCGAATTACAAGCAACGACCAGCAAAGAGCCTCTTTTAGAAAAGGTGATCCCTATACAGAATCTTGCAGAACAGATTCTGGAAGAGGAAACTGAGGAAGAGATTATAGAAGAAGTCGAAGATCCTGATGTCGAAATCGAAGAACCGGACACTCCTGTCGTTCAGGATGAAACCAAAGAATTTCCCTTCGGAACTCTGGCTCTGGGTAAGGTAACAAGGAAATATATAGAACAAGCACTTCGTGTTTTAATGTTTACTTTTTAGGGTGGAAATGCAGACAGTGTACTCTAATAAACAGGCCTACAAGGGTTAAGTGCGCAGCTTGTAACACAGAGAAACCGACCGAGTACAAGGTTCCCGTCGAGTATAAAGTAGGCTCGTTTTGACGATATATCAACATTCTTAAATTACCATAAAAAAATTACAGGTTACCGAAGAAGAAAAACGAGAAAATTACCAAAAGTTAATGGACCTCGAGAAAGACGATCTCATAATCAGTATGGAAGAATTTGAATGTCCCATTTGTTTGGTGCGCTACGAACCGAACGACGGTGTCATCCTCAGGGAGTGCCTTCACGTTTTCTGCCGGTAAATCAAAATTCTTTCAACCTATTCCCTCCCTCAAATGTCATTACATAAACGAACATTGGCCTTTTATAAGGGGTTGTTTGGCACACACAGTGGAATATAGCGAAGAAGCCGAGGTGAAATGTCCTTACCGAGACGATATTTATACATGCGATAGCACTCTTTTAGAAAGGGAAATTAAAGCAGTAAGTTGGTGTTGTGTGCCTGTTCCACAAATCCTACATAATCAACTAACTTTTCAGAGTTGTTTGCCTCACTAATTGTTTTTACGATTATAAACTCTTTGTTACTGTGTTTTCATCTCTTGCCACAGTACAGCGGGCAATTGAAAGTCGACATTCTCCAATTAAAGTTTGAATCCGGTTCAAAATTTTATAGCTAATTGTCTCGTGAGATTCAAATCCATTTAAATCTATCAGCACATTTGAAATCGATTTTCACTAGCTAATAATTGATAGGATTCAATTATACATAATTCATTAACGATGATTTTTAGACTTTTAACAGGAAAAACGTTTTTATAATAGTTTAAATCCCATTGAAGATAAATTTTAATTTAAAACATTCTCTAAACTATGATTAGGTGCTAAAACTAGTGCATAAAACGCCATTATTTGCCTCAATTTTTTTGTTGCTATTACAACCAATATACTACCAATTAAACAATTTCGCTTTGGTCTTTAAATTCTATTTTATTATTTATGTAACAGGTGTTGTTTCTTCCTCATCATTAAGTTAATTTGAACTCTGGTTAAATTTTTTGCAGTCAATGAATTTTGTTCGAATGTATCTTGCTAATCCCTTAAAAATCATCATCAATTTGTGACGGACACCCATTATCACATATTACCACTTTTGTCTCTTATTTTGACTTTTAAAATTTTATAATCAATTCAAAATTCTTTAACTATGAGTTTTAGACTTTCAGCTGGAAAAACCTTTTGACGTAATCTACATTAAAGTTACATTAAAGAACACCAGAGTTTTAGTTCTTATTTTCAACATTTTTTTGACAAAGTTTGAAAAAAGAAAATTTTCGAACACTGCAATTGGGGATACAAACTGGTATAATGGTATAATTATTTTTTGGTAGCGATTCTTAACATTCGATGGTACCTACCTACTACATTTAACTGATTAAAATTTCAGCTGTAATTTGAAATTTTGCTGTTAAGGAAGATGTACGATGGTTGCTTATGAAATCTGTTTAAAACCATCATTAATTTTTGACGAAAATCAATTAAAACGATTATCATAATTTTTTTTAATGAAAAGTTTTAGTTGTATTAATTGTTCATAATTCACGATTTGTCACAGTTTTAACACAGTTTACACAAATACTTAAAGTTGATAGTGGTTGTTGGTATGCGAGCCACTTATTGGGTCTTCCCAATATCGTCCCAGTTCCTCACTGAAGATGGCGCAATGCTGAAACGCGATTGATTAATTCAACAAACCCGCAAGTGAAGCCAGACCCCAAAAAGTCCTGTTAACGGTATTTAAGGGTAGAATCTAGTACATGAAACGCCATTATTTGCCTAAATTTTTTCGGCAGCAATCTGTTACCGATTAACCGATTTAAAAAACCAAAGCAACTTCGGATGAAAGGAAAAAAAACACTTTACACATATTTATTTAGACATCGTGAGATGCGGTCTGGTGTGATGTAGGTTTCAGAAAAACATTTTCTTTATCGTGCCAACGTTTCAACTTCAAAATAGCTTTCAAAAATTATAAAACAATTCAAACACTTTTTTCCAAAATTAAAGATCCCACACCAATAACAAATAAATCTGACGTAATCTACAAGATCAACTGTTTAAACTGTCCGGCAACTTACATCGGTCTTACATCCCAATATCTGGACAAGAGAGTAAAGCAACATATCTATGATTGCAAAAAACCCAAGCAAAATCCTACAGCACTCGCTACCCACCATTTTGAACACCAACACAATTTCGACTTCAAAAATCCAAAAGTATTACACACAGAACAAAACAAACATAAACGTAATTTCTTAGAAATGGTTTATATCAACAGAGATAAACACAGCATCAATTACAGAACAGATACATGTAAACTCAGTCGCAGCTACGCCAATATCATTAATCAAATTCAATACAGATAACATACCTATATCATCACATTACATTCCACACATCAAATATTTTTCACACAGTCTAATTCCCAACAATTTAGCTTTCGTTTTCCTATTTTATCCTTTTCTATATAATCTTGAAAGGATAATCTGACCGAACCATTACCAACACATTTTTTCCCTATGTCCGCTCTTTTCACCTCAAAGAAGCCGACGCCTTATACAAAAATGTCTTTTCTATACCGACATCCTTCCCCACCCCTTGAAAATCCAACGTATATAAACACAAAATAGCAAAATCTCACTGGCACTCTCGACACGACACGCAAGAATGGCACAATTACACAGAAGACAAACCCTTTGAGTGAGTAGAAATACTTTGATTGAATATATATAAAAAATATATTTTGCATTGTATAAATTCACTTTTCCACATCCAAAATGTAATTGTTATATGTAAACAATGTTTGTTTTACCCAGGCCCTGAAGATGATCTCAATAAAGATCGAAACGTGGCACGATAAAGAAAATGTTTTTCTGAAACCTACATCACACCAGACCGCATCACGTTTTCTAAATAAATATCGATTAACGGTCACTAATCACGACACACTTTACACATATTTAAGTGTCACTCATGTTTCTGGACTTATTTCAAATTTTAATTCTAAATGGAGAAGATTTGATCAACGCGAGGGCTTTGGTCTTCATCAAAAGAGGGAAGTCAAAAGATTCCATCTTCCGAGCTCAATGTGTATTAAACCAGTGCTGGCGCGAGCCGTAAGAGCGCTGCTCAGGCTTGAAATTGATATAATTTATTTTTGTTTGTTAATTCCTTCAAATAATAAATGTTATAAAAATACTCGAATAATAAAATAAGCCACAATTTCAAAATTGCATTTAGTTGTATTAGTACGAAGTATGCTTGTCCGAAGTTTTTAGTTCAAACGTATTAAACCGTTCGATCTACAATGAAAGCCAAATATTGGGTTGTCCGGAAAATAATGCAGGATTTTGGTATTAAACAAAAAAAAGAAACTAGTTACTTTAAAGCAATGTTCTTTAATCAAAATAATTTCCCATACTCTCAATACATTTCTCCCAACGTGTTGGTAACTTATTAATTCCNTGAGTAATCCTGTAAACGTAAACAGAATATTTTATATAGATTTTTTTTAATGAAAACTTAAAATCCTGCATTATTTTCCGGACAACCCAATAATAAATTTTTTAATTTTAATTATTATATAAAAATATTTTGGATACCTCTTTTTTTTTTTTTTAAAAACTTCAACTGATTTCTTTTTTCATATTAATGTTATGCATAAATTTTGTTATTATTTTATTAATTTCTTAATAAGATCTGCCGGATTCAGCTGAGACATTATATTATTTTTTAGAATATGTTCAGCGATCAAATGACCATATTGACTGCCTGTGCTAATAATTACTACCATTTAAAAAAAATTGAAGATTACCTTAAGTTTTTAATCTAAACTATCCCTTTAATGCATATTACTTTGTCGTTATCGATGGAGATTGACTTTTCATCCTTACAAAACCACGGTTAATACTGACCAATAGCAGATTTTATCATGAACTCTATCTTATACAATGATCTTTCTCTAGGTTTTCCGGTAGGTCAAGGTCTGGTAGATTTTCTATATAATAGCAGAGACACTGTGTGACCTATCCAGCTTGGTCAATTATTGATTTTTATGCTCCCCTATCATCGTGACAAAATCTCTAAACTTGGGAAATTGGGATATCGCATCTCAGGTTTAAAGTTTAAAGATTTTTAATTGAACTTGACGCATTTTCCCTTACCAAAAACAAGTTGAGAAATAAACTTGATTTTCTTCCATTATACTGCTTTGTGCTTGCGTCTTTTCTTTGTAAATGTGGATATTCTAGAAAGAAAATTAAAAGTGTGTGGAGTTAAACCGGTATTGGTGCACTTTCCTTATTAAGTTAGGGTTAGTTAATGGAAGAGGAAAAACATAAACGAAATAATAGCTTGATCTGCACTGTTCGACAACAATATGAATCTTTAAATTCATTAATTTCGTGGTCCGCTTGACCAATTAATATATTACAATTAATTAAGGTTTTTAGTTGAGATAAATGTTTTAGTTGAGTCAATGGCACGAGCGAGATTCGAACCCACGATCTTCGGCTTGATACGCCTTGATTGAAAAATGGCAAAAAGGAGGGAAAATTCAAAAGGTGCGGTTGAGATTGGAAGTTGGTGTCCGAGTGGATCGAGGTCACGATAGCTCAAGTGGTAGAGCAGCGGCGTATCAACCCGAAGATCGTGGGTTCGAATCCCGCTCGTGCCATTGACTTTTTTATCTCAACTAAAAACCTTAATTAATTGTAATATGAATCTAATTGGGAATAGAGTTTCCTCTTTCTTCGAATAATTGCTATAAGCTAAAAGGACATGACTTTTGACATAAAATTTTGTCAAAAAGAAAGTGCAGACTTGTGAAAGAAGTATACATTTTCACTTATGTAGGTGCGTATACTGCCGCATGGTTATATTAGAATAAAAACGAAGTTCTCAATAATCTCATAATTAAAAAGTTTCTTCTATTAACGAGGGCCATGTTTACACGGACAAAAATCGTTCTACCTAAACCAATTATAGTTGTATTAATTTTTCAAGGGAAGGAAATAGAATGTTGTCACTATAGTGATTGAAATTTGTCAGAAGAGTTTTTGAATTACTTACATGTTGATTTATTGATTGATTGATGATGATTTCACGAGTCTAAATTATACTGCGCCCTTTAAGGACTATTGGACCACTTGTTTCTATTTAGAGTACACTGATGAGTATAAAAAGCATAAATAGTCGAGGGATTTTATTACTTGATTCTAGTGCAACGCATGTGTTTCTTCCACGATTGCTTTCAAAAACCCAAAATCTAAACCACAGTTGTCACCTGGTGGGTTGTGGTTTCCTTGGCCACTTTGAAATCTACACATACCGTGTTGGTGTGCTGATCTTTCTCAAATTTCCATCGAGTGTGTAAGTGTCCTGCCGAGTGACCAATTAAAGTTCTGAGCTCCATCTTGCTTTCTGTAATTTTTTTCCTTTTAAATCTCACATGTGATTTTTGGATCGCTGTGTCGAATGATTCTTATTCATTTTAGTGTGTTCTATGGTAGTATGAACAGTTCAGGTTTTCCTGACAGCTTTTTGTTAACAATAACATTTACATTTCTGGAATTTGATGGTTTTATGATGAAATTTCCAGCTGGTTACACCCCGAGTATATGAAGGGCACTTGGCCAAGTCCATAGCGTTGGCGGAAACCAAGATCGGTAACACATTCCACTGCAAGACTCCAGATTGCAAGGGTTGGTGCATCTACGAGGATAACGTCAACGTGTTCAAGTGTCCCGTGTGCACTCACATCAACTGCGTCACATGCCAGGTTTGCCAACGAACTTGCCGAAGGAAAGACGAACACTAACCGTACTATTTGCAGGCCGTGCACGAAGGCCTCGACTGCAAGCAGTACCAGGAACAAGTCAACCTCGATTCCGAGACCAACGTCGAATCGAAACGGACGAAAGAAATGCTTCAGGTGATCGATTTGGAAACATTGGCCGAATCCTTGCGTTACGTATAAATTGTTAGTTACAAGAAAGATTCGAACCGATTTTCAGGAAATGGTGGATCGTGGCGAAGCGATGAACTGCCCGACATGTCAGGTCGTCCTCATGAAGAAGTGGGGCTGTGATTGGCTGAGGTGTTCCATGTGCAAGACTGAAATATGCTGGATCACGAGAGGGCCGAGATGGGGGCCAAACGTAATAAAAAAGATTGAATGATTGTTTATAAAAAATGGCTTAATAAAAATTGATTATTGAATATCTTCTGATTTCTCAGGGGAAAGGAGATACGAGCGGAGGATGCCAATGCGGGGTCAACGGAGTTAAGTGCCACCCCAAATGCACTTACTGTCATTGAAAATGTTTTAAGATGCCCTGCCATGGAAAATTTTTTGAATAAAGAAATGGAAAAATAAACTTTTTATATTACTTGGACAATTATTTTTTTATACTTATTATCGTTCAAGTCTAGTTTTTTATGTAATTAGTTGGTGACACAATTTAACGAGAAGTTTTGAAAACAAACATGACAGAGACCCCTTAAACAATCACACGATCATCAGACAATTAAAACCATCAATCAGAATAATTTTATTTCTGATTCAATCACTCTAAATATTTGTTCTTGGTTGTTGTTTGATGAATGGGTAATTTTTGATCGTACAACTTCGCACATCGTGGTCTTAGTTTAGACCTGCGACTCGGTCCCAGCAAGCGAGAATTTATTTTTGTACTCAAGCTTTTTAAAGCAAAATTGGTTATCTCAAATCTAAGCTATGCTCTAATCAATAACCATGTCCAGATATTTTTGCCTCGGGGACTCAGGTGACCATTTTCCATTTCTTCGACCTCAAAGATTTATTGTGGAAGTGATCCTTTTTTATTTCTAAAATTTCCAAACTTTGAAACCCTACTTTAAATCTCGAAGTTTCTCTTTACTCATGGAAAGATTGGTTGTTTTTCTATTTTTTTCTTAATTTTTTGCTGAGAGAGAGGTGGATTTTTGGTTTCCTGGTTGAGATGAGCTCAAATTTGAGCCTTTATCGCCTGCCACCAATCCACGTTCCACTTTAGATTCATTTGTACACCATCCTAGAGCCCCCTTTATTAGTTTCAGGGTTTTTACCCTTCCTGCTATCTCTTAGTTTTATCTAGAGGGATGTGTCAAATTTTTTAAAAATTTTATTTAATCTGATATTGTTGTAGCCATCAGATTTATTTTAGTCTTTTTTTGATGACTTACTTTTAAGTCGAGCCTTATTTAATTTTTTCTGAAAAATCTGCTTGCACTTTTGTATGCCTTCTCTGGATGTGTACAACGGTAGCAATCCCAGTTCCTTCCTTCTTGGAAAAAGGGAAAGTATCCTGTGCTATGTTAAGACCAGCTAATCTTGTAATTTCTTTATTTGATCCTGTGTTTTTTAAAGGGTTTTAGCGACCATACTTGGCCTCCATATGTTGCCAGACGTCTAACCGTTGTTGTAAAATAGCCAGTAGTGTATTTTTCGATGTATGCCCCAATTTTTACAAAATCTTTGAACTATATGTTTTGTCTATATATTTATTTCAGACCATTTAATGTGATTTCTTGCGAAACTTAACCGAGCTGTTCTGTGCTTTGACAGAAATTCTGAATCAGTGGTAGAATTCGCACGTAATTCAACTTCTGAAAGTCTTTGCCTTACAGTGCGTAAACTGACAATATTTCTAACTTGTTGAAATCGTTGCGAATGAATCTCAATAGAACATTCGTAAAAATAAAAGGATCATCTCATTGAGATGAGACACGATGGCGACCTGATCCATGCCTTCTTGAGTAACCTCCAGTATCTTGGTAGCGATGGAAGACTCTTAACTTTAAGAAATCAAAATCAAGTAAGCCTTTGAAATAGTGCTATTCCTAGATACTTCGTTTACCTGGAGAATATTATATTTTTATTTTTTAAAGAGAGTGCTTTTAGGTTAAGATTCCCTCTCTTTGTGAAAGGTATTAGTGTGGTTTTATTCAGGTTGACACCCAGACTCATATTCTCCCACCATATTTTAATTAATTTGAGAGCACTCTGCATTTGAGATGAATGTTTTATTATATTTACCCTGTATTGTTACTATTTGGAAATAGGGCTATTTAGTTCGACCATCAGGTCATCAACCACCAACAAACTTAAGAGTGGCGATAGTACTCCCCCTTGGGGAAAGATCCGGGTATTTACAATCTACGTTTTTCAGTGTTTTATGACATTTTTATCACAAGAGGGGGAACAAAATAGTAAGTGAATAAATTTTTGAGTGGACTGTTTTCTTTTCGTTGGTAAAAGGTTAACACATTCCAGGTTCCATTCTACCTTTGTGTCTCCACGTTATCAACAACCTAACACTTTTAACCACATAAAACAAATACACATCTTTTTAAAGTATTTTTTAAAACCTACAAATGGGGATGGGGGTGGGCAAACGGTCCAACAAGTTAGTTTCAATGTGAGAGGTCAAGTCGTATAATTAAGTTGTCTGCAGTTTCAGTCGTACATAGTCGTTCCTAGTGAAAAATCAAACCTGGATCAAAAATAATATTATCCTAATTGTTTTTGCAGTTTGGCGATCCCAGCATTTAAAACCAACATTTATTATTTATTAAGCCCTTTCTACTTAAATTTTTAATTTGGGGTGTTTGTGTCATGAAAAGCGAGATCTTAGGTCGCCTATTGTACACAATAAAGGAAGCTGGTCAGACAGTTTCAAGTCTGAACTAGACGCACGTATTCTCACGATTAAATCTGTTCCAATGTGAGAAGGTTGATTACACTCAAAAGGTTGGGAAAGTTTGTGCGAAGTTGTGTGAAATGGACGACAAAAAATCGTAGTCAGTCAGGCGTGGACCATACAGTACACAGCTACTGCGACAGATACTAAGCTCGGTTGAGTGACAAGCGAGTATAGACGGATCCATTACTACATCACAAGTTCAGTAAAGAAAAGCGACAGAAAAGAGATCAAATTATGTTTTGATAATAATTTATAATTATTATTTAACATCGCACTGGGGGTTCTACGATACCATGTTTTCAAACCATAAGCAAGTGTAATGTAGCTTCTGAAAAGTTTGGATTTAAAAAAATTTAAATTGCAAAATAACTGCCTATGATGAATGATATGCAAATTATGGCGCATAATTTACCATATCTGGAGAATATGGTAAACTCATTGTAGGAAAATGTAACATCGAATTTGAATAAAAATCAATAATGATTTCAAATGAAACTTGAAACCAACTGAAAACAGGTAACAGCAATTAAAAATATTGTGTTAACAACTGATCTTCATGATATTCAAAAGAAATTTAGAAAAGGATCCTGAACAAATTACAAAACCATCAAAGAGAAAAACGTTTCTAAAGCTTGAAATAAGTTTGTTAAGTAGATATCACATGAAAAGTGAAAGCTTCCAAGTGCGCAGTTAATTACAGAGATGTTATGTTTTTCTTGTGCTTTACTACTTTGTACAACTATACTAGAAGTGGCAGAGAGGACGCCTGACGTAAATCCTTCCATTTGTCTCTGTTCATCACCGCAGTGCTCCAGTTTCGAGTTTTCTTACAATTCCATTCATCTTCACTCTTTTTCCTTTCCATCTAGACTTTAAGATATCCCATCGTCTTTTGTGAAACGTTAAGTTTTGATTTTTTAAAAATCTGTTGTAAAAAAATCAGTTCCCATTGTGTCATATTTTGTCGAAGAAAACTAACGAAGGAGGTAAATAACGATTGTTTTCTATGGTACTTTTCTGTAGCTTCATATGGCAAAATTGTCAGTTGAATAATAATTTTTCTCTGGTGTTAGAAAAAGACAAAACTTACTTTCGTAATTTGACATATAAACGATTGTTACTTGACTTCCAAGTCATACAAGAATTTAAACAATTTAAAAATTATCTATTGCAATATTATTGATTGTTCAAATTAAAACAATGAATCGTCAATTATGTGAAAAAAGAACAATTCTCCACCCATTTCAACAGGAATGAAAATAGATTACCTCTCTTTGTCCGATATAACCTTTAATATAACAGGCAATATTGCAATTTGTATTTTGTAAATCTTTTTATCATTTTACAATATCTGTAATTTTTTAATATTATTGTATTATTAAAATCAATCAATAATCGAGATGATCATGTCGCATAGCTGGCAAATGAATAGTTTTTAAAAATAAATTTTTTGTGCAAGTTTTCGATTCAACTAGTCAGATGTGGATAATTTGTACATGTTGCCTGTTGCCAAGGCTCATTTTCAAGGAGTTTAGATATGCCGTGCTGTCTAAAACATATGCCCCAATTATGTTGTCATGCAACAACTCGGACCTGTCATTCAAGGCGATATCCGACGGTTGTACTGAGGATGATTTGTGGCTCTTCATATATCCACCCAAGACGTGGAATTACTTTGTCACTCATAACGCAAAAATACTGCTATGACTATTTTGTATTTGATTCTTATTGAGCACATCGTGAAGTTTGCAAGTTTTGTTAGATAAACAGCGAATAAATTTATAATCAAAAATAAAGATTAAAACGTCGTTCAGTTATTCCTATTGATAAAAAAATCGTCATTGCCAGAAGAAACGAAAAAATCGATAATTGACATGTGCTACTTCTAAAACAATTAAGAATTAAAAGTATAATAAGAGATACTAGGTATAAAGATTAATAGTAGACTTAAAACGTAAACACACATTAATAACTAATAAGTTTGAGTAAAAAAATTAATTATTTTTTGTTCTTAAAGAGAAGGTCTCGTCCGGGCAGATGCTTTCGTCAACGGCGGACGTCTATACCTAGCCCAAGTCCTGGGTGTGCCGCGCTCTACCATCCACCATGGTTTACAGCGGTTTAGGCCCGCCAGAAGACTCGATCGAAGAGAATACCACGATTACGATGGGTAGAAACGATATTTTTAGGGCTCTTGCCGCACTATGGAACTGACATCTAACGGATTCCTTGATATGTAGTTCGTCATGTAAGGGGGTGCTCTAAACAGTCATCAGAAGGTTTCGTGAAAATATATTAAATAATGTAGGACCCGGCCTCTTTACCTGTGCACCGCGACCAGTATTGGTCTACTGTGTATCTCCATTATTTTTATCTAGAGCTCCTCGTTAAGCTTGAAGCTTTTTACCAGACGCTTTTTCAAGGGCTCCCGTGTGTATCCTCCAGGCCCTGGCTTTTCCTCTCCCAGGATTAGGAATCTCAGCTTGCCTATATAGGCCTCCGCCTATATATCACCGATAAGAGGTGATCCGTTGTTCCTTCTTCTTCCTGACAATATGCACACAGGCTTGTTTCTGCCACTTCGAGCCTTGTGGCCTATATATGCCTTCGAAGTCGATTTAGTAGTTCTGCCGTTAGTTCTGCGATGGTCCTTTGATAAACTTTTTAGCATGCCTCTGTCCCGGCTACATTCCCATTGAGCGGAGGACTTATTTTGATCCATTGTCTGCCGCGTTTTTGGCAGTTTGGTAAGCCACAAAAGGGTCAGGGTCAATAGGTGACGTCATTGTACTTTCCTTGGTCAATTTATCGGCCTCTTCGTTGCCCCTCTGCCCTATGTGCCCTAGTTAATTTTTTTATTTTCTGCAATGTCTAACAGGGTTCTAACGCAGTCCCAAACGACTCTGGACTTTACAGATGCGGCACTGCCTTCAGTCCCGCCTGGCTATCCGGTAGATGGCTATTCTTCTATTGATAATCCCCAGCCTTCTTATCTCCCTGGTACAGTGTTCAGTAGGCACAGTTTACGCTTGAAAAACGGCATATTGTCCAAGGCTTATATGAATTCTAGTCCTTGGTTTATTTCCGTAAATGCCACCTCCTGACCCATACTCGGTTTTGGAGCCACCTGTAAACCAGAATGGTTCTTCATTAACTGGGATCCCTTTTTTCCCAGTCTGCTCTACAAGGTATTTTGATTAGAACTGTTTTGTCAAAACTGAATTTAGAGGTCATAGCATCAGTAGGCGTCCCTAAATTTTCTAAGATCCTGAGAATAACCAACTCCCTAGACGTCCTGCAACTCCCTACTACTGGAGAGCCAGTGCACTAAAGTACATTGAGGAAGGTCTTTTGGAAACCGTGGTCCCAGCTTGTAATTAATATAGCAATATATGTAAATAAATACAGTTTGAAATAAACAACAAACTACGAGTGTTTTTTTCTTTAAGTATATTGTTGGCCTGGGGGTGGATAAACACACGTTGAAATGATCCAGGTGGTCATCAATTCCAGTTCGTCACTGAACCGTGAAGCCGAGATGCGTAAACCAGCGATCACGGACCCAGTAGCATAATTCATCAACTTGCAATCAATACAATACGCTGGTTTTTTGCTTGATAGCTACTGGTTTTAATGTAGCGTTAATAAAAAGTTAAATTTACCTGGTTTCTGACGGGTAGAGGAGTACCTATAAATCAATAGTGTGCTAACTACTGTTTGCAGAGCCGCAGGAAATCCATAGAATTGTTGTTAAAGGGAAGGTTGGGGTGGTTCTACAAAAGTGATAAATTGAGACGCAGAGGGACCTATATTGGAGTCTTGATTGACCAAATGTCTACTTAATTCTCATTACCAACATTTAAACAATGTTCGACTCAGAACGGTCAAATTGAAAATTATTGACTATGATTAACATTAATGACGCTACTGGCTTGGTGTTGAAACACGACCTCTCAGTAAAACGCCGCTTCAAAAGACGTTTGTCCAGTAATGTTCATATATAATAAGACTTGAATAAGTTATCGTCGGACTTGATGGGAAGATGCTTCGCCCCTCCACGGGACTTCTCCCCCCCTGGCGCGAAGCTCCTGCCAACCACTCAGTAGCTTACCGAGCACGGTCGTGAGTGGAGCTAAGCCGAATTTCTGCAAAACACGGTTTTGGTGATCGTCGTCTTTAAAGGACCTAAGCGATCACGAAAACGTTCGCCATGAAGAACCCTCTCTTCCACCTCATCCTGTTTCTGACCACTTACGACTACTCGACTGCAGCTGCCGTTTTAACCAGAGGTAAGTTCTTATTTTAATTGTCCAATGCCTTAAATAATTTTGGCGCAATTTTTTTAAATAAATTGAAATTTTATTTAGCCGTTTAAAAACGTTGTAGGTTACAGGTGAAATACGTAAGATTATAAATAAATTTACTATTTTAATATTTTTTATTATTAGGGAAGAGGGAGGAGGGAAAGGAGAAAGAATATAAAGTCTGACCGTTCAGTTTAACCATTATTATAAAATTGTAAGGATAGGAATATCTCTCTAATTGTATATTTTGTTCTTCTTTCTTTTTCTTCCCTTTTTGTTTTTGTTTTTATTTTATTTTATATTATATTTCTCTCTCTCTCTCCCCCTCTATCTATAATTATACATATAATCAAAGCTAAATATTTTTTGTACTCCTGCAACTCATTGATCAAAAATTCTTATGTTTGTATACGATTATGTTGCTAACCTATTACCGATACTAATATATTGTATTCATTACATAATAAATGTTCCTTTTAAGTTTAACTTTACGGAAAATTTTAAAATGTTTGATATAAAACTATATATTTGTACCGACTCCTTGACAAATAAAGTATTACTTTCCGTAAAAAAAATTAAAACAGCAAAAATAATTTTTTAAATTAATAATTAATAGAGCAAACCGATCATTCATCCACTGGAATTAGAAGTTTAATTAATGTAAAATATAATAACTGTTAATTTATTTAAAGTAACATAACCGTCGAAAATTAGATTTTATTTTTGTTTTCCATGATAAAACACACACACACACACACACACACACACATATAAAATAACTCAATATAATATAATTATATAATTTATTTATTTTAACGAGATATAAAAAGTAGTAAAAAGTTATTTAAAAAGGGAAAGGTAAAATACTTAAAATTAAAAATAGCAAATAGCCCGGATTAATTTTAACATTGATCTAATGAAATTAAAAGGTTGACATCCACGTTTTATTAATGTAAAATATAATATCGCTAAAATATTTGATTAACAAATTCATCATAAAAAATACTACATATTATTTGTCAGACAAGATCTTTTCACTGATCCATTATTAAATTCGTGTTTATTTTTTATCTTATAATAATGATTATAATACTGATACTGTATAAAACTACATTGAGAATTATAGCTAAATTAAAAAAAAATAAAAATAGCAATTACACTGAGTAAAACCAATTTCCCAAAAATGTTTCTATGAAAACAATGAAGAAAATATTCATTTCATTTCTCCACTTAGATTCGACGTGGCATAAATTTTTATGACTTTTTGAACGTAGTGTGGAATATTTTCATACTCCTTCAACAGGGCCCATTTTTATTGACTTTGACAACTCGACCCATAGATATTTGATAGGGTTTAGGTCGGGACTACATGCTTCCTAACATTGAATTGAAATCCGTTCCAAGTAGTCACCAACGATCCTAGGTGTGTGGGGCCTTGCATTGTCATACATAAAAATAAAACCGTCGCCAATTAGTGGCATTTAAGGAACACTACTTGTGATAACAAACCTTCAATGTATCGGGCTGCTTTTAGGGAACCCTCGAGGAAGATCTAGTTAGTATGACCTTCCATAGAAATTCTTGGCCAAACCTTAACACTACCACCTCCATAGCTTTTCTGGAGTGAAAATGTTGAGTGGGTATGTCGCTCTCCAGTTCTTCAAACCTCTTGGCCGTCAGAAGACCTTAAGCAAAACCTTGACTCATCCGAAAACAAGATTTATGTCCAATCGTGCTCAATCCAATTGATATGATTTCTTGGGAAATTTAACCGAGCAGTTCTGTGCTTTGTCGGAAGTTCTGAACCAGTGGTAGGCCTTCTCGCACGTAATTCAGCTTCTGAAAGTCTTCGCCTTGCAGTGACTAGCAAACTGACAATATTTCTAACTTTTTGAAGACGTTGCTTGACCCCAACAACTAGAATGTCGATTAAGGAGTACATTCGAAAAAATAAAACGACCATCTCGTTGAGATTGACATGAATGCGTCCTGATCCATGCCTTTTTGAGTAATCTCCAGTACCTTCGTAGCCATGAAAGGCCCTTAACTTAAAAAAATCAAACTATAGGAACGTTAGAAAGAAGCTTTACAGAAAAACCAAGAACAAAGAAGAGATTGACTATTCAAAGAGTTATTTATAAAATTCAATTTCAAACACAAGTGGGAGATTTTATGTGTTTTATTTATCTCTAACCCTTCAAAATAAACCAAATACTGTTGTAACACAATGAAAAGAGAATTGTCTTAGAAATAATTAAAAACATTAAGGGTAGACGCTATTTTGACTCTCACTGTACTATTGAGATGAAACGATTGACCTAATTTAAAGTTTATTTGAATTACGATTATTGCCAGATCAACCGGACGATTTTGATTTATTTAATAAATGAAAATAACCGGTTAAATTAATCGTATGACGGGTTATTGTTGTACAAATCGACAATGATATTTTATACCTGTCAAAAGTGTCGACAGGTCAAAGTAAAATTAGTGATATCTGTGACACACTCGTCGTGCTATTTTAAATTTTTAAAAGTAATAATTTTGGAGGCTTGCTCTGGAAAACAACACCAGAATTCAAGTCGTTGGTCCATTGTGAAAAATCACTACGAAATACTGTGGTTATTTGCGTCCATTAAAACTCCATACTCAGCATGTCTGCTCAACAACCAAGTTAAAAACAAAAGAAAATTAATTTAAAATTGCTCTTAGAATTTAAAATTATTGTTAGAATAAATTTTCTGGATCTCTTTAATTAATTTATATACAGGTCAGTGTTTACCAATCACGAGACCTTTATATGCACCGGACAAAAGTGAATTTATTAAACTTGCCATTGTTCAAAAAATTTGATTTTACAAAAAACCCAAAAAACTAAAACAGTTATTTTTACGATAATTATCAAACGATCGTCTTAATTTTAGATAAACTGATATNATATATACACATAAAAAAGAGACTAAACAACATTGTTTGTAATTAGTTTTATATAATTATGTATAAATTAAACCATAGGGATTTTTCTTTTGTTTTATTTCGAATTTGCCTTTGTTGTAGTATAAATAGAACAACAAAACCGAACAAATTATGCAAACAAGAAATAAGTCATCTATCCTCATGCATAAAATTATTTCCAAGAAAGAGTTGAAATCATAATATTACCCTTAATACCCCTTAATACACAAAGATTTGAAAAACGGAAAAAAACACAAAACACTACTTTGTTCTTAGATTTGTAAAATCCGAAGTGTGTGCCTAGATGTTAACAGTGTGATCATCTTGGCATATTTTATTGATGTATTTATGTTTATCAGACTAAACATACATTAATTTACATAAAAAAAGGCCCGAAATGTTCGCATGTTGTTTAAAATTCACTTGTCAGCCGGACGATTTAAAAAAAAGCGCGTCGAAGATTGACCCTTCTCGTTGTTATGATTTTTAATTACTACAAATATCAAATCTGTAATTTTTATAATGTAATAAAAATCTATTTCGAGTTCGTGGTAAGTTTTGAATGTTTATGTCTTTTCAAATGATTTTTATTGAAAGAACCTGGCCATTTATCCTCTCGTAGACTTAACGGAAATGTTCTACTGCTTTACTCAGGTTTGTTTAATTTTTAATTTATAGGGGGACGAGCAGTTAAGTTTATCTCTCAAGTTAAAGCAGATATCAACCCTAAACGAGCTGTTTTACTGCCCATTTTATTTAACTATCTATTACCAAAGGTACTAAAACATATACTATGGTGGTTTTATTTACGGCTTTTGTATTCTACAGTTTCAATCAACTTGAAATTTTCTTTCAATTTAATATTTACATATTGTGATGTTTCTTTCGGGGGCTTTAGGGCCTTGAACTTATGGTACAATCGTATACGATCATTCTGGTCAGATATTTCATTTGGCATGTCAGATTATTTTAAGCATCTTCAGTGGTTATCGTGGGTGCTATTTTAATTAGTTAAGTCTCTTTTGTACGTTGTTGATCACTGTGACGGCTTACGCCTGACGTTGAGACGCAACTAAGTGGACAACGCGGTTTGTAAAATAATAAAAATAAACGTTTTAAACTTTGAGTATTTAAATATGCTGAACCACTTCCGATAAAAGTAAGGATACCCATTGTATGTACAGTGTCTCGTCGTTCTGGAGAATGTCCAACAGGGTCCGGTGGAATGTCTCGACGTATTCCTGGCTGTATTGCGGTATTTTACGAATAAGCCTCACTACTTTAAAAGAAAATTTGTTTACCGTTCTTATAACAAGGGGAAACCTCGTATTAAAGAGGAAAAAGTAAGAGGAACGTACGTTTTTGTGATGCGCGGAGAGCGAGCCGAGTAGTTAATAATATAAAAATGTTAAAAACTCACTACTGAAGATGGCGAAATGCCACACATCTGAACAATCGAGTATTAACCAAGTTCACAGGAAACGATCAAACTGCTAGTTAAATTTATATAGAACTTTTTCCGCACGAATTAATGAAAGTAATAATGTATGTATATATACAAAAATTTAACTTTTTTAAACATTAATTTACTATGTATAGTCTACAAGGTTTTAAACATAGAGAAAATTTATCAGTTTTTTTTATCCTGGTTACCTTAAATTCGCCGGAACATTTCTTTACCGCTTACTTCAGCTTAAATTCATAACAGTTGCAATTTTTTCCTACTTTGCCAAGCGTATATCCAAAAAAATTAATTTTTCTAAACATTAATTGACTATGTATAGTCTACAAGGTTTTAAACATAGAGAAGGTTTATCAGTTTTTTACTCTGTTAACCCTAAATATGTCGGACCTTTTCTTTACCACTTACTTCAGCTTAAATTCAGAACAGTTGCAATTTTTCCTACTTTGCCAAGTTCTTACCGTCTTGAATTAAGTGCTCCCTAAATTAAGTACTTAATTTCGGATTGTATTATAAGACGTTGTCAGAGGGCCTTAAATATGTGAAATTTTGGCAAACGTGGGAAAGG